TGCGTCTCTGGCTTGTCTGACGCTTGGGGTTTATCCGAGTGTTGTGCCTCGATTAAACGCCGGCTAGGTCTTCTTTTTCTTTTGGCTGGGTTTGCTTGACTGTCCATACGCCCTCTCTTCCTAGCTTTGGGAGGCATTATGACTTGTAATTTAACTGATGGCAGCGGATAGGACTCGATGAAATTGATGAAATTTTTTAAAGATGTCAGGCTCTTTCTCTGCTCTCCTTCTAGAATTTTCTAAATCAGTATCGCTGGGGGGCTTGATTTTATTTACTCAATGTATATAAAATTCATGGTCTCACGAATGTTTTGCCGGGAATAAGGATACAAGAGTTATCGCGTCTGCACTGGAATTAAAGGCATTTATCACAATATGGTGATAAATGCAATAATGTTCACCTTTTTGAGAATATCATCAGATATTTATTTTCTTGTTGTAGATTTGAGAATTCAGTCACCGAAACAGGGTCAAAAATAGGCTAAGTGCATGTAGAAAAACTAATAGAAATTTAAAAGTTTTTGTTCACATGCAGACAAAATATAAAAATATTAGTTTTTTAAAAAATAGTTTTAATCAGTTTCATTAATATTTATTGATTTTTTATTTGTTGTACTATGCAAAAGTACTGCAAATTGACAGAATCTGAATTTTTCTAAAGCGTGTATTTTACTTACTTTGGTATATGGTTACCACGGAAACGATTTGGCAAATTATTATAAAATTTTACCAGAAATGATAAAACTGTTAAAGAAGTTTATTAATGCAAAAATCCCGAAATTTTTCAATTTTATAGTTTCCATCAATTACACTGAGTAAGCTTGATGATTCGTGACATTCTCTCTTAATTCCTTGTTCTCCGTCCCAATGTTTTATACGTTAAACAACAAACAAACAAAATAAGTTAGTAGATAAGATCGTGGGAAGAAAACTTTGAATCCATAAAATCTTAACTTTGTGAAAAAGAGCGGATCATTAGTTTAAATGATTCATTTTCATTACTTTGCGAGTAAACTTTTTAAAAATTATCCTGATCTTTTATACAGGGTATTTCTTACATATCTTTAATATTAAAGAATTACATGGTTTTAACATAGCCCGATAACCAAACGCAGTCGACCTCTAACTGTCCACCAATTATCACTTCATTTAGGCTTCTTCATAATCAAATTTGGGACACCTACCTTGTTTAATTGGGAATGTATTAGATACTTTATGCTTTGATCGCAGAGCACAAAATATCAGCATGAAATATGGAGATAACGAAGGTATTCAAGCTCAAAGTCCATTAAAAGAATATAAATCGGAAGCAGAGCAAACATGGACCTCCAAATCATCAGAGGTGCATGGGATCAGGTGCCATGGGGGAGAGAGCATCCCCTGCCGACCGGTCACACCCACCGTGTGCTCCTGTCATGATCGGGAAAAACGGGAAAATCTGTAGGTATTTCAGTGCATAAATAATGGCCTAACAATTAGTAAGAAAAATGTCAGTCAGCATTTGACTTAATGATAGCTTGTATTTGCTGACGAGGTCATTGTATCGACCATAAAACTTGCAATATGATGACTTAAAACGAGACAGTTGATATCTCTGTTTCAACTTATTTGTCAGTAGCTTTCCTCGTTTTAGAAATTCTACATACTTAGAACATGCTCTTGCATATTGAATCAACTGGGAGACAAAAACCCCATATGCAGGTGATAAGGGTATATTTCTTCATAAGTAAGGGAAGTTGACGATTAAAAAATTGAAGTCATCACGTTTATCATAAAGCTTTGTTTTTATGTTACCATATATGTCTTTTTCTAGTAAAATATCCAAATATGAAACAGATGTGCCAGACTCTGTTGTATCCTTTATTTCAAGTTAACTGGGATATATCGTGTCGACATATGAATAGAAGTAACTATTGTTAATTGATAATACGTCGTTGATATATCTAAATGTCGAGTTGAAGGCCACAGCAAGTGTTTTCTTCTTCTCTTGTAGAAGTTTTTGAATAAATTCTACTTCATATGAATACAACAATAGGTCTGCTAATAACGGGGCGCAATTCCTACCCATGGGAATTCCAACAGATTTTTGGAAGACCTGATCTCCAAAAACTACAAAGATATTGTCAATCAGAAACTCAAGCAACTTCGGAGTACTTGTGTTTACAATGAGAATGTTTTTAGCAAAATAATTTTGCAAATGACCAATGATAAGGTAAGTATATTAACGAGTTCCATTTTTTTTCTTTTTCCATTTTTAAAGCAATGATGTCAAAAAGCTTGGATTTTAATTTATCTTGAGGAGTGGTTGTATAAAGTGTTGAAAAGTCGTTCGATTTGATGTTATTGAATTTGGTTAAATTTTCTGATTTCAAATTTTCTTAAAGTTCCTAGGAGTTTTTAAGTATTTATGCCTACGGATATTAAAAATTCGAGCTATTTGATGTGTTTTATTTATTTATTTATTTATTTATTTATTTATTTATTTATTTATTTATTTATTTATTTATTTTTGCTTCTCATCAAAGTATCGGTATTTTGAACACGGATATCTCGAATAGAATGGATAATTCAAAAGACTTTTTTCTTTAAGTATTTTACCCTCAATAGGTAAGTTTTTTTCTCGGTCCCATCGAGTTCGGGATAACGAAGTTTGACTGTAGTATTCTTGTCGGAGAAAAGAAGAATGTCACTTCGTGTTTCGATGAAGCAATAATGAATGCACCTGAAAATTCTCTGATCTAATGCATTCACTCCTATCGTTTTTTTACTGATCTGAATTTACTGCATAAACATATCTTATATATGCACCTGAATTTCAAAAACATAAATAAATATAGAAGTTTGTTTCTGTGGTAGATATTAAAAATCGGAATGACAAGCAATAAATATTTTCTGTTACATATTATCAAATAAAAGAGTCTAATATTATTTTCATGAAAAAAATTGCAGAAATAGCAAAACGATAGACTTATTTTTATAACATACAAATTTTAACACGCAAATACCTTGACTTTTACTTTTAGATGGGTAAAAATTGTGCAATATTGCAGCGATCTTAGAATACGAAGAGAATCGTGCAATAAAGCAGTGTAAATGATTTTAGTATACCCCCCCCCCCCGCTTGAAAAGTGGGAGGGTATATAGTGATCGGGATGTCCGTCCGTCCGTCCGTCTGTTACGCTTTGGGGTACCAATCTCTTATCCGCAACTCCTCTTTAACCACTGAATGACATTTAATGAGACTTTCACAGAATCTATGTTACATAGTGCCATTGTGCACCTCCTATTTTACTTTTTGATCGGACACATATTTTGGGTTTGCCAGAGCAAAACATGGACACGGTTATTCTTTCTATAATATTGAAGGGTACCCATCTCTTATCCGCAATTCTTCCTATACCACAGAATAAAATTTAATAATACTTTCACAGATTCTTTATTACATAATGCCATTGTGCACCTCCTATTTTACTTTTTGATACGACACTTATTTCGGGTCTCCCAGAGCAAAACATGGACTTTGCCATTATAACCATATGTGAGTCGGGAGTATCATTTAGTGAGCTCATTGCTCACAGAACCTCTAGTTTTTGCATGTATTGGTGTTGTGAGTGAAACATGGTTTACATAAATATTTAAACAAAAGACATTGAAAATAGGTTAGCATAAGAAATTTATTATCATGCAAGTAAATCCCATATTGCTAATTGTTTAATTTATAACCCATGCATATTCAATTTAATTTATTGATTGCAATATTGAGCAAGTAAATATTTCACGAAAGAAAGAACAATATGTCATTTTCAATTGTCTCTTTGGTTAAATTTTCGTAGTTATCAAAGAATTCTGTGTAAAAGCTATAGTAGTTGATTTTATCGAACATATTCTTAAATTGCAAATAACTTTACATGACATGTATAAGTTTACAGAGATGAGGTTTAGCAAAAGCAATGAAATTAAACTCTGTAATTTTTACAGAGAAATCCATGAACAAAAATAAAAAAAAATTGAAATGAAAGAATTTTTATAGGAATGAAGACCTTCTTTTTCGCTCAGTATATAACATTATGCTAGTCCTGTCTCTTATCATTATTTGATATGATATTTAATGTTTAAAATATATTTAAGGAAGTAATACAAACCGGCTTCTTTTTTCTTATGAGAATTTCCTTATCACCTGACATCACTAGACTGCATCCTGTTAGCAATAGAATGTTTTGGAAGGCAACAACTGAACGGTAGTCAGAAAAATCCCTTGAAATTACTGTCTTCAATTCAAAAGTAGAATTTAATTTGTTGGGAAATTTTGTTATAAAAATCAATCTCTGTACAGTTAGATGAGTATTTAATAATGAAATAAGACATAAGGTTTTATTTTGATAATTCATCAAGTTTGCAAATCGCAAATAATAGTTATTACTTCAAAAGGTTTCGGAGACAAAAAGAAATAAATTATATTAAAAGATAACAGATATCCTTTACCCTTGTAAACCAACAAAACATGGTCCAGTTTCTTTATAATCTCCTATATGTGATTGATAACCCAATGAAATAAAACCCCTGGTTCGTAATCTAAGATATACATAAATAAACGCATTTCATAAAGATTCTGTCCTTACTCATCCCCTATTATGAAAAAATTCTGGATCACAGACATATGTCTATACATTACTTTTGCATTGATAATGTGAACTAAACTTGTTAAGAGGTATTAAGAAGGGAAAAGTTCCTCAATTTAGCAGGTACATAAATTATCGATGAGAAAAAAAATAATTGAATAATAATAAGTAAGGAACGGAGTGATGATTGTTAGCCAAAATTAACATACCCAGTAGCAACGAATGGGAAATCAGACCTTACAAGTACAAGCCTAATTAAAGTGACTTGATGTTTAACAATAATTGGCTGATCAGCAATACCAATGATTGGAGTATTCAACTATCTGTGAGAGTGCAATGAGAAGAAAACAGGTTCAATTGGTTTATTGCCTCTCCTGTAAGGGATAGGAGTGTTAAAGGCTTTATAAACTGACGGGTGGATCGTTCAACCAGAGAGAGCTTTGCCCTACCAAACAGTAGACGATAAAAGTAAGGCATTAAAATCATATATCTTTGCAAAATAGAAAAAAAAAGTTTACCTTTTTTTCTCAGTTGACTACCCTCTATGGTACCTATCCGTTGGAATATTAGTTCAGTTGTGTATGGAAGATTATTCCACTGTTAATTTAAGGCCACTTTATCTTTATTTCTGAAAGGAACTCTGTTGATATTTATAATGACGAAATTATTGTCCAAAACCTCGTAATTAAGTTTTGATTTGTAATTAGAAATATATTGATATTATACAGTGAAGGCTTCACTTGTTGTATCCGTTCTACTTGGAGTTGTTGCTTGTGTTTCCGCCGGAGGGTATGGGGGCGGTGGCGTAGGACATGGACATGGTTTTGGTTATCAACAATTCGCTGTTCAGAGACCAGTTTATTACCAGTTACAGCAGCAACCAGTTGTTACCTATGGAGTACAAGGATTTGGAAATACTGGAGGATCTAATTCCGGGAACCTGTTTGGAGGATATGGAGGAGGTGGATATGGCGGAGGACTTGGTGTTGGATCAAATACAGGATCTATTATTCCAATCATCATAATCTGTATGTATTAAACTTTGCACCGACAAAAATAAATCTGTTAGATGACTTTTTGAATTTTCATGTACAGACCATTAATATATATACCAGTTAACAAAAACTTGAAAAAAATATTTTTTCTCTTTTAGTCGTTCTGCTGGCTATTTTTGCCCCGTTGTTGATCGCTTCCTTGACCTCTAGCAACGATGCTTTTTATGATAGCATCGGCTCTAAATAAATAGATCGGAGGTTTGTAAAGCTAAATTAATTCTCTTCTGCCTTGAATGTTTCAGTTATCTGAATGTCAATATGAATTCATCAAAGTTAAATTGGAAGATAACGAACAGTGATCATTCTCAAAAGCCTATTCTTTAAAAACAATATAAATTATGATCAAAGTCAACATGGACCTCTGAAAACAGAGATGGGATCAGGTGCCATGGAGGAGTAAGCATCCGCTGCCGACTGGTCAAACCACCCGTGTGCTCCCTGTCTTGATCGGTTAGACGGAAGCAATCCGTAGATAATTTCCGTGCGAAAAGGACCTATCAATTTGTATGAAAAACAATGAATTCATATACTTTATGCAGTGCATAGTTTTAAAGAGGAAATTTTTATACAATTTTGCTTTTAATTTCACTGGTCTCATTCTTGGATAGACGCAAATATTGCAAATCTTATCAATGATGGTATTAACTTCAAAGTATGGTATCAAAATACCAAAAAGCTATAGGGGTTTAACTCCCCAGCATTAAAATGTAAATTTAATATATGTTATTTTGATAAGAGAATCATGCATCTTTTTTTAAGTTGAATAACGTGCTGTTCCTTTTATTTTTCAGACACAATAGGAGAGGGACTTTATTTTATTGACTGCCTGTTACACATTAATGAAATAAACAATTGCAATTCAGTGTGTCATTCTGTTCTAAGTCAAAATTTTGTTTTATACCTATATCTTGTTACCATGATAAATTTTTGTAAGTTGTTCTACTTGCACATGTTCTTCAACGATAGATGTTTCAAAAGAAACTAGAAACCTTGAATGTAAAATTTTCGCAAAATGTATTTCTAGCACTGAAGTAGCAATAATAGTTGCATTGTTTACATATAGATCTGAACGTTAATTCCTCGTCTGCATTGAAACAAAATCATAACTTGAAAGAAATGAAAATTATGAATATTCAAATCTGTTTAAACCTTCAGACACAATGCAAGATACTGTCCATATTCTGTATGCTTTTTGGTTGTTTATTTTTGTTATCGATTAGTAGATTCTGAAAAAAAAACTATTTCTAAATTTGAATTAATTTACAATTAAAACTTGAAATTAAAAATCTTAATTTATGCGAATGAGTAGCCCATTCGTATCAGATGTTCTAATATAAACTATAATATTACATGCACTATGGCATCAAAAATAATTTTGAAAATATTAAAAAAAATCAGATATTCATATTTTTACTACAAATTCTTCACAATAAATTAAGTTCTTTAAAGACATGCTCAACGTAGTTTGAACTTTATTGTCTTTTTTCCAATACTTAAAGGAGCTATGTGCTACATTTTAAAGTCTATATTATGTGTTGTAAACGTCTTCTAAAACAAGTTTGGATAAACAAAACATCTAAAGTATATATTTTGTATTTCTTTGAATTATACAAAATTTTCATCAATTGATATCTTTTCAAAAATGCATGCTGATTTTTTTGTGAACGAACATCTGATGACACTATAATCTTAAATTAAGAATACATTTGTATCTTTAAAAATTTTCAATAGGTATGGTACGTTGCATATGTCCTTTAGTTAATTTGCCCTTTTGATTACCGTATTGTCTAGTAGCAGTCGCTTTATTCCAGTTCAGCATTTATTGATTTATTTGTCTGTCTAAATATATTGTTGATCTATTTCTTACAAACAAACCAAAATAAGTACTGTAGACCAACTTCTATTCGCGTGCGAGAAATATTCGCGAGTTTCGCGACCTATTTTAACTCGCGAATATTAATAGTCGCAAACCATTTATTTTGCTCTGTATTTGTAGAGAATGTTTCCTTAGTCGCGAAAATTTATCGTCGCGGATTGATTTCAAACTGACAAATCGCGAATAAAAGATGACGCGAATAATACTTGGTTTACAGTAATTTAACTGATTTGTGTTATCTATAAAAATGTAAGTATACCTGCACAAAGGCTTATCACAATTTGTACTATTAACCAATAGTTTAGATTATTTTTTTTTTTGGTAATTGATATAATACTATCTAAATATATAAAAGAACAAAGTGATCATGTAACAAATAAATTATTATAAAAAAAAATCACTGCGTAAAAATCCAGGTTTTCCAAAATTGTGCAATTGTACATTTAGTTACATATTTGTACATTTAGTTACATATTTTTTTTTCAAATATTCTAAATAATAAAAATGAAATATATTTTATTTATATATTATATTTTTTCGCAGGCATATTAGCATTTATACATAAGTTTGATGTTTGATTAACTTCTGTTTGGACTTACTGTACTTGCATTCTATTTGGATTGTTGTTTTTTTTTTCTTGCGAAGAAACAATAGACTGTTATTTACATGTATATATGTATACACATGTATACGAGCTATAGTGCAGTCTGCCTGTTATAGCTACCTACTGTACGAAAATCGAATTCTCGCTTTTAAACGAGGTAAATTATTGACAAACAAGTTGATAAAACAAGAATATCAGCTGTCTCGTTTAAAGTCATCATTTCGTAAGTTCTATGGTCGATACAATGACCTTGTCAGCAAATACAATTCATCATTGAGTCAAATGCTGACTGACGTTTTTCATACTAATTGTTAGGCCATTATTTACACACTGAATTGTCGACGGATTTTTCCGTTATTTCCCGATCATGAAAAGGAGCACACGGCGGGTGTGACCGGTCGGCAGGGGATGCTCACTCCTCCATGGCACCTGATCCCGCCTCTGATGTTTAGAGGTCCTTGTTTGCTCTGCTCCTATTTTGTATTCTTTAATGGACTTTTGAGCTTGAATACTGTTCGTTATCTCCATATATTTCATTTTAACTTATAAATTATAAATCAGATTAATACTACATGTGACTGAATATATTTCGAGTATCAACAGATTACAGTTGTATACTTAAATGTCTTTGAACTAATAGAAACCCATTATCTTTCCCTCACAATAGCTTTTGTTTTGGGGGGGGGGACATTGTTCAATACTGATACATTTTGTATGAACATTGTGGACCTCAATGACTACTTATCTTTCGCGGTAAGACTATTTATATTTTGCTGTTCTTAATTTTAATGTGCGTTACAAATTAAAGACATTAAATATTCCATGTGATCAAATGCAGCATTTATGTTTTCCAAATAAAAAAAATATTAATTCGAATCCATATCTGCACACATGTTGAAAGTGAGAAATTATTTTTCCAATTACCATTACCAATACGTTCATTAAAAAAAGTAGTTGATAAAATAACAATTACATGTACTTTGTTAAAGTAATTAATACATTACACATTATACTGTAAACGTGAAATCATACAATTTATAAAATAAAATCAGATTGAGGTATCGTGTATGTTGGGTCCATTTTCTCATCATAGTTCAGGTAATTTGCCTATCTACAAATGGCAAAGGAAGTAGATGGAAAGACCTTCAATTTTATAGTCTTATTTAGTCTTCAAAATAAAAAAAATATTAAAACAATTTAATAACTCTTTTACATGAAATAATTTAGATGTTAAACATATATGTATTGATAGATAAATACATTAGAACTTGTAATAATTTGTCAAGATATTTAATGAAGATATCGTTTTAACATAATCAACGGCATAATTACCTAGATATGGGGTTTGAAATTAGTGATGACTCTCAAGCTACGAGAAATCATTGACAATATTTACATTAATTGGACCAAAATGTTTCTAGTAGATCATAATGATCTAGTATTTTACTCACTGAGTCCATTTCAACTTTATAATAATATTTTATATTATAAAAAAGTTTTAACGTCACTGAAAAATGATCTGAGTTCCATGCGGTGTACTGTTTTCACTTGTTTGGAGCTATCTTTGACACTCGATGAATTGTAGAAGTATTTTTCTTTGACTTGACAATTGATTATATCACTGTCTTGTCAGGAATTTTTCTATCAAAACAATCATTTAAGGTATAATATCTATTAGGCACCACTGAATAAACATTTAAGAAAAGAATAGGTTAGAGAAGATTTTATTCGCAAGAACAGTTGTATTAATTATCAAAAGTCAGCTGTCAGTTACCTTCATTTGTATCGGACTCGTTAATAGAAAAAATATATATTAATGTATAAAATGTAATTCAAAATTAATTGAAAAGTAATATTTATAACTGGCATTTTTTCTAAAGTAATGCATTAAATTACGATTATTTTTAATTGAATGATAAATCCATTTCACATTACAACCAATTTTTTTCAAAAATGTAATTATTACAATGCATTACCAGTACACATTGTCATTACCCAAGGACTGGTAAAAATAAAGTATAATGATTCGTATTAAAGTGTTTAATTTACCTGCTTACAAGCCATTAAGAAACTAACATCCTCTTGACCAAATAAGAATGGACCCCTGCAAACTCCAGAGGTGGGATCATGTGCCTTTAAAAAGTAAGCATCCCCTGTGGATCGGTCACAACAGCTGTGAGCCCTATGTATTAATCAGAGAGACGGAGTACTCCGTAGTCAAATTTAGTATAAAAGCAGTAGCGTTACAAATGGTATGAAACATGTCAGACAAAATATTACCTAACGAAAGGTTATACTTGCAACCGTTAATCCCAGCATTAACAAACAAATAAAGGATTTTAAATAAATAATTTAATTTATTATAAAATATCAAATAGTATTTCAGATATTCCAGAAATGATCACTTCAACAGAACGACAATTATCTTCTTAATCATTAAGCTCTCTAAGAATACATTCTTTTTCTAAATGGACTTTAGATTTAACACAAATACGAAATATTTTCATGGCTATATTTTTTTTCATATTTTCTTAAGAATACTAACTACATTTGCTTTATCTCTTAAGAATTTTGATACGTTCTTTTTTAAGAAACGGCCAAAAACCCTAAATTCTCGCTATGTCGAAATTTCAAACTTAACACTTTTTTCCTAAATGTCATGTAAAAAGCACGCATGGATCCAGATTTTTTTTTTAAAGGGGTGGGTTGGGGGTCCACATCAGCTCAAATAAAAATCGAACTCGGAATATTTTTGATACGCAAAAACAAAAGAAAAACAACAACTTCCCCCGAAATAAAAAAAAAAAAAAAACTGTTTCGTGTGTGTGTTTGAAGTCAAAATTTTGCAAGTTCTATGGTCGATACGATGACTTTGTCAGCAAATACAATCTATGAAGTTCAAAGAACAAGTAGGTTGTTTGAGTATTTTCTTCCACAAAACATGGTTGTTCAAAAAGCCTATGATTTGCAATATCTATAATTACAGATACGAGCCTGTAGTCTGTTGCCGAACGAATATAAATATGGGCTTTCCTTGACTTTTTCAAATAGACTATTTAAAACTTTCACAGGGACAGAGTAAAGTTGGATGCGAATGTGATGGAGACCTAACTGTTTATTTACATAAGGCAGTAGGGAATCAAAATAAATATCGTGTATAATAGGCATATTGTATGATTGATGTGCATGACTAGGCTTGCGTCTCTGGGTATTGTTACAAAGTCTCATCACATTCACATTGCTACATTGTGGACTTGAAAGATTCCCAACACTATCGACATTGTTATTGCTACATGTAGTATATGGAAAGGCCGTGCTTAGTTTCCTAATCCAGTATTTTTCTCTTTATCAACGGAAAGGGTATTCAATGATGGGTTATTGGTATGATGATAACCTTTTCTTGAATTCATTGCCAAAATTGAATGATCAGGTAAATCAAGGTGCTTGTGGAGAAGCTGCTGCCCCCGTTGTTAATTTGAAATCTTTGCCCCGATATTCTTTTATTGCGTGAATCGTTGGTTTCACCAACATAAATAAATAAAGGTACATTCTATTCCGTAGATAACATAAGAAGATTTGCAGTTCAGATTTTCCCAAATTTTGGTATAGAAGCTCTGTCCAGTAAGATCACTAGTAAAAGAACAACTTGTAATCAAAACAATTCAGGTTGTACAGTTTTTGACAGAACATTTTGAAATAGAACACATGGGATCGGTAAAGGAATTTTCAAATATATCTCTAATAGAAATTCTACATTCCTTCATTTGTGTGTGTATGTGTGAACTGTTGCTTTTATACCAGAACTGGGAAGATTATTACTTGCATCAAGTCAAACTAAATTCAAGAATTCGAAACCTTGAAGTGATGTCCACAATAATTTTTCTGATTTTAGTAAATATCAAGAACGACATATCGTGTGTTTTATTAAATACACCTTGGTACCTTAGTAACTTATTTAAGTATATCAAAATTGTCTTTTTCTTCTTGATTAAAGGAGCGAATGATAGGCCAAAAGGTAACGCTTTAAATGTGAAACAACGATTAACGGCAAATTTTCATGAAAACGGCAAATGCATTCTGTGCTCAAGAAAATTTTTTAAAAGTGTATATGAAGAAATACACTAACGATATCAAATTTAAAACAACAATATAAGTTTACTTTTGGGCCCTGGTAAAATGTGAAATAAAATAGATACAAATTAAGCATAATTTTACTTCCATTATCAATTGATATCAAGACCATAAGATCAACAAGTTTTAGTGCTTAAATTTATTTATATACAAAGAAAAAAGAAATACAATGTGGTAGGGGTCAGCCAACATTCGTGAATTTCTATAGTAAGTCGAGGACGGGAATATCACTTTCAAACTTTTCTTTACTGTTAGCATAACGTTGTGAAAACTTGTGAAAAATACAAAAGACACATTATACATTTCGAGAACATTGGCTGGTACTTAAATATTAAAAATGTACGTAAAGATCGATGTTTTTACAATAGAAAGCGAGAGCTATATGAACTTATCTGTTTGACCCATGTTGAACCCACTTGTGGAATAAATTACATGTATCTGTAATAAAAATAATCATGCGCGTTCTACCCAGGTAAGGGTTCGTCAAAGGTGTTCACTGTTTTTGCACCTAAATACCCTTTTGTAATTTAAAATGCTAAACTCAAATGATAAAGAAACTAATGTTAATCTTTATTGTATTATTTCAAATGATATTGTATTATTTCAAAAGCATGAGTGAGAATTCTTTGTTTGATCAGTATGGCTACAGGCAACTTCATAGCATCATTAGATTATTCTATAGATAAAATAACGCAAAAATTATCATTTTAATTTGCAAACGCGTCCATAGATCCACCATCAGATTAAAGATTTAAATAGACGAAACTTGAATAGGTTCGGTAAGATTTTTCCGGATTTGTATTATCTATAGGCATGTTTGGAAATCCCCAGTTGTTTAAATTACAATTTTATTCTTGTGATGTTTCACGTGATTTTAAATTAGAAGTATTCACTAGTGTTTAAATATAACCAGAGAACGATCTATTGATATTTTCGAGATTAAAACGACACTGAAAAAAGTCTCAATCTCTGTTGCTTAAATGCACTCGTCCTTTTTTGTTAACATACCTCTATTCTTTGAAAAAAAACAACAACATTCCTCTCGTTAATCAAGCACTTTAAAATATCGTTTTTTTTTTTTTGTTTGTAAAATTTGTGACTGGCACAAGTTAACTGAATTTGGACGTTTACGCTAGATATAAAATCTTTTAGTCAATGAAACTACATGTATAACGATGCTACTTATCATATGGGTGGAACTGGACAACAAATCAGAAAAAAGAACCTGGAAAACTTATTTTAATATTTCATAAAAATGTGGTTCATTAAGAGTGGCATGCTTATCAGTACAATATCCTTTAAATCCGATTGGTTATTTCTATCACCTTAATGTGTCGGAAATACAAAATGCTGTTAAATAGGTTATTCGGTTTTCTTCTGGGAGTGCAGAGATGTCGGTGGATCTATATATAAGATCTAGCTGAGTGTAATTAGTGCAAAAGGAAAGGTCTTTTTCATTTTCTTCAAATGAAGATAAAAAGTAAGTACTTATACTTCCCGTGTATCAGATGATATTATGAATATTATATATGATACTATATAAATATGATGTATTTGAATTTCTTGGGAACGTTTTTTCGCAGTTTTTTTCCGACCGATGTTAACCAATCTTTGAAATTTTTTTCTCAAAATGATTTTCATTTTAAAATTCAAATCAAGCAAATGTTAAAAAATTACCAGCACACTGAATTTAACGTTAAACATTTAGTCAACAAAAATCCTATTATCATTTTCTTCTGGACTGATGTTTCAGTTTATCAAGAAATTAATATCATATTGATTATAGTCCTTTGTTGTACGATTTACAATCTGTCTTCAAAAGTTAAACATTATGTGTATTAAAGGATTCTACAATTCTTGAATTGCATTTGTCAAAGAATCTTTTAATTTACATTTTTAATCTATCGTACAATTTAGTGAAGGTTCCACTGGCTGTGTTTATTTTACTGAGTGTTGCTGCGTGTGTCACTGCTGGGGGTTATGGTGGACACGGGCACGGTGGTCATATAGGTTATGGAGGCTATCAACAGTACATCCAGTACCAGAAACCAATCTATTATCAACAGCAACCAGTGTATGGCGGCTACGGATCTGACACCGGATCCATAATACCAATCATTATTATATGTAAGCAATTAATGTGATACTTAAGATATTTACTGAGTATATTAGGATGAAATTATGCTGAGGATACATCTCTTTCAAATTATATTTAAATATTGAGCTTGGTTTCTTTGCAGTCGTCCTCCTTGCTATCTTCGCCCCAATGTTGATTGCTTCCCTGACTTTCAGCAATGATGCTTTTTACGATAGTGTCAGTAAATAAATGGAGGAAGGTTTGTGTGATCAACAATACTTACTTTCTGAAGTTCGTAATTTTGAATCCTTTCTAAACTGCTTGATACTTTTCTTACCTTTTAATTTTTAAAAACAACAGACTAAACAAAAATAAGACTCTGTAGACCGCGTCATTTTTTATTCACAAATGGCCGCTTAAGAACTAATCTGCGATGATAAATTTCCGCTAGCATGAAGTCATTTTATATATTAAACATTTGATGAACAACTGGTTCGCGGAGATACATATTCGAGAGCACAGGTTGATCGTGAATCTCGCAGAGATTTTTCGCACTCGTATATTTGGTTTACAATTCCTGTAGAAAATGAAAAAAAAGAGCTTTTTAAAGCCAAAAATAATCACCTTCCATTAATCTGTTATTTCTGAAAAAAAAAAACAACATCTTTTCCATTCACGCAAAAATTGAATATCAATTTTTAAGTGATCTTATAACGGAGTTCAACGATTTTGCTTTAATTTCAGATATAATGGGAAAGAGATACAACTGATAAACCCATGTCACACTTTTGAAATAAAATACAGCAATCCGATTGTGCTTTCTTTATTCTCTGCTTTTACACGACACATTTTGATTATAGATCTAAAATTGTTAATAGAAACAATTAGTGTGATTTTCTTTTCTATGCAACTTTCTGTTAAAAATATTTTCATAGTTTTTCACTGTAAGAAACGTCATTTTCTGAAATATATAAATTAAAACTATGGTGAAAAGGGGATTAGGCACTTGGAATTGTTATTAAACTAAATTTAAAATGTTTTCTAAAATCACTAGATTTAGCAAACAAAATGTAATTTTTTTTCTATTCGGAATATCTTCAATTTTACCCAGATAAATACATTGCAATTGATTAAAGGTAAAGTGGTTCAACATTTTCAAAAATTTATAAATAATTGTGATTTTAATGTTCTACAGAAGAGCATGGCTATAGATACTAGTAGTGAAGATAGAATGAGAGAATTCCCAGGTAGATATGTTGTACAAAGAATAATCATGAGACTAGCATGGGGAGAAATTATGTTCTACAAGGCTTATAAAATAAAGGGATATTTATTTCACAATGGTCTGTCCAAGTTATCTCTACATAGCTTTTATACTGAAATAGAAGATATCAGAAATAAGTCAGAAATAACATGAGTGTGTTTTGCGAAATGAAATACATTTTATTTTGAGTGGATATATTTACTTTTAGGGATAAAGTATAACAAAAAAAAATCACAATATCCAAATTATAAAAACCAAAATAAAGGGAACCAATAATATTTATTTTTGCAAACAATAACCTATGTCACTCAACGGAAAAATATCCGTTATCCGTTCGTAACTACTATTGTTAAATTTTGCAAAATTTCAGATGGGGTGTATTTTCTTATCAACATCAGCAATTTAAAATTTTTAAACCTAGAAACTTGATGAGACATAACACCTAAATTTTAAAAAAATATTGATGGGCCATAATAAAAGACAATTTTTCCATTTATAATCGCCTTGTAACACAGCTAAGAAAAATCATGGAAACGTCTCGCGTGAGAAAATAATCCACTGTAAAAAGTTGTCTTGCTTGTAAAATGATTATGCAACTCTTAGTGGTAAATATAAGCAAAACTTCATATATACAGGGATACATCTTCAAAGAAATATATTTTGTAATGTTGTATAAAATTCCATTAATGAAAAGCAGTTTCTCCTCTTGTAGTGTGCAATTTATACATAGTCCCATAAATCCTCTCTAAGATAATTAAAAACTTCTGAAGATTTTGAGCAATATAGCTTAAAGTGAACAACTCTCAGTTTAAAAAAATACATTTATACATGTATAGTACATGAACAAGGAGAAAAGTCAGGCCTATAGCAACATAACATGTTTCACTTATTCATTCCGTTAGTAGTTTACCGCGTGTTTGGCAATACCTTGTACTAAATCTGATTGGAAGTCCTGATTCTCCACTAGTATGTAGGGTACATGAATGTAGATTAGGACGTTATTCGCTCCTTCTGGATAAGGCGTGATTGGTTGAGACTTTATAAGCCAGCATATAACTTATTCATACAGAGACGAGTTTCCCCTTCACTGCACCAAGACGATATAAGTAAGGTTTTTGCATTCCTCTTTTTAAAATAATTTTCAAAATTGTATATTCATTTCAATGTTTTTTACGAGTTCTGTTTTCTCGTTGTTTATGTCAACTAATCCCCCCTCCCCCATTTGATTTTGTATTCTATTGCTTTTGTCTTTTATTTATTTATTTTTTGTGTGTGTAAGGTTGTGTGTGTAAGAGAGAGAGAGAGAGAGAGAGAGAGAGAGAGAGAGAGAGATCATAAACATGATTAAATAAAGTAAATACTTGCAAACGCCATGGAAATACATTCTTGTTTGAGAAGTTCTATACTTATATTTTGAAACGTAAATATTTTTTTTTTAAAAATTATCATTCAGATCAAGAGTTAAAAAATAATTATTACGCCCAAAAGAAATGACAACGCAAAATTTTAATTGAAATATATTATTATTAAACTGGTTGATCAAAAATATTTCATCATTCCATAGTGAAGGCCACACTAGCACTATCCGTTCTACTCTGTGTTGTTGCCTGCATTTATGCTAAAGGGTATGGAAATTACGGTTATGGTGGTTACCAACAGTTTGCATATAGACAGGCTCCAATATATTATCAAATACGTCAACAACCAGTTGTCTATGGGGCACAACCCGTCAGCACCGGATCTGGATCTGGAAACCCCTTCGGAGGCGGAGGGTACGGGGGGTACGGGGGCGGAGTAGGAGTTGGATCAGATCTAGGAATCATTATTCCAATCATTATTATCTGTGAGTACCTTCATTCATTTGTAAGGATTATTACGGATCATATATTATTTCTTGCTTTCTGTTGATTTCTTTCTTCTTGGATTAATTTAGATTTTTTTTAATTATTATTTTTCTTTCTTGATATGATAATGAAAAATCTGAGGTAAAAATCTGACAATGTATTAATCTTTTTTTTCAGTCGTTTTGTTGGCTATTTTCGCCCCATTATTGATTGCTTCATTGGCTTCCAGTAACAATGCTTTCTATGACTCTCTTGGTAGTAAATAAAAAATAACAGGTTAGTTATTACATATATTTGTTCCTTATATTTTATACCCCTTCATTTAGTAAAAGAAAATATGAAAATGTATTTCTTTATATAATATTTTCAATTTATATTAAAGATGACAGATTGTATTTGCTGAGTCTGGTCTCTAGACAACGATTTTTCTTTCACATGTACATGTAAGCAGTAATCGGCAGTATTAGATATTTTGTTTAATATTTTAATTATTTTCATTGCATACATATTCCAGTTTAAAATATCTTGAAAGTTCTTACCAATGATAACATAATCTTTTATTTCATTTTTCAGCGACAATAGGAAAAGGGTTTATGTTGACTGCCTGTAACCAATAAAAGCAACTCACAACATTTGACTTTTTTTTTGTTTGTGTGTTTTTTTTTTTTTTTTTTTTTTTTTGGGGGGGGGGGGGGTTACATTTATTTGTTTTTACTTTGCGTGTTATTGACACATTGTATACTCTTCTGCTTATTAACAAATTTTAATGCACAAACAGCGACTTCGTCATGTTTTGATTTGAAAGAAAGGGTACCATAAGTTGAGTTTTTGATAAGGAAACATCGAGCGCAGGTCTATCCAGAATATATCCTTTTTATGATAAATGGATCGAAAACATGAACGGAATATGTAACAAATACAGTATTTGGTGCTCTATGATTTCCAGATTCAAATTGAACATTTTCTTTTACGTACTCTGTAAAGAGTCATAGAGACAATTAAACAGATTAACAGCTCTTTTCATCTTACATTTGTGTATCTTATGATATATTGTTTTTTGAATTTGACGTAATAATGTGTGAGGATGAGCCTTTAAATGCCATTACGGTAATAGCATTTAATATATTTCTTTATTTTTCAAGTCCCTTGAAAATCAATTCCACTTCAAATTTTAAACAAATCAAAAACATATGTTAAAAATTGATGAAATTATTTTTTGGTCTAAATTATACAATGCTCTTATTCAAGAAATTCAAACATTTTATGTTTAACCAACATAAAGGACTTCTTTCGTAATTTCAAAAGTTTAGTTTGATTCAGCAATTGACAATAGTTTAGTTGTCGACAAAAAACGCCAAAACTACATTAAAACATAACCCAAAACGATCGCGAATAGAATGAACAACACTTTCAAAAAAGAAGACGTCGTTTGAATAGCTGCAAATATTTTGGTAAGTGTCTGATAATTTCTACTTGGATGCGAACGAGAAATATTGAACATGTATAATATGACCGCTTTTTTAAATATAATTCCCATCAAAGAATACGAATAAATGTGTGCTTTTCATTATTTTACCCATATTCTCACGGTAAAAAAATGCTCTAAAACAATCGCAGTAAGCGTCACTGTTCTTAATGGCTAAAGTGTATACACCGTAACAAATTTTCTCTCCGTGTGACATTAAATAATTTTTCGCAAAAAAAGAATTCATCATACGAAGTCCATCATTAAATCGTTCTCGGAATTCATTTTAGTCACACGTCATCAAAATTGATAAACAAATAAACATATCAAGTCAAAAAAGACAATTTGTCTTTCAATAGTCAGTTTGTCCTGTCAACCTATCTCCTACAATGAAATATATGGAGATAACGTACATATCAAAATAGGTTTTCATATATATATGTATACATATAGATGCTGTAATCATTAGTAACATACTATATCACAAAAACTTCTGTCTTTTATTCTACCATATTGTAATTTTAAGTTAACAGCATTTCCTACACATATTCTACAGCTGTTGCATCCAAACTTTTAATTAAAAACAAACTCTACATTGTCTAGATATTTACCATATATAACAAAGTCACCCCACGTGTTCTTGTGCTTCCTCATCTTTCACTATTGTTCTGCTGGACACATCATTACTGGTGAAGAAAATATAGTTGAAAATGACCACCTCGAATCAATCATTAAAAAATTCAGGGATTTTCAATCTTTCAAACGGAACTTCATTTCTGTTATGTTATTCTGTAGACTGAAATTGATAAAAGAATTAGAAAGTTATATGAACAATAAGTTATGGTTCAATATAACTAAGTTTGTACCTATAAAGTGCTCCTTTTTAAGGTTCATTATTACAAATGCATTTCAGAAGAATTGGTTTTGTTCCTACGTGTGGTAATCCGACTTATACTCATAGTTCCCTTTTCAAAGTTTGAAAATTTTAAAAACCACATTCATTTTAAATACTTTTAACATTCCAGTCAATGGAAGTGATTTGACTTACCGTACATAAAATGAGTTCAAAACTTCATAAAAATTAATTGCATTGTCTAGTTAATTTTTTACAAAGCCCCTATCTCTACTTCTCAAAAAAAAATTAAATGTTGGCGTAAGGAAAAAAACTTGAGACGATTTTAAAATTGTGTGATTCAAACTGGATTCTAAATAACATTAAGAACTTTAAGAAAATTTGAATTCACATTCTATTTCCAAAATGAATAACATCAAAATCTATGACTTTTCAACACTTTAACAGCAATAAATTCCCCACGATAAATTTAAGATAAACTTTTTGACAAATAAACAACTGGTTTTTTTGTTTGTTTTTTTTAAAAATGGAACTCGGAAATTTTTAAGTTGATTCAAAGTTGAGTTGATAACTTCCGAACAAAGTTGTTCGGAAGTTGATTCAAAAAGAAGCTGGAGTTCCTTATTGTCAATGTATCTTTTGGGACTACTTCTTCCAACATTATGTTGCAATTTCGATTAGCGCCAATTATACTCCTTTATCAATTATCAGCCGATCTGTTTTTATATTTTTATGAAGCAGGCATTACCAAAACCTCAATACGTGACGAAGAAAACTCTTGCCTTGGCCTTCAATTTGACAATTGAATAATATATCCAAGAGAACTCGAAGCAAAAGACATCACAGAGTTCTACACATCTTATTATATATTTAGATGTTCCGTAGACTATAGATTTTAATGGCATAATAATTAAACTATATCACAAAAGCAATTTCTATCGTCTACATCTCCTATTTAAAAGTAATATTCTACTATGACCTGTATATGGAGTTTATATCACCACGCTTATTCGGTACAATGTATGCTAGAGCATGCTCTGGGTATTATAAATTTTCAAACTGAGGTAAGCCTCTGACAAACAAGTTGTTGGTTTTCAACAATCTCGTTTAGAATCAGAATTTCGCAAATTCATAATGACCATGTCACCGTTGGATCGTATTTTGACTGGCATATTTCATACCATTGTTTAATACTTATTTTTAGCGCATTCCTATACCCTGATCATAACAAAAGGCTTACAATAGATGTGACCTGTCGACAGGGGATACTTACTCCTCCTCCGAGGCACGTGAAAAGACCTCTTGTGTTTCCAGGGGTCTCTTCCAGCGTTCTTGTCCTGTTCGCGATAAATATTGTTTGTGGAATTTTTGGGTTTTTCACTGTTCGTTATCTTCATCTTTTTCATTTTATTATATATCCACAAAACGAGAGAGTATTTCATTTCCAATGTCAGGAATTATTCTTAGGTGTTCAAAAATTGACAGAATTGCCAGTAGCTGTTTTCACAATATTCGAATTTTTTCATATAGGATGTGTCTTGGAATGTGGAAATTTACTGATATATATGTTTTTGCTTCAATCCTTGGTCTACGTACGTTTACCTGTAAGAAAGGAAGGTACATTTAATTAATAGTATGTGCTCCTCGTTTTAAAATTTTGCATTAATTACTTAAAAAATATTATTGTATACAGTAAAATTCTTCTGCTAAACTGCTCATCAAAATTAACGTATTTCAATTTCAATATTTCTTCTCATGAATAAATGCAAGATATGACACCCATACCCACAGAAATCCTGGGTATATAATTGCAACGTTGTTTAATGTGCTTATCATGCTCATTTTATGTTAAGAAAGTCATTAAACCCTCTATCGTAGTAATAAGAAAACTGACTCACGTATTTCACTATTTCCTCAGTAGCTATCACTGACGACCTCATCACATTTCTTGGAAACAGCGATTTTTCACGCAAATGAAAGGAGGATAATTCTGAACTTCACCAAATACTTGGACATCACACCTACTCTGTTTAGTTGTTAAAGAATGATTTAACACGTTTATATCTCCATTTGTAATGGAAATGCATATTCAAAATATATGAATTTTACTTATCTTTCACGTCGAGGAATGCAGCTTAATAAATTATCTTTGTTTGTTGTATGGCGTATATATATCCCATTTAGAATATTTTGTAATCTCAGTGCACATAATCCCATGACGATTAAACAGGAATAGGAATATAGTAAATTTGTACATAGATACAAGATATATAGCGAGTTCCAGTAAATGTTCAACCAAGCCTCTATCTTTACTCCTCACCAAGATATTAACAGTGGTGAAGGAGAAACTTCAAGAGTACTGTGCAACAATATATTCGAGAAGTGGTGTAAATCAGATGTGGATACTTAAAAATTCCAAGGAACTTTTGGAAAATTTGAAATCACAAGATTTTACAAAAATCGACAGCTTAAAAACTTACGACTTTTCAACTTTATACACAACCATTCCCCACGATAAATTAAAGTCCAGGCCTTTTGATATCATTGACAGCTGCTTAGTCAATAAAAATGGAACTCGTAAATATACTTACCTTGTCATTGGTCATTTGCAAAATTATTTTGTTAAAAAACATTCTGATTGTTCACACAAGTACTCTGAAGATGACATTAAAAAGATGCTTGAGTTTCTGATTGACAATATCTATGTAGTTTTTGGAGACAGGTCTTCCAACAATCTATTGGAATTCCCATGGGTACCAATTGCGCCCCGTTATTAGCAGACCTTTTTTTGTATTCATATGAAGCAGAATTTGCCCAAAATCTTGTACGTGAAAAGAAAAAAACACTTGCTGTGGCCTTCAACTCGACATTTAGATATATCGACGACGTATTGTCAATTAACAATGGCTATTTCCATTCTTATGTCGATACGATATATCCTTGTGAACTTGAGATAAAAGATACCACAGAGTCTGACACATCTGTTTCATATTTGGATATTTTACTTGAAAAAGACGTTAATGGTAATCTAACAACCAAGCTTTATGATAAACGTGATGACTTTAACTTTTCAATCGTCAGCTTCCCTTTCTTATGCAGCAATATACCTTCATCACCTGCATACGGGGTATATATCTCTCAGTTGATTCGATACGCAAGAGCATGCTCTACGTATGTACAATTTCTAAAACGAGGTAAATTATTGACAAATAAGTTGATGAAACAAGAATATCAGCTGTCTCGTTTAAAGTCATCATTTCGTAAGTTCTATGGTCGATACAATGACCTTGTCAGCAAATACAATTTATCATCGAGTCAAATGCTGACTGACGTTTTTCACACTAACTGTTAGGCCATTATTTACACACTGAATTGTCGACGGATTTTTCCGTTATTTCCCGATCATGAAAAGGAGCACACGGCGGGTGTGACCGGTCGGCAGGGGCTGCTCACTCCTCCATGGCACCTGATCCCACCTCTGATGTTTGGAGGTCCGTGTTTGCTCTGCTCCTATTTTGTATTGATTAATGGACTTTTGAGCTTGAATACTGTTCGTTATCTCCATATATTTCCTTGTAAAAAGAAGATGGGTTGATTAGTGTAGGAGAAAGGTCCTGTATTTTTTCTGTATTTTGTAAACAATCTGAAAAAGAAAGTTTTCTGTAGTATGTCAATCAGAGAGTGTCTTTATCAGACGTGCCAGGAATGAATGTAGGAGGCCAGCCTGTGAAATCGAGGTAAAAGTGGATTTTTAGTGTTAGAATTGCGATGACTGATGCAATGATAGTATTATATTTAGTAAGGGGCTAGAGGATATGATTTTTTTAACTAGAAATCTTAAAGAGTCGCCCGCGTGGCACAGTGATTAAAGCGTCTGCTCTAGATCCTTATATCGGGGGTTCGAATCCCATTGTTAGACGTGGAGACCGGTCCTTCGGATGATACCGTATAAACCGAGGCCCCGTGTCGCAGTAGGTGCTGGCACGAAAAAGATCCCTCACTGCTCAATGGCCCTGAGTGCCGAGTATAGGTCAAAAATTTGCAGCTGTCCACAGGCAAGTGGTGACGTCTCCATACGAGTGAAAAATTCTCGAGAGGGACGTTAAACAACAAATAAACAAACATACAACCTAAAGAACATATTCTGTTTTTTTTTTTTTTTTTTTTTTTTTTTTAGATTTTAGTACCAATTTATTTGATTTGCTCAGGTAATAGAACTCTCCTCGACCTCCGACCTTTTGTGCAAGTCAGATGGATTATGCACAAAGGCAGATGTACTATTGTTGACGCATGTTTCAGTTTAAAGATGATGTTCTATTTCACTGTATCTTAAATTTAAGAGAGTGGAGATTCTTTTTTTCATTATACACAGGCACAAGCATAAGAAATAAATGTACCTTTTAATAATTCGAGATTTTTTTCTTTGGTTTTTCTCTCTTTTTTGGTAAATATCTTTGGTTTGTATTGCTTTTTTGGAAACTGTTTTGCTCTGTTTTTGGTTTTTCTTTCCTTAATAATTAATTTTGATATTTTTTAACGACACTTAAATATTATTCCGATGTTATTTATATTATTTGGTATTGTCTGGCACTTGATATGAAGTTAAATTTCAGTCACAACTTTCTGTTTTCATGTAACCTATTTCTGACATTATCATGATAACTATTTGGGTATATCAGGAACAGGATTTGCGTGAGTACTTGTTTTTGATTTGAGGAAAATGTACATGAACTCGAAGCACAAATTAAGGATACATGACACAAACATAAAATTGAATACATGGATTGATATATTTTTTGACTGAGTTTGAATAGAAATGACATAGATAAGAAAACCCTAAAATATAAAGAAGTCGTACATTTTCTTTGGTGCTTGAGTATGCAAGTTTGTGTCGTTTTCTTTGTAAATCTGTATAAAATTTTGCCCACATTTTTAAACATTATTACAAAATCTTGCAATTAAAATTTTTTTAACATATACCCTGGTAAACATCAATCAGGTTACCTATATGAAAATAAATCAGATATATATTGTTTTTTTTTTTAAAAAAGTTTGTGTTATTCATTCCTTAAGTACTGATCTGTTCAACGCGCAAGGAAGCTTCGCAATGTCTTAAAATGGGAACTGGAACCTCCTTTATGAATGGGAACCTCCTCTTGTAAAAGGAACTTCCTTTGTGAATAGAACCTCCTCCTGTGAATGGGATTATCCCCTTAAATTGGGAATATCCTTTTGTGAACAAATTAGAATTCTTCAGTAGGAAGATCGACAGCTAACGTCAAAGTATCTGCTTGACCTTTATTGCCGTGCAAGCAGTAGAGATATACCCAGACATAAAAATAATGTTAGAAAGACGGGTCGTATAAAAAAAACTACAAAATAAAACAATTTGTATACAACGGTCAGTAAAAACTGTTTACTTACCTGATGGAAAAAATTGCTGTGCTTGAATGAAATATATGAAGAAAACGAACCTGTCGACCGGTTACACCCGCTGTATGAACTACTTGAATGTTAGAATATATATATATATATATATATATATATATATATATATATATATATATATATATATATATATATATATATATATATATATATATATATATAAAATTGCATTAACATATGATACTTACAACTTGCGCCTATATAATCTGAGATAATAACACAGACTGTATTTAAACGTTTGTTTCATAATTTTGTTTTAGGAATTGTTTTAGAAGTATACTTAACTGTATCACGGACCCGCGTATTTTCATTATAATAGAAATCTTTACAGGAACACACGACAGCACTGCAAAAAATGCAAAAACATAGACTTTTGTCAAATGTTGATGTAAATGGTTGTCTATGTCATGTGCTGGGAAATAGGTCAGTAAACTACCCCGAATATTATACACCTGAGAATTATCAATGAGAAAACGCTAAAACAGAAACGATGTGTGAGTTCACGAGGCAACCTACTAGCCAATAAGATAGTCTAAATAAGGAGTGCGTGACATTTTTTCATATTAATAAGATGCCCAAAGTCGTTTACATTATGTTTGTAAAAAAGACCGGGCGTATTTACGCCAACAAGGAATACAGAGCACACGACTGGTCGGTCACATGCCGTCACTCCTTACGGGATAGTCTCAGTAGTCACTATATAAAAAGCTAGAGATTTGCCTTATTTCCATTGAGGTATATCTCCCCTAATTTTACTGCAGGCGGTAAAAAAGTGAGATAATAGTTTGTATTTTTGTCTTGGATTTTCCCCTTTTAAAATAAGAATTCATAATTTAATATTTTGTTTCTCTTAATCGTAATACTAAATTGATTTTTTTTTTCAAGGAAAAAAATTGATTCAAATAGAGACATTGTCATGGATAAAGAAAAAATCTCTAGTGTCTACATAGTAAATTCAATATGAAAGTCAAATGTTTTAGAGTTGATCTCTATCATTTCCTTTGTATTCGTTGTTAGATCAAAAAACAACCAGAAACGGTCTAATTTGTACAGAAATCTCACCGTAAAGTCATTTTTCAGTGAAGGCAGTACTTTCTTTCTTGGCTTTACTTGGCGCTGCTGTCTGTGTTTATGCTGGAGGTTACGGTGGAGGACACTATGGTGGTAAAACAGTAGCATACCCCCATTATCAACAGTACCAGCAATTTTACAGACCAGCCTACGCCCAATATTCCCAATACTACGCTAAACCAGCTTATGCCCAATTACAGTACGTACAGCCATCATACGTTGCAGTAGGCGGTGGTCAAGGTATCGGCTTTGGAGGCGGATCTGGAAATCTTTTTGGCGGATCTAATACTGGCTCCATTATCCCAATCATCATAATATGTAAGTAGAAATACTTCAAAAAAAAAAAAAAAAAAAAAAAAAAAAAAAAAAAAAAACTGTAATACTCTTCTCTAAGTGTTTACTCAATGCAAGCCGTGTGTGTTTTCTTTAAAATGAATCGCTCGATTGCGCTTCGATATAAGAAAGATTCGTTTTATCTTATTTGTTTAGTTGTATTGTTGGCCATCTTTGCTCCATTATTGATTGCCTCCCTTGCGTCGAGCAACGAGGCTTTCTATGATTCCGTGGGTAGTTAGAAAGTAACAGGTAAGAGTTTTACATAATATTGATATAATTTTTTCCATTTAATGCTCATTATGATTTCTGTGAAGGAATTCAGAGAATATTGTTGAATAATATAGCTACATGTATATAGGGAAATGTCACCAAGAGCTTTTGAATACTTCTATGTTACTAATAGAACAATTATGATTTTTTAAGTTTATTGCATCATTTTCATTTAATTAGATAAGTATGATGAATAAAAAGGATTTGTATATTACCATATTGAATGAAAAGAAAATATTATATACATATAATTATTTTTTCAGGAAGAATAGGAAAGGGGGAAAAATCAGTTCTTTTTATACCGACTGCCTGTATCATGTATTAATTTACAAATAAATATTTAGCATTCGCCTGTCTGTTTTATATTTACACTGAATGTACACAGGTTTTTCCACGTGTAAGTACTAAGACAGCCAAGACATATACTGTGGATATGAGTATTTTCTATGCAATTTATCCAGTGTTGTAAGTTTCTAATTGTGTCATATGGACAATCACATTGCAACAATTCACTTACCGAACAATTCATAATACTTATGCACTGCCCATGTGTTTTAAATAGGATTTGATGCTGAAAAATTTATTGAGATACTGAAAAAAGAAATTCATAGTTAATTGCCATATAGATAAAATAAGTAGAATGAAATATATGGAAATAACGAACAGTGTTCAAGCTCAGAAGTCCATTCAAACAATACAAATCAGGAGCAGAGCAAACACGGACCTCTAAAACATCAGAGAAGGGATCAGGTGCCATGGAGGAGTGAGCATCTGTGCTCCTTGTCATGATCGGGAAATAACGTGAAAATCCGTCGACAATTTAGTGGGTAAATAATGGTCTAACAATTAGTATGAAAAAACGTCAGTCAGCATTTGACTTAATGATAGATTGTATTTGCTGACAAGGTCATTTTATCGACCATAGAAATTACAAAATGATGACTTTAAACGAGACTGTTGATATCATTGTTTCATCAACTTGTTTGTCAATAATTTACCTCGTTTTAGAAATTGTTCATACATAGAGCATGTCATTGCGTATCGAATCAACTGAGAGATATAAACCCCGTATGCAGGTGATAAGGGTATATTGCTGCATAAGTAAGGAAAGTTGACGATTGAAAAGTTTATGTCATCACGTTTATCATAAAGCTTTGTTGTTAGATTACCATTAAAGTCTTTTTCTAGTAAAATATCCAAATATGAAACAGATGTGTCAGACTCTGTAGTATCTTTTATCTCAAGCTCACTGGGATAGATCGTGTCGACTTGTGAATGAAAATAACTATTGCTAATTGATCATACGTCGTCGATATTTCTAAATATCGAGTTGAAGGCCACAGCAAGAGTTCTCTTTTTCTCATGCATAAGATTTTGAATAAATTCTGCTTCATATGAATACAAAAATAGGTCTGCTAATAACGGGGCGCAAACGGTACCCATGGGAATTCCAACAGATTGTTGAAATACCTGATCTCCAAAAACTACAAAAATATTGTCAATCAGAAACTCAAGCATCTTTTTAATATCACCTTCCGAGTACTTTTGTGTACAATGGGAATGTTTTTAACAAAATAATTTTGCAAATGATCAGTGACAAGGTAAGTAAATTTACGAGGATTATGTTTCAGATGCTCAATATCAAGGCTCTGTAAAGTTTTCTTGTAATTAAAAATTTGGAAGCAATAGTCGATGTAGGAAATACAGGGTGTAGTCTTCAATTTCAAAACTGGTGGAATACAATGATCCTTTTGTGATTAAGAATAACACTTATATTAACCCCGTCAATTCCTTTGTTGGCATATTGAAGTCTAAGGAAAAAACGGGTTGTTTTAGCTATATTTACTTCCGTAAAACGTGGCGGTTTAAAAAGCCTAGTATGATTTGCAATATCCATAACCACAGATCTGAGCATGTGTTCTGGTGTCAAGAAATCCAAATATGGACTTTCCTTAACCTTTTCAAGTAGACGATTTAAAAGTTTCAAGGTAAAGAGTAAAGTTTGGTGCGAATGTGATTAAGACCTAACTTTTTGATTTACATAAGGTAATAATAAATCAACTTAGGAGACATCGTGTATAAAAGTTTATTGTATGACCGATACCCATGACTACGCTTACGTCTCTATGTATGGTTAAAAGTCCCATCACATTTACATTGCTACACTGTTGACTGGAAAGATTCCCAACACTATCGACATTGTCATTGCATCCATATGGAAAGGCCGTTTCTAGTTTTCTAATCCAATATTCTTCTCTTATTCTACTGAAAGGTGTACTCAATGATGTACTATCTGTGATGATAAATCTTTTCTAGAATTGTAATTTTCATTGATAAAATGGAATGATCAGGTAAATTGAAGTGTTTGTATAGAAGCTGCTGGCCCCCATTGTTAATTTGAAATCTATGTCCTGACATTCTTCTATTAAGAGAACCCTTGGTTTCACCAACATAAAAAAGTCCACAAAGATTACATTTTATTCCGTAGACAACATTAGAAGATTTGCAGTTCAGATTTTCCGAAGTTTTGGTATAGAAGGTCTGTCCAGTAAAATTATTAGTAAAAGAGGTGTTAGTAATCAAAACGTCATAGTTTTTGCAGTTTTTCACAGAACATTAAGAAATAGAAGACATGAGATCGGAAAAGGAATCATTAAATATATGTCTAATAGAAACTTTACATACTTTCGATTTTTTGTATTAACTATTGGTTTTATATACCAAAACTGGAAATCTGGAGACTGCACAAATGACAAATGTTTATTAATTATCCCTGAGGATTATCCGAGGGGCACCGAATGAACTCTTTGAGTCTGTGTCCCTTAATGACTCAAAAGAGTGAACTCTTTTTTTCAAATGTTGATATTCAGAAAAATGGCAACAATCTACCCATGTAATTTTTCTTATTCTAAAGCGGAAATTCTTCACTTCATAAACAACTTTTTTCAGTGTGTTTGACTAAATACTTTTTAGAAATAGATGAAACTTTCTACCAACCAATGATTTCCTTTCAGTTCTTTGTTTTAGATTCAAGGCACGGTTTTCCTGGTTTTTAAAGTGTCGAAAATGTTATTGAAAGTGCTTTAGGCCTAATTTGTTGTTAACTATGGAATTTCATCCACGGAAGCCAATCTTTCTGTTTATTTCCACTAGTAACTCCCACTGTCCATATAACCACAGATAATAATTAATGCCTGTGTTGTGGGTCAAATAAACATGAATGCCATCTAAAATCAATCACACATTCAAATCTAAACCTTTATTTACAATAAATGTATCAATGAAATGTACTATCTCACATTACTGGAAGGCCTTGGCATATATCGGGTCTTCTGTCATTTCCCAGATCCTTGTAACAGGTTTATTGGTGTTGGTAGTACATCATACACAGTTCTTAGCAGGAACATGAGATGGAAGGGTATGTAATTCCATAAATAAGTGTTTAAACATTAAATTTGCCCATTCTTTGAGCATGTTGAGTTTTCTGTATGCATGCTCAAATGTATCAGTTTCTCAATAAATTTTATTTATTACATTTTCAACAGTGAAATACTGTGATTTATTCATTGAATAAAAGTGATATTCTCTCACAGTGTGAAAGGATACCAAAAATGATATTCTCTCACAGTGTGAAAGGATATCAAAGTAAATAAAAAAAATAATTTCTGGCCTGTCATAAGATAGAGATAGTAACTAAGCATCTTGATAGAGCTAAAACTGCAAATTTCTTCCTAAATATGTTGCTAAAATCCATGCTATGTAATGTTTTCAATCTGACACACAACTTCTAAGCTGTGACGTCTCAACCGCTCAACTATGACGTCAGGCCTATGACACTGTGTTAAAAAAAGACAGAGGCAAAGGGAAAATCAAAGAAAATGTAATAAACAGAAAATTCAATGTTTTGTAGATGAATATGGAATTTATTTCACGAGTGGTACAGGATTTTTTGATATTTTCACTCGTGCTTCGCACTCGTGAAAATATCAAAAAATCCTGTACCACTCGTGAAATAAATTCCATATTCATCTACAAAACATTGAATATCCTCTATATATATCATTGCAGCTTACAATGACTTGTTGAATAGTTTCAATATCCTTTTTACAGAAGCTACACATATCAGTTTTAATATTATTTTGTTAAGTAATAGCCTACAGGAAGAATTCTGTGAAGAAGTTGGTATTATTATTATTATTTTTTATTTTTTTTTTGTATTTTTGGTTGGAATTTTTTTTTGACTGGGATGGACCCCCCCCCCCCCCCTGGAAAAAAAATCCAAAATTCCGCGCCTGGATTGGTATATTTTTTAAAGCAATTGAAGATAGTACAAATAACAATTATGTACTTGGAGTTAAGATTGAAATTTTGCTGTAAAGCAAACTTTGAAAGAAAAATACACTCATCAGACATAAATCTCCAACAATTTTGATACAAGACTGTATTTTGATACCAATTTTCTATATTAAAAAAATACATTTTTTATTTATCTCTATGCTTGGATTGTACCCTTCTGAAATATTCCTAGCTTTAATTTCAATATGTATATGCTATCTCGTTCGATCCCTTTTATTTTATTCTTTAAAGAACTAAAAACATTACTTTTTTTTTTGTCATTTGACCATTTTATCTGTTTGATAGCTGTCAACACTCCTTACCATGTTCGTCTGTTTGGAATAGAATTGCAGGTCATATATCTGAGCCTATTTTAGACGTCATGAAAATGTCTTTTAAAAAAAAATAGGTGCTCCTCTTTGTGACATTTAAAGGTCATTAGTTTTGTTTGTTCGTTTGTTTGTCTTTCTTTTGTTTCTTGTTCCATATTTTTACACAAATCCAAAATGACGTTGCAAGGGAGAGATTGTTTGCAAAGCCCTTGTAACAGCAGGGCTGCGTTCCCACAATGTTGGCACGGCGTTGTTGAATTTCTGGTATCGCCGTGGAATGTCAGGAAAATTCAATTTAAATTTTCGAAAGATTAATCATGTTAATATATGATGTCACGGCGTCTTGACGGCGACCAAGGCGGTTATACGGAGCTCAAGCGGCGTGCTATAATATATAAGCAATTTCCTTCGTAGTTCTTACTGACGATTGATTGCGCTCCCGCTGAGTGCTCATGACGTGGAAGGAGTTAACACTAAGCGTTTATAAAGCCCTAACTGCGTTCCAAGACGTTCTTTCGACACCGAGAGGTTTCTGTGCAAGCGCCGTCAACTATGCCACTGCGTCCATACTGCGATCATGTGCGTCACTGGAGCGCGCTAACGGAGTTCTTGTGGCGCTGTTTGAGACCTTACAGCGCTGTTACGGTGACCATTACTGCGTCTTTATCAGAACGCAGAGCCATGCATGGCGCATACTTTGTGCATGCTCAAAGTGCACGCCGTCGCATGGCGTTCTAGGCAACCCAACCGCTTCACTTTGAAATCCCACCGAGTTCTTTCAGCGCTATACGAGACTCTATTGCGCATACCTCGGTGCTCTGCTTTTTTTGTGGACGTTGTGGGATCGCCGTGAGGACGCAGCCCTGGTGTGACAGGGATTTTAGATTGTATAAAAGAAATTGATTTGACAGACTCCACTGTTGAAATGAAATCTTAGCATAAGTACTCGCCAGAGCTCAATTCCTTTTAAAATACAAGCTCGGATCTGTGATTATGGATATTGCAAATCATAGGCTTTTTAAACCGCCACGTTGTACAGAAGAAAATGCAGTTAAATAACCCGTTATTTTCCCTTAACCTCCAATATGGCAACAAAGGAATTGACGCGGTTAATATATGCCTAAGTAATATTCTTAATCACAAAAGGGTCCAGACTTGTATTCCACCATATTTCAAGTTGAAGAATACCCCTTGTATTCCCTACAAATACACATCGACTATTGCTTCCAAACTTTTTAATTACAAGAAAACTTTACAGGGCCTGGATATCGAATATCTGAAACATAATCATCCTTCGTGTTCATGTTCTTCTTCGCCCTTATAATCCTGCTGGACACGTTAATTATTACTGGTGACGTAAATAATGAGGACCTTAGATCACTAATTTTAAAACGGCCAAAATTTAGGGAACCCCGATCCTTCAACTGGCGTAGTAATTTCATACATATTATGGATTCTGTAGAGGATTACGCCAGGCGTTGGGTCAAACATGAAAAAGAACTTAATTGACACTAAAATTTCGCATTAAACGATTGAGGGGCAGTATGAAAACCATCTATCCTTCTGTATTCAATAAAGCAGAAGTGAAAAAACAATTAGATAGATTATACGATCAGTATGTACTGGTTCCTGCTGACAAAGCAGGTAAGAACATTGTGTTTGTTTGTAAGGCTCATTATATTTTAATTGTATTTTAGAGGAACTGGTATTTAATTCTACAAGTGGTAATCCAACTTATACCCATAGCCCCCTTTCTGAGAAGGAAATTCTTCAAAATCATATGTCAGTTTTGAATATTTTTAATATTCCCAACAACCAAAATGAATTTGAATTACCATATCTATATTCATATTGGATTCCGAAACTTCATAAAAATCCTTACAAACAAAGATACATAACGGTTTCCAGTAAATGTTCTACCAAGCCTCTTTCTTTACTCCTCACTAAGATATTAACAGTATAGTGCAGGAGAAACTTCAAGAGTACTGTGCAACAATATATTCGAAAAGTGGTGTAAATCAGATGTGGATACTAAAACAATTCCAAGGAATTTTTGGAACATTTAAAAATCACAAAATTTTACCAAAATCAACAACATAAAAACTTACGACTTTTCAACTTTAATTATATACAACTATTACCCACGATAAATTAAAGTCCAGACTTTCTGACATCGTTGACAGCTGCTTTTTCAATAAAAATGGAACTCATAAATTTACTTACCTTGTCATTGGTCATTTGCAAAATTACTTTGTTAAATAACAATTTGATTGTACACACAAGTACTCTGAAACGGGTGGTCGTGACCATTTCTAGACTATATTGATCTCCTTTAGAAGAAGAGCTCCATATAAAGATATACAAAAATGATCAAATTTTAAAACTAAAATGTATGAATTTTTTCTTTGCCAAATGATAGTTGACAGCTTAAGATATCATATCTAAAAAAATAAGTTATATCTGATGGTTAATTTGTTGACCCCCCAGCCTCCTTAAAAGATGCTCGAGTTTCTGATTGACAATATCTATGTGGTTTTTGGAGACAGGTCTTCCAACAATTTATTGGAATTCCCATTGGGTACCAGTTGCGCCCCGTTATTAGCAGACCTATTTTTGTATTCAAATGAAGCAGAATTTGTTCAAAATCTTTTACGTGAAAAGAAGAAAACACTTGCTGTGGCCTTCAACTCGACATTTAGATATATCGACGACGTATTGTCAATTAACAATGGTCATTTCTATTCTTATGTCAACACGATATATCCCGGTGAGCTTGAGATAAAAGATACCACAGAGTCTGACACACCTGTTTCATATTTGGATATTTTATTAGAAAAAGACGTTAATGGTAATCTAACAACATAGCTTTATGATAAACGTGATGAAGTTTACCTTCAATCGTCAACTTCCCTTACTTATGCAGCAATATACCCTTATCACCTGCATACGGGGTTGATATCTCTCAGTTGATTCGATATGCAAGAGCATGCTCTACGTATGAACAATTTCTAAAACGAGGTAAATTATTGACAAACAAGTTGATGAAACAAGAATATCACCAGTCTCGTTTAAAGTCGACATTTCGTAATTTCTATGGTCATTACAATGACCTTGTCAGCAAATACAATCTTTCATCAAGTCAAATGCTGACTGACTTTTTTTCCTACTACATGTAATTGTTAGGCATTATTTACACACTGATTTGTTGACAGAATTTCCGTTATTTCCGGATCATGATAAGGAACACAAGGTGGGTGTGACCAGTCGGCAGGGGATGCTCACTCCTCCATAGCACCTGATCTCACCTCTGATGTCTTAGAGGTCTGTGTTTGCTATGCTCCTATTTTGTAATGTTTAATGGACTTTTCAGCTTGAATACTGTTCGTTACCTCCACATATTTCATGTTATTCAGTGCAAAGAGCATCATGTTCTCTGTTATCTTTTAGAGTTTTATTTTCATTCACAAGATGGTCATATACAAATGCGTCAAAGTCTAAATTGTGATCGGCTAGAGAAGTTCCAAATAGTGACAAGATTCAGAAAAAATGTGGTGAGACCAAAACATTTTGCCTCTGTATTATTTACACCCTTCATACTTATGACCAACTTTATATACATTAGAGCAATAAATCTTAAGGAGTTATCATATCATTTCAGAGCCAGAATGTGCAAGTCTTGAAGGGGGATTAAACTATTATGGATATATGAACACAGGGGTTTGAACCAAAGTTCAAAATATCACAGGTTTCAATGAATTACAGTCGAACTTCAGTATCTCGAACAAAAGTATCAATATGTTGAAGTGAGTTGGAAGTTCATTGAGTTCTTGATGAAGTTTGACTGTATGACATTGGATAACAAATAACTTATGATACAGGACATCTCTGTCTTGCAATTTTATCTTGTACTTATAAAAGATATTAACAACATAAACTCAAAACAGTATTTTATTTAATTTAAATAATACATACAAATGAAGCTAAATAATTAATATCTATCTATGATAGTGGAGTATTTACACAAATTAGAAATTATGTCAACATTTTATATAGGAGAAAAAATTCTAACCAGGTGTGTATATATATATATATATATATTATATATATATATATATATATATATATATATAATGTATTATAATTTAGTGATAAATACATCGGAAACATTTTTTCCCCTTCCATTTGTTAATATAACTGTAAAATTATAATATTTAAAAAATGGAAATATTTAAGATATCCAAGAGGAGATCATGCAAGTCCCACATTTAAACAGAATTTATTTACATACATTACTGAGACCAACGCCTCCATCCCACCCCATGCACACACTCTATCTCTCTCCCTCTAAACTTCCTTAATTTCTCCTAGTTCACATCTGTTCCCTTCTCTCCCAGGTTAATGCTTTGAGAACATAAAGATATATTGCACCTTTGATGTACAACACATCACAGGAAATTTTTATAAACTCCGAATATTTTGGGTTTTTAAATAAACCTGAAGCAAATAACAATTACATCTACAAAATGTATAACTGTTAAAAATCTGTTGAATAATAAAAATATATTGCACAGTTTCTGAACAAAAAATTAACTGATTTCCAGAAGTCTTTAACGAGATTTTAGCATTCAATAACTACAACAGAACAGAATAGCATGTATTACATGTTTACATATATACTCACAAGCTTAGAGAAAAATGTTCCTTCTGAACTTGTAACATTTATTTTTAAATCTTTAGTTATTTTTTTTCTAGAGTAGAACAATTGACCCATTTTTAAAATCAAGTCAAAGAAAACAGCATGTTTAATAAGTCATTCTTCCAAGAAAAAAATCTATTACAGTAAAATATGTACCTTAAATGATGACTTTACACAGTGTTATCTATACTCAAATTAATTTAAAAAAATAACAAAAAACTGAGAAGATTAGCATTTTCAATGGGTTTCAAAGATTTTCCCATTTTTATAAAAGTGACAATGACATTAAATTGTACAAGTAATCAAAATTCAATAAAGTTATCTTGAAAGTTTGTACTAGTGTTAAGTTTTATTGAAATGAAGTGTTTGGGGGAGTAACTTTTGGAAAAATGAATTATTAACACTCATAGATAAACTGACTCTTTGTCATGCAGAAATGCCTTTATTTCCTGACAATTAGGGGCTGAAAAAAGAGGCCAATGGGCCACAATGCTCACCTTAATCATTTTTGCCCAGCAGATTTAAAAAAAAATAATTTGCTCTGTAATTTCATATTTAATTTGACTCCATGTTGATTTTTTCCTATACATTCATATGTAAAACTTTGATCACCTATTGTGGCCACGCCCTAGCCCTGGGGGTCAAGATTTGAATAAATTTGAATATAAACTACGTAATGAAGCTGCACAAAAGTTTCATCCTTTCTGACTCAGTTATTTTTTAGACAAAGTGTTTTAATAGATGCCATTAAATTTTAACTAATTCTTAATTATCTCCCTTTGAAAGAGGGTGAAGTACATGGCCCTTAAATTGAACAAATCTGAATTCCCTTCACCCAAGGATGCCTTGTGGCAAGTTTGGTTAAAACTGACCCAGTGGTTCTTAAGAAGAAGTTGAAAATGTTAAAAGTTTACAGACAACAGATGACAATCAGATGCCAGACACCCTTCGATCAGAAAAGGTCACCTGAGCCTTTGGCTCAGGTCAGCTAAAAACAATAATAAACCAACCAATTATTTAGAGGAACGCAAAGCTCACCTAAGTAATTTTGTCTTTGAAAGAAATTAACAAATTTCAATACAAATGTTGAAAAATTTAATTATTTTTCTTTAATATTAGCCTTGTCACTCTGAAAAAAAAAATATTTTATTTAAAAACTCCTTAGTCAAACTTTAAATCTTTTAATAAATATATTTTTTTCAAATGTATAAAAATAAACTTCTCTGTGTCCTCATTCTGGGTCATGGTTTGAATAAATTTGAATTTATACTTGAATATCAGTTTTGCAATAAATTGCAATAAATTGTATCATTCATCTAAGAACACTATTTTTGGAGCCATTTTTATATATTCCCATGTAATTCTTAATCTTGTATGGATTGAGCTGTTTTGGCTCAAGAGCTTGCACTGAACAAACTTTATTTTTTAAATTTTACTCTTGAAAAATTATTTCTCAAATTATACTTACAGTTGTATATATTGATATTCTAAAACTCTGTGCATCTGTTGTAGTTTATCTGGATTTTAAGGTAAATGACTTTTATAGCCAATGACCAAGTGAAGCTAAGAAAATTCAATCTTGTTGATACAAAGATTCTAAAGATTTTTTTTTACGAAGACCATACTCCCCTCCCCCCCCCCCCCCCCCCCCCCTTTAAATCTATTTCTCGATATTTCCTGGCAGGAGATGAGAATTTTATGTGAAGAGATAAAAATTTATTAATTCAAGAACAATTTATGTCTAATAAAGTTACATTGTATATATGTTTCAGTTGTAAAAGAAGTAAAACAATGTACAAAATTAACAGATGACAGATGATGGACAATTTTCAATTCAAATAATATCCCACTTCCTATGTGGTAGAGGTGTATTGTCAAATAGGCATTTTCAAAACTTGTTAAAGCAGAATACCATTGAAAATAAACAACAATGGTTTAGATATCAAAAAAGATACGTACAGTATGCATAAACAAGAGGCCCAAGGGCCTTAACGGTCACCTGAGTATGATACAACAATTTCAAGGATGCATAGAGTATAAAATGAACTGAAAGGTGAAGCTTTGTTGCCCAAAAGCAAGAAAAATAGGGTGATCATGATCAACAAAATAATTGGTCTTAATATTCATTAACAGTTCATAAATTAGGTTCTAATCTGTTCCCCATTTATCACTATCACTATACAGTATATTAACAAATTATCAATGCTTCTGTACTATTTTAATCCTTTGTTGAAATCTCTTACATTGGCATCTCTTGGTCTTTGATGAATATTTAATAAGACCAGAACCCCTGATCCAGGGGCCACGAATTTCACAATTTTGAAAGAGGCATCCTTGATTATCATAACTATGTATTTAATGTGTTTCAATAATACCCAGGAGTAGAGAAGAAGATTTTCAAAGAATTAATGCATTTTCACTATATAATCAATAGAGCCCCACCCTAACACCAGAACCCCTGACCCAGGGGCCATGAAATTCACAATTTTGAAAGAGGCACTCTTGCTCATCATAACTATGTACTTAGTTACTGAATTTAATACCCAGGAGCAGAGAAGAAGATTTTCAAAGGATTAATGCATTTTCACTATATAATCAATAGAGTCCCACCCTAACACCAGAACCCCTGACCCAGGGGCCATGAAATTCACAATTTTGGAAGAGGCACTCTTGCTCATCCTAACTATGTACTTAGTTAGTTTATTTAATATCCAGGAGCAGAGAAGAAGATTTTCAATGAATTAATGAATTTTCACTATATAATCAATAGAGCCCCACCCTAACACCAGAACCCCTGCCCCTGGGGCCATGAATTTCACAATTTTGGAAGAGGCACTCTTACTCATTATAACTATATACTTAGTTAGTTTATTTAATACCCAGGAGCAGAGAAGAAGATTTTCAATGAATTAATGAATTTTCACTATATAATCAATAGAGCCCCGCCCTAACACCAGAACCCCTGCCCCTGGGGCCATGAATTTCACAATTTTGGAAGAGGTACTCTTACTCATCATTACTATATACTTAGTTTATTTAATACCCAGGAGCAGAGAAGAAGATTTCCAAAGAAATAATGCATTTTCACTATATAATCAATAGAGCCCCGCCCTAACACCAGAACCCCTGCCCCTGGGGCCATGAATTTCACAATTTTGGAAGAGGTACTCTTATTCATCATAACTATATACTTAGTTAGTTTATTTAATACCCAGGAGCAGAGAAGAAGATTTTCAAAGAAATAATGCATTTTCACTACATAATCAATAGAGTCCCGCCCTAACACCAGAACCCCTGCCCCTGGGGCCATGAATTTCACAATTTTGGAAGAGGTACTCTTACTCATCATTACTATATACTTAGTTTATTTAATACCCAGGAGTAGAGAAGAAGATTTCCAAAGAAATAATGCATTTTCACTATATAATCAATAGAGTCCCGCCCTAACACCAGAACCCCTGCCCCAGGGGCCATGAAATTCACAATTTTGGAAGAGGCACTCTTGCTCATCCTAACTATGTACTTAGTTAGTTTATTTAATACCCAGGAGCAGAGAAGAAGATTTCCAAAGAAATAATGCATTTTCACTATATAATCAATAGAGCCCCGCCCTAACACCAGAACCCCTGCCCCTGGGGCCATGAATTTCACAATTTTGGAAGAGGTACTCTTACTCATCATAACTATATACTTAGTTAGTTTATTTAATACCCAGGAGCAGAGAAGAAGATTTTCAAAGAAATAATGCACTTTCACTATGTGATCTATATAGCCCCGCCCTAGCACCAGAACCCCTGACCCTGGGGCCATGAATTTCACAATTTTGGTAGATGACTCAATGCTTATTACAATGATGCCAACAGTTTGACTGCTTGATGTACAGGAGTAAAGAAGAAGATTTTTAAAGATTGCATTAATTTTGGTGGTTTTAGCCCCACCCCTCAGGCCCCAGGGGGGTAGGGACCATGAAATTCACAATTTTTGTTCCCCTTCACCCATAGATGCTATATGCCAAATTTAGTTGAAATTGGTTGAGCGGTTTCAGAGAAGAAGCTAAAAATGTTCAAATGTTAACGCACATCGCACGTCGCACGACGCACACCGACGGACAAAAACGGATAGCAATAGGTCACCTGAGTGACTCAGGTGACCTAAAAGAGAAATCATGTTTTGTGTCTTGTGTTGAAATTTGCAGAAACAAAAGTGTACAGGAGACAATTCTGTACACAAGTAAAGGATATCTTAAACAAAAAACTGTACAGTTTGCATTGAAATGGCAGGATTTGAAGTAGTTGCTTAGATCAGTAAAGCAGTGCTGAAGATAGGTCAGACTAGGCCGAAACCCTGAAATCCCTCATTGATGGCTATCAAAATTGATCTGTGCAAGCTCTCCATTGAGTCATAATCTGGTAAGCACAACTGGTTAAAGCTGCAAGAAATATTGAAATATTGTAATGAAATACATGTAGTTAATTACTGGCTGCTAAACAATGATTTGTCTCTGACGATTAAACATTAATGCAACCAGGTGGATGTCTATCATTACTTTCATATTGTTGCCTCCTAATTCTGAAAATCTATCCTTTATATCCTTTTGTGAATTTTTTCTTGCCCAGTGTCTTGCTCCTTCCAAGTTCAAATCTCTGACCTTTAACTGATTTACCATTATGCCTGGCCAACTATAACTTCTTAAAGTAAATGTATATGTCAATGTAATTCCTTTCTCATTTAACAGAACTTTTATCATTTTGCATAATTTTTATTTTAAAACATTTACTCACAAGAACTCCTTATATAATTATACATTATACAGCAATAACCAAAATTTGTGAAAACTCTCTCTTGCTTATAAATAGAAAATAACTATCTTGCAAAAATAAGGTGTCATGAAAAGTTTTGATTTACAGTAGGTGGAGTGCCATTTTTGAAGGTCATACTACAAACTCAAAAGTCAAGATCAATGTAGCTGTTGAGTTTATATTTTGTTTACCTCGTATCTTTCAAGCCAAAAAAGAAAATGACTTCTGTGTCACTTTATCATACTTTTCTTAAGTTACAACTCAAGTTCTTTTTTTAGATGTAAAGCTGTAAGTTTCTGTACATTTTGGTATCTAGAAAGCCTTAAAAGACAGTTACTTGATATCCTTTTGCATGGGTTTGTTTAAAGACCTTGATCAGAAATATATTTATTACCTGATACTCCTTGGGAAAATACATTCCGAAATTATTGCCTGATTACGTATTATATAACTGTATACTAAATCCACAGCTCTACATTAAATCTTTTTCTTACTTGTCTATTCGGAAAGTGTCTAGGAAATTAACTTGTCTGGACATAATTTTTATTTTTGAACTATAAAGAACTACTCAACAACTTGAAAAATATTGTAAATTGACATAGAGCTAGTCTATGTATTCACTGAGTCTACTCTATGATTATTTTCAACTCAGTTGTATCATAAGTAGTCAACAAACTTTAATTTGCCTTTTTCTCCTCTTGTTATTACCCTTGTCTTTGTTTATTACAGCTTTCCTACCCAATACTGAAAACGCAAACTTTGTCAGATCCATGCAACTAATCGAAGTTTAAAATCAAAAGTAATGCCTCCGTAGTAGACTTCAATCTTGATTGAGTTTGACAACCAGGATCAAAATTCATTATTATGATAGGGATCGAAGTTTACTATTTAAGCATTCATTTTCAACTTTAAAAAAAAGATTCTGCACAGAAAAATCACTTGTCCAATCGGACAAGTGCACTTGTCTGTCATAATTTTTCACTGGTACAGACAAGTGGACATACTTTAATGTGGAGCTCTGAAATCATGATAGAACTTATTGTAGCACAATACCATGTATGAGCTGTGGGAAGTGTGTTGTAGGTGGGAGCAAATGAGATCTGGAATTTTGGATTGAGGTCAGCAAATCCGCCAGCTGGAAGCTGTGAACACCCTGTAGTAAACTGGAGCAGGCGAGCCATCTGCTCCTCAGTGAAGCTGTCCACTACCGTCCAAAACCAATCCAACACCTAACAAACAGAAAAAGTCAAATTAGAAACTATCAATTATATTCTCTTATCTAATCTTTAATATTATGATGTGAAAAATATTTTCATTACAGAATCATCAGATTCATTATGATTCAATGTTATGAGTCCTTTTTTTCAATTTTCATTTAAAATAATCATTTTCATTAGATTTCTACATAAATCATTCAAAATAAGTAATTACTTTGAATAATGAGCACTATCCTATGAGCTATTACTTTTGACAAAGACGCTGCCTACCTTAAAGAATGAGTATGAAGTTCCATCTATCACAGCATGTGCTTTGAAGTCCGTTACACTATAATTTCCTGTTCCACACATCAACAGCTACACAAAGCAGAAAACATCTTAATAGGTTTTGCTCATATTCTCATTCGATGATACATTAAAATTGATTAGCAATGTGGTTTTCTAGAACTTTAAATCAAACTATGTAATTATCATTGTGCACTGAATTATTTTTTTTAAAAAAGGAGAATTTTCATGCACATGCAGATTTCAAAGAAATGTACAGGTATAAATCATATGAATGCAAATCACCTCCAATTCATTTTCATCAAATATACTGAGCAAATTATCTGGAATCAGCAGATTAAGTCCCTTTAGGAAGGCTTCTACTTCCTCCCGGCAGGAACTGACCAATCGGTATTGAGCTAGGGAATTCAGGTAGTGAAGTTTATTATCGTTAGTTACAGACATCTTATATCCATTTGGTACCAGGTCCACCACCTTTTAATTAATAAATATCAAGATTATATCTATTTCATTTCTATTTTATATATACTGGTAATGTATCTAAAAATTGAGTGCAGACTGTTAAGGTGAATTAATTAATTCATTAGAACTTTAATTATTAATAACAGGAACATACAACCAGACAAGAGGCTGAGGAAACATAATCTCACTTGAGGCCCATTTTTCTACACACTTCTTTTCCTAGCCTATGTAAATCTCTAACCCTGCTCTAGTAGCAATACCCCAGGGAAAGGGGCATGGTTTTAATAAAATTGAACCTGCACTCCTAAAGGATGATTGCATATTTATCTGAATGATTGTGGCCCTATTGTTCTTGAAAAAAAAATTTCAGTCTATTTTCTTCTGTATAGTAAAACATGCTTAGAGTGAACACGCTTTTAACAATTGATGCTTACAACAAATTAATTTTCATTCTCCTTGACTTTTAAATATATTGAACACCCAAATTTTTTACTGTACTGTTTTCTGAGGAAGGGGAGTGGTCTTGGTAGTACTTCTGTTATTTACCTGGAGAGCCCCAATACTCAAGATGTCAAAAATCCCTATACACGTTGCATTACACAGGAAATCTGTCTTTGGTAATCAGGGTCAATATTACGCGTTTCGTGTCTAATTTTGAGCAAAAAATACAACTTTAATATAAAATTTATTAAATAAGTATGAATGTTGAAATTTAAAAAATCCCATTTATCAAATTTATCCGGCGTGTGGATTTTTACCACAATCGGAATGCATGTATTTATTTTTTCTCCCAGTGCAAACAATGTACCGGTAGTCCAAAATATTCAGCATTTCCGAAGGTCCGTGTTCACAGATTTGTACTGTTTGTAAGATTTTAATTAAGATTGATCACTATTCGTATTCATTCTATTTCATTTTGTCATGATTTTAACTGGCGGGCTTCGCGTTGAGTTTCTGTGCACCCAAATGTAGGGTCGACGGGCATTACGGTGATTACTAAAATCTAGGCAAAGGGGCTTGGAAGAATTATCAGTCTTAGCTGCTATGGGAACTTCGTTCCTCTCCGGATCAAAGTCCAAGGCAGTAATTGAAAAAGATTGAGCCGCTAGTTTTTCTTCAAAAAAGAGTTACATTTTTTTTGGACATGAACATCATATCGCTTTTAAATAGTACCAAACAGCAGTGGAGATTGGAAAAAAAATACCATGAAGTCAAGGTTTAATTATCTACTCTTAATTATATCAATAAAATGACCAACCAATATAACAGCGACTTGATTTTTTTTTTTTTTACACCTGAATGTATACACAAAGTGGTATTTTCACGCAGTACATGAAAGTGTTTGACGCGTGACCAGGCAATCATTTTCAAAACCTGCAAATTCAGATTATCAGGTAGCACGGGTAGCTGGCCTGTCAATCAAATCAGTAGCTATTGTTTTTTCTGTGATTGACAGGCTGTATATTATTGATCTGGAATCAGGTAGATTTTGGGGGCGTTAACGTAAAATTGGGTGTTTAAGGGATATAATGAATTACACATATAATGAAGCAAAATTGTCCGTCCCTGGCATTTCATTATATGCATGTTTTACTGTATTATATAAATTTGTATATAAGGTACAATAAGTTGGGCCATTAGTGGCCTACCTTGCCTCCAAGGCTCATTTCACCTGCAGTATGTGAGGATGCTAACATATTAATTTTTGGCCCTGTTCTAGTGTTCTTCTTGCAGATGAAATGATTTATAAATACCGGGTATATATATATTTCCCAATATATTTTGATAGCTCCTGTTGTGGACTCTTCCTAGCCCCCTAGACCAAGATTGAACAAATTTGAATTTATGGTGCACTATATAAGAATTATTAATCGTTAAAACTAACTAATTATTACCCTTTTGTTCTTAGAAACAAATTAAAAGATTTTTCCCCCATATATTCCTACATTAGACTTCAATCCCTATGGATCATGATCTGAAAATTAAAAAAAATATGGGAGCTTTTAGCTTAGTTTTGTTTTTTCTCCCCCAGTGGTTCAAAGGGAGATTTTTTGTGCTATTTATTAATTATCTCAAATGGGAAATGGGTATGACTTTCATTTGAACAAATTTTCATCCCTTTGCCAAAAGATACTCCATAGCTTGAAATCGGCTTATGGTACTTCTTCTTTAGAAGAAAACATAAAAGTTTGTCAACATTCTTGAAGATTGATCATTCAGACATATTCATGAAGTGAAATGGTAAGTTTGGCAATTTTCTTGACATTTAACCTTGCATGGCCTTTAATTGAGAGACCTGTAGGTGTCTTTCTCTAGCCATTCTCTACCTACATGTGTATATAATATAAACAGTATACCTGGTATACATATACTTACAGTGTATGTTCTTGTCTCTTAAGAGAGAGACAGACGAATGTATAGATTACTATAGGGTATCTGCATTTTATAAAAACAATGATGAACACAGTTATCCACAGTGACAGCTACATGTATCCATTCCATTCTTAATGAACTCATTGCATAAAATCAAACTGCATCATTCTTTTGCAACATTTTGTATATAAATGAATGTTGACATTGTCTTTTTATTTCTTGAATGTAATTTGGTATGTAAATTGGAGATTTAAAATGAATGGAACAGAAATCTGACCTTCATAAGATGACCTTCAGCTGAGTACTCTTCCTCTGAAAAGGTCAAATCCATGTCTTCAATGTCATTCTCCAGAATATACTTCACCTTGGTTTTGTATAGTTCAGGGTCATCCATTTCAAAATACTACACAAGAAAAGCAAGTATTACTTTGTAAACTATTAATACATCATTTTTTCTATCAGATAAAGATTGAACCACTTTGTGCATCCTTCTTATTTAAAATGTTCCTACATATACAACCAATTTTAATGCATTTCATTACTGTAGATTCCTAAATATACGCAAAGAATTAATTGTCGCGTAATTACGCGAGAAGCTCCACTCGTGAAATAAAATTACTCGCTTTTATTTTTTATGATGTTGAAATCAATGTAAAATCCCTTGATCAACCGTCCACTCGCAAATTATTGTTCTTGCGATTTGACGTTAAAGGGCCATTTCGCGAAAATAAGTACTCGCAAAAAATAAGGAATCTACAGTAATTTGAGAACACTTACATTTACAAAACATACCTTGTAATTCACTTGTAATCCAATTAACTGAGCTAAAAACGACCTTGAGAATGTGGCCTTTACCAGTTGTCTGTAACCACTTCCTTTGGCAGAGTCAAATAAGCATTTCCCAACAATTTTACCAGCAAATTCAAAATACTTTAATTTGGAAGTCACACTTCTTTTTCCATTTGGATGAACCTATTGTCAATGGATACAACATGTTAATCAACAGAATTCTCTCATACATGCATATTGACTATATAATGTTTTACAAATTAACCATCAATCATGATTTTTACCATAATTTGATCTACTAAATAATATATTTATTATATAGCCAATAAATAGTCTATAATTAAAAACTAAGAGAAGCCTAGAGAATTTTTAGCATTTAATATCTTGACATTTTATTGAATGCTAAATTTGCAATACATATATGGGTATGCCCTGAAACATTCTGAATGCATTTGTACACTGTCAGCCAACTTGTTCAAATATTTACCAATACAAGTTCAATAACCCCATAATACCGGTAGGTGTAAATCACACTGTATTCATTAACTCACTTCATTCAATAAGCATAGCCATATACTAAAATAAAAGAAACCTATAGACCACAATATTCACCTGCATCACCATCCTCTTCCTGGCAAATGAATATGTAGATGCAGATAAATAAGCTACCATTTACACATACATACAGAATACAATTTCAAAAATTTTCATATACAGTAAATTGAGACCCGTTATCAACTTTATGGATTACAAATTGTAGCCTTCTTGTTCTTGCAAATATCTACATATTTCTATATAAAACTCTGTACTCATTTAATATTGTGGCCCAACCTTATTCTCTGAAGCTATGCTTGAAATAACTGGAGTCTACATGCTTCATGTCAATATGACTAATTGTAGCTGTGCTTTATTTTTTGTTGAGAAAATGATTTTAAATGATTTTCAAATATTCCCATATAAAACTTTGGCCCCTTCTAATGGTTCTGTCCTTGACCAGGGGGCCAAAATCAGAACAAATCTGCATCTGCACTCCATGTTTTACTATTGATTTGACGAAGTCCTGTTAATCTACTAAAAAAAAAAAGATCCATTTTTTCCTAAATTTTCCCATGTAAAATTTTTGACCCCCCTATGGTGGTCTCATCCTTCCCCTATGGATGATTTGAACAAACTTGAATCTACACTACAGGGGGATGCTTGCAAATTTACTTCTCTAATTGTGGCCTTGCTGTTCTTGAGAAGAATAGTTTAAAATATTTTTCCTATTAATGCCCATGTAAAAATTTGATCTCATATTGTAGACACTTTCTTCCCCTAGGAGGACATGATTTGAACAAAGTTGAGTCTACTCTAAGCAAGCTTTCACATATGTTTAGTCTTTTCTGGCTCAGTAATCTTAAAAAAAAAGATTTTACATTACCCCATCCTATTTTTGCTATTTTCTGACCATCTCCCCTAATATGGTCCCTTATTTGAATAAACTTAAATCTTCATTACCTGTGGATGCATTGCACCACATTTGGTTGAAATTGGTCCACCAATTCTTAACGAGTAGTTACAAATATGAACAATTAGTCACCAGACAGAGGGTAAATGAACAGTTGCTGATCGGAAAAGCATTATATGTGAAAGAAGACAGACATAAAGACAGATGAACAAATACTCAGAAATTGACTTACTCTAAATCACTTTTTATTCATGAGAACTTCACTTTCGTGTAATTATGCAAGACCATGTATTCGTGAAATTTTCATTTTCATGTATATTTTTTTTAGTATAGATTATATAAAAAAATAACAAGAATTCATGAAAATGTCTTGCTAATAAAAACCAAAAAATAAGGTGTCACATAAATTTAGTGATCTACAGTACAAAAAAAAAAAATTGCATATAAAAATATTCGTTTAAAGGCAGTAACTCTTTCTATCAATCTAAAACTGCATGATACTAGTAATATATATTTCTCAAAGCTGAAAGTAATATCACTTACAAGACCCTGTGTATCACTTGTAAATCGATGGAAAAAATCTGAATTGGCTGGATCAAATAACTCTCTACAAAGTAGTTCAAACCACTCTCTTCTCAATCCACCCCAGTCTAGTCCTACATTTACAACATAAAAATACAAAAATGTGAGGTAAATAAATAACTGTACTCATTTAATTTACAGAGGATATCTATCTTGTGTAATTTTATCCTTTCTTTATTCAGAGAGTTGTGATGGACATATAATTTCAAGGCCATTTCAATGAGATGAATAAACCAAATATAAAATCACAGTATTAAACATTTTACTTGAATGTTGTTTTTCTTTCCATTAAAAGTATAAGACAGTCCCCTAAAAGACGCATGGGCTAGCTGATTGATTGTTTGTTCTCAAACAATAACTCAAGGCTATAATATGAATACCTGGTATATCACTTCCTTTCACATTACATTATCTTTTTGAGATACATATTATATGTGGTAGATTTGAATTTAAGAGAAATAAAACTGAAATGTCACTTAAAGAAAGTCATTTAATTTCTTAAAAGTGTGTTCTTTTTGTTTTAATTTTGACCCTTGGTCACTAGATTAGTACATGTGTATCAGCAGATTGATTTAAAGACGTATAACACACTGGGGGAGATAACTCTTGTGATTTCAATTAAACGTTTAACTTGAGGTTTATAATAAAGTGTCAAAATGACGACCGAATCAATCCCGACGTAATTATAAGAAAATGGGATTAGGGGCTTGATGTGGTTTCTTTAGAAATACCAAATCGTATCCTTGATTATTTGCGCTTTTGATTTAAAACCTGCCCCTCCTCCATAAAAAGGGAAGAAAAGAAAGATTATGTCTTAAATTTCTTTAATTTTATATGAAACTCGTATCCATGATCAATATTAGCACAACATTCTTCATCTTTTTATGATACATTACTTTCTTTTGTTACAGTTGGCTATGTAACATTCGCATTACCAGATCATGGGTCTATCTTCAAATTAAGAATAAGCCATATATAAAAAAAAGTTTTTCAACCCTTTTCCAAAAGTTCACTGATCAAAGAAGAACAAATCTAAAAATGTGGGAGATTTTCCCTCTCCCCTAGTTGAGTTATTTCCCCTTGTTTGTCGAACAGTTATGAAGACACAATGAATTCTGATGAACTCAGGAACTGAAAACTATAATATATACTAAGTAAGTACCGAAAATGTAACAGAATTGTTTACTGAAATGGTCCGAGTTATATATATATATATATATATATATATATATATATATATATATATATATATATATATATATATATATATATATATATATATATAAGTTTTATTCTAGTAGTTGATAGTTTAACTCTTATTCTAGTTGCCAGAATTTAAATCTGCATGAATGAATGAATTAATTAATTGGTACTTCAGGGATTTAAAAGATTAAATATATATCTGGAGGGTTACCTATGTTTCATCAAGCTCTAATGACTGCATCCCAAAAAAAGAGGGGGGATTCATCAAAAATTACCTATACATCTGCATTTCAATGAACTGAAAAGTTTAAGAACTCTGATATATAATGTAAATAATTTTTTTAAAGCAAAAGATATTTTCTAGCTTGGAATTTTTCATGTGTATTTGTAGATCTAACAATGTTTTCGTCCCACGTCTGAAAGACGCTTGAGAAACATGACTTAAGGAGAAAAGGGGGGAGGGGTGATTTTTCGCTATAAATTCAAAACAGCTCATTTAAAAAATTACAAAAAATTATCAAGATTACTTTTGTAACCAGTTACATGAAAAAAGTATTTTTTCCAAAATTAAACGACAGGTTTTTTCGTAAAAAAAATATTAAAACTGAAAAATAGGCGTTGTTCAAGGCTTAAATGAACCATACTTTTTCAGTTTCAGTTCTTCAAAAAATATTTTGGTGATGTGTACCTCTACAAAAATACTTTATTTGTGTGGTTAATAGTTAAATGAATGAGTCGATGAAATTTGACAGCCAGACTAGCTGGACTTTTTTGAAAATCAAGGATATATATCTAGCCGATTGAAAATTTATTCTGCGAGTGAACAACCAAAGGGGGTAACTTTGGGAACTTCCTGCCCAAATACGACTCGACTATTTTGTCCAAAATGTGCATCTATTGTATATATAGACGTGTATAAAATATAAAAAAAAAGCGAAAATTAAATGACAGGAATTTTTCGGTGGTGGGTGTGTTGTACATCCTTAAATATACACCTTGTTGACATATGTTACAGGTTTATATACTGAAACGCAAAAGAAACACAACATCTTAATTTTAAGGGGAAAATTATATACAGGTTATAACTCTGTACTGAAAAAGTTAGGAGGTCGGAAGGGGGATGTTTTAAGAGTTATGTGTTACTTTCTAAGGTTTAAAGATAACATTTAACGTTTAAATCAATATCTGATATTTGTAAATTTACTTTTTAACTTACTGTATTCATTACTAAACGTACCTCGACAAATGTCTTCTATATGAAAGGCATATTCTCACACCAGATGAAAGTTCTGATTTTGTAAATCCCTAAAAACTATTATTTCCTAACACCAGAACTCATAAAAGAAATATTTCAAATATGTATTTTATGTATGTATTAAAACAATATTTTAAAATTATATATTGAAGTTATAATCAAATAAAGTAAGAACCTTGTAAGTTAATTGTAACATTGCAAAATTTTTATAACAATGTGAACCTTTTGTATGGTATCTATACAAAAAAAAAAGTAGTAAACTGTATCCCAAAATGCAACATCCATGGAACTTTGGTCTGGGAAGACTTACAGTTACTTGCAAACAGACTTAGTGCTCCAAAAACTTTAACTCATTCAATTGTCTATAAAATATAGGTCAGATGCAGCCTCTGAAGCAGCTCTAGTAGTATGCATCTTAACAGGCAGCACCCATACAAGCTTGGTCCAGTTTGGGCTTTAAGTTACTTGGGAACTGACTTGCTCCTGGAACTTTAGTTAGGAAGTTGATTCCAGGGCTACAGCATAAGCAAATCTTGACTTTGTCAAGGTGAGCTAAACCAGAAGTCTCTGACGAGACTGTAGCTCTACTGGTTGTATTTATAAAGGAAGATAAAAGTAGCACTTGGACTTGAAACTTTGCAACAGAAATAAATAGAATGATGTTCCTTGGTTTAGTCTCTTTTGTGGCAAGATTTATTATTATATCAGACTAAAACTGTAGGAGGAGTAGCCTTTTAAAACAATTTTACAGAAATTTTGATTTAAGTAACCATGGCAACATCATTCAACAAAATCAAAAAACAATAACACCAATTATGTATCTCTGTAGTCTACTTGTATGCCACATTATACTGAAATCAGACAAAAAGTGTAAGAGGAGTAGCGTTTTGAAAGTATTTCAAGAAAATTTCTATTTTTAGTAACCATGGCAACACTGTTCATCGAAATCTGAAACTGGTACAGGGAATTATGTATCTTAGTGTAGTTTATTTGTGTGCTAAGTAATACTAAAATCAGACCAAAACTGTAGGGGTAGCATTTTGAAGGTATTTCAAGGAAATTTCTATTTTTAGTAACCATGGCAACAATGTTCATCGAAATCAGAAAATCAATATAAAGAATTATGTATCTTGGTGTAGTCTACTTGTTTGCCAAGTTATACTGAAATCAGACCAAAACTGTAAGAGGAGTAGCATTTTGAAAGTATTTCACAGAAATTTCCATTTTTAGTAACCATGGCAACACCGTTCATTGAAATCAAAAACCGACACACAGAATCATGTATCTTATTATAGTCTACTTCTGTGCCAAGTTATATTGAAATCAGATAAAAACTGTAGGAGGAGTAGCATTTTGAAAGTATTTCACAGAAATTTCTATTTTTAGTAACCATGGCAATACCGTTCATCGAAATCAAAAACCGATACAAAGAATTATGCATCTTAGTATAGTCTACTTCTGTGCCAAGTTATATTGAAATCAGACCAAAACTGTAGGAGGAGTAGCATTTTGAATGTTTTTCACAGAAATTTCTATTTTTAGTAACCATGGCAACATCTATCATCGAAATCAAAAACCGATACACAGAATTATGTATCTTAGTGTAGTCTACTTGTGTGCCAAGTTATATTGAAATCAGATCAAAACTGTAGGAGGAGTAGCATTTTGAAAAATTGTTTACAGACGGACGGACAGACAGACAGACAGACAGACAGACGGACGACGGACACATTACTATCGCATAAGCTCTTCTGGTCTCTGACCAGTAGAGCTAAAAATGTGTCTTGTTTGTTCTTAAACAGAAATTTTATATTATTATTTGAGCTGTTAATTTTTCGTTACCTTGCTCCCCAGTGAAAGTGATTTGAAAATTCTTGTACCAATCACTGCAATCAAAACTCTTTGTGGCTCTATATGACTGTAAAACAATGTATTCAATTTCATTTTTTTGAAGTTCAGCAATCTCCCTTTCTTTCTATTATTAGAATCTTAAATATGTATGTACACAATGTAAGCAAAATTATCAAGAACTCTAACTTACACTTTGTAAAAGCTGGGATCTGTCTATTTTTAGGACAGTAGTAGAACTCTTTTGGAATTTTCGGACTTCCTGACAAAAGTAAGTTTGTTTATCTTGGAATGTCTCTGATCCACCTAAAATGCAGTACAATGAAGGAATGTGATTGAAAAATTATATGTTTGAAACAATATCAAAATGCCATTATCAGATCTTTATAAAGCACAAATTAAACAAACTTTAAAAAAAAATCACATCGCAATCATGACTTTGATTCTTTGTATTTTATTGTACATGAATAACCAGTCAATCTGAATATGACATATAATAAACTTTAGAGTTAAGCAATTGTACCTATGTTTCTTTGCATAAATGAGGTGAAGGTAGCTGCTATAATATTTCGGTCTTTGGCTGCAAGTGTCACATGGGGTTGTGAGCAATCATATATTGTCATAACTGGAGCATCATATCGAGAGTTGTAACCATTAAAGTAAAACTAGAATGTAAAGCATAAAAACAGTAATTTTTTTTCTAATTTATCAACAAATGCTGGAACATGATGGCAACACATGAAAAATTTAACACTCCCTTCCCCCCAAATGATAAACAAAACTTTATAAAGTCAGATTATTTTGGTTACATTATGTATACTAGCTGTATGGTGATAAAGGAAAGTACAGTCAAACCCCATTATCTTGAACTCAATGGAACCAAGAACTAGAAATATGTCCATAGGACATGAATGCCCCACTGAGGGTATATTAGTAATGCAAAATGAAAATTTGTATTAGTGTATGAAATTTGATGAGAATATCTTGAATAGTTTCTTTAAAATTGAAATTGAAATCTAGAAAGTTGGATACAGATGATAAATTCTCACCAAATTATGTATAAGTGCATAAGCTTACATAAATATATCATAAATGGTTTCTTCAAAATTAAGCAAAATGCAAATTTAAGAAAAGTGAGGTCAAGTTCACATGAAACTTCAAGGTCAAATGTTTTGATGCAGTTGAATAGTTCTCACAAATGCTTATCAGCATATTTAAGTTTGATAAAAATATTTTGAATGGTTTATTTAAAACTGAGCTAAACACTAATTTAAAATAAATAAAGTTAAGGTCAAAGGAAAGGTCAAGGTAAAAAAATGTTGATGCAGTTGAAAAGGTTACATAAGTATGTATTAGCTTATGAAGTTTGATAAAAATATTATAATTGGTTTCTTTAAAACTGAATTAAACACAAATTGAGAAAAGTGAGGTCAAGGTCAAAGGAAAAATCATGGTAAAAGAATATTGATGCAGTTGAATAGCTTACATCAGTATGTATCACCATATGAAGTTTGATAACACTAAATTGAATGGTTTCTTTAAAACTGAGCTAAACACTAATTTAAGAAAAGTGAGGTCAAGGTCAAAGGAAAGGTCAAGGTCAAAAAATATTGATGCAGTTGAATAGCTCTCATCAGTATGTATCAGCATATGAAGTTTGATAACACCATATTGAATGGTTTCTTTAAAACTGAGCTAAACAGTAATTTAAGAAAAGTGAGGTCAAGGTCAAAGGAAAGGTCAAGTCAAAAAATGTTGAGGCAGTTGCATAGCTCTCATCAATGTCTATAAACATATGAAGTTTGATAAAAATATCTTGTATAGTTTCTGAGAAACTGAGCTTTGAACAGAGCTAAGCGCAAAGCATGACGGAAGGACAGACGGAAGGACAGAAGACGGACATGACAAACGCTATATGCCCCGGCCATATTCATGGCATAAAAAACTTCAAGATAATAGAGGATTCAGGATATCTGGGGTGAAATACTTAAAGAATAAGCAGTTGGGACTTCCAAATCACTTTGACATATCCATGGTAATTGAGATATCCGTGTTCCAGATACTAAAGTTTAACTGTATTTGATTTGATTTTTTTTTTTCAAATCTTTTTCAGTATCCAAATTCAGTAATTCAGAATATTGCATTTGCATAAACAATCAAATTCATCCTTATTAGAAACAAAGGAAATTAAATTAATCAAAATGCTTCTTTAAGTTCTTTTATGAAAATTCAGTAGAAAAAATGCCTGAGCTTGCACTATACAGTTTACAGAAAATACAATGTAACTTTAATACAGCAGACTCCATACAACACAAATGTGGGGTTGCTCTGCAAGTTCCACCTACTTAATTACTTTTTTTACTTTTTTGGCAAAAACTTTGTTTCTGCATAACAACGCGAGACCGCCTGCTCATGAAAATTTCATTCTTACATACATGCATGTATACAGTATTTTCAAATTCTAACACACTACCTAAATATATTGCCTAAATACACTCTCTGAGTGAATGTTTTATCTACATCCTAGACATACTCTCCATGAGTAAAACTTTAATCTTTGTTTTTAGATCACACTACAGGTGTACAAGTTTATCTTTTTTCCTGAACAATCTCTCAAGTGCATATATTGTACATCATTTACCTTAGTTCCTGGACATACTCTCCATGTGTACAACTTTTTCCCAATAACTTTCAGGTAATACTCTTTTAGAGTTAATTGCTGCAAAATAAAATATGAAAAAAATTAATATCTAAAACATCATTTTAAAGGAATTCTTCAGTGTTTTTTTTTCACATGCTCACCTACCTTAGGTGATATATAAACATAGACCTTTTTGGCCTTTTCCCCACTATCACCATTACCAGAGAGGAGACGAGCCTCGTACCAGATGTTACGCTGCTTCTTTGATAAATTTTTGTTTACATGTGTCATGTCATCTTCTACAATGCAAATCAGACAATTTTTCAAATATAAAACTGTGAAACAACTTAAACAAAAATCTGATTGATCCTATTGCCTGCAATTTGCTATTATCAATCACCTTAACCTTTGAACCCTTTTTAAGTCTTAAAAATGTTATAATGTCAATAGACAGAGAGAGAGAGAGAGAGATAAACAGAAAGTAATTACAGTACATAGCAAAATCTGTATCACATCCCATATCAAACAGAGACTCCAATATCAGCCAAAAGGCCAGAGGGCTGATATTGGTTGGGTGTGATACAGATTTTGTAATGTATTGTTGTTTTAATTATATATTTGAAAATTTCACAATTTGCCCATAAAATAAAATAGATATGCATTTCTTATTGGTTTTTGTTGTATATCTGTTTTTAAAATATTTCTAAGTTTAATGGCCATATTTCTAAGTTTAATAGCAAATGTATTATTTAACAAATAAATAATAACCTTTTTTTAACAAACTTAAGAAACAATTTATGTTTTATTCATTCCAGAATTGTCTCATTCTGTCAACAAATAATTTCATTATTAACTTCAATTCAATAAATTTTGAAAATTAAGCACCAATGTTGAAAATTTCTGAAAAAAATTCCCTACATACTGACTCAATTTTTTTTATCCGAGTCGGAAGAGGTCAAGCAAACATTTTCTTTTAAAGAGCAAATAAAACCTAACCACCTGACCTATGTTTTTTACCCAAATTAAGATTAGAATCTAAAAATTAATTTTATGTACCATAGACTTTTACTGCACCATTTTGGTGCCGGGTCCTGGATAAGCACTAGTAAATCAAAAAAACTATGTTGCACTTTTTCCTTTTTTCAAAATGCTTCTGATGCAGTAGTGCTAAGGTACTATAACTAATATATGTAAATATATATGCTTTTCTACACAGCATAGAAATTCACTGCTTTCAAATTACTAAAGGCATATAAAATCTAAAATTCTAATAGACTAAAAACCAAAATAGAAAAAAATCACTCTGTTTTATGCAACCAAAAAAAAAATCAATACCATTTATAACCAGAATGCTAAATTCTCCATTCTTCAGCTTGGCATCACCATAGCTTACAGTGGCTTGGTAATGGCCCTCCTGTTCCATTTTGATGTGCATTGTGAGATGTTTCTTGTCTGGATTATAGATCATCTGGGTGGCTGGGAAATATCTCCTACTGCTTTCTGTCTAGGAGACACAAAGAACAATAAGTTATCTCTTTTGTAATATGGAGGATAACACTTTTAGTCACTAGCATACAGACATCAATTTTGCGTAAAGGCTATGAATGTACATTAAAGATTAAAACATTACAGCATGACAATAATTATTATACATTTCAAATAACCCAAATAAATAGATATCTTCTGTTCCTACAAGAAATATTCTAACTCAGTAATACAGGTATTTACAGCAAGTTTTTACCTCTATAACTTTAATTTTGAAATAATTGTTTTGATCAGCTTTGTAGACAGCAGGATTGCCAAATGAGTCCTGAGTTTCAATGGTTAGGGGATAGGGCATCCCAGCACTGCATACAATTGTAGAACAATAATTTGTAAAACCTGACTTCCCAGCATCTATGGGGCCTATAATAAAAGAGGAGACATAGAAAAAGAGGCCCAGGGGCCTTAACAGTCACCTGAGTATAATACAAGATATAATTAAGGATTCATAAAAGAATAAAATAAAACAAAACAAATTTGATAGATGAAGCTATGTTGTCCAAAAGCAAGAGAAATACGATGATCAAGGATCAACAAAATAATTAGTCTAGTACTATGTAACAAATCTTAAAATCGATCAATTTCCTTGCCTGTACTTGCCTCCATTTGTCACTATCACACTCTGACTATACAAAACAATAGTGTTTGAACATTATTAGAAAACCAATCTCATTCCTTCTCTGACTGGCCTCTCTTGCTCTTTGAAGAACATTTAATGTACGAATATAGGGTATTTTTGTTTCTTTATTTATCTATTATTTACAACTCTATTTGACCAATAAAGTCTATGAAAGTACTTTTTGTATTATTAATTATGAAATTCTTCTTAAATCTCTTATTCATACTCTGTTGCTTCCTAGATGCCCAGGAGCAGAAAATTTTTAAAGAGTAATGCATTTTCATTATAGATTCAACACAGCCTTGCCCTAACACTAGAACCCCCCTATCCAGGGACCATGAAATTCACTATTTTGTAAGAGGCACACTTGCTCATCATAAATATGCACTTAGTTTGTTTGCTTTATATCCAGGAGCAGGGAAGATTTTCGAAGAATTATGTTTTTCCCCCACCCCCTTAGCACCAGAGGCCCTAAACCCTGGGGCTGAGAGATTCACACAATTTGGGAAGAGGCAACCTTGCTCATCATCACCATGCACTAATTATGTTTGCTAAATACCTAGGAGCAGAAAGGAAAATTTTCAAAGAAATAATGCATTTTCACAATATATTCAACAGAGCCCTACCCTAACACCTAAAACCCTGACCCACATGCTTTAAATTTCATAATTTTGGAAGGAGCCTCCATGCTCATTTGCAATTAGTTTATCTGCTTAGGTGGCAGAGAAGAAGATATTTAATTTTTTTTTTTTTGCATTTTTAATATATGATCTGAAGAGCCCTGTCCTAATAACAGAGCCCATGACCCTGGGGCCATGGAATTCACAATTTTGGAAGAGGCACCCTTGCTCATCATAATCTTGCACTTAGTTTATCTGCTTAATATCCAGGAGCAAAATAGATGATTTTCAAAGAAATAATGCATTTTCACAATATATTCAAAAGAGCCCGCCCCAACAACAGAACCCTTAATCCAGGGGTCGCAGATTTCACTATTTTGGAAGAGGCACCCTTGCTCATTATGTACCTAGTTTATCTGTTAAATATACAAGAGAGAGAAGAAGATTTTTAAAGAATTTATGCATTTTCACTACATGATCATTAGAGCCCCAACCTAACTCCAGAACCATTGACCATGAATTTCACAATTCTGGTACAGGGCTCAATGCTTATTACCATCATGACAGCAGCTTCACTGCTTGATCTCCGTAGTAAAGAAGATTTTTAAAGATTGCACTAATTTTGATGGTTTTAGTCTCATCCCTCAAGCCCAAGTGGGGCTGGCACCATGAAATTCACAATTTTTGTACACCTCCACCCACTGATGTCATAAGCAAAAATTGGTTGAAATTGATTTAGAAATTCAAGGAAAGAAACCGAAAAAGGTTCATAAGTTTACATCCAAAGCACAATGGATGACATCCAATAAAAACAGATAGCAGTAGGTCACCTGATTGCTTCAGATGACTTAAAAATCTGTTTACAATTGAAACAATATACTTTTATTAAATGCTACAAAATGCCTTTCAATTACTTATTGGTAATGGAAAAGAAAACTAAAAATACACGTGCAACTATAAGACATACATGTGATAAGTCAAAGACCACAAAACTGTACAGGAGCCATAAAAAAACTGGAATTTGGGTGAAAAAACTGTACACTGCTTATCATAAAACGGTACAAAAAATGGTATAAAATATCGCTTAAATTCTTCTGCAATTCCATCGTAATCATTGTAATAAACATCGTATATTTTATACCTACGAAGATCTGGGTCAGATTCACGTATTAAGTCATGTATATCAACTTTCGAAGTTGGCTTAATTTTTTTCAATCAAGTTACGTATACGAAACATTAACAGTAATTAAGTACCCCTTAAAAAATAAAGCTACCTAAAGGGATATTTGATACGGATTTATAGCAAGATAATTATCCCAATTGGCAGTTCACACCTTCGCACGCGATGGTTTGTGTACACTACACAATTATCAGAAGGTCAAGTGTCAAACACAGGTGACGTTTTTCAGTGTCTAGCGAGCGAGAATGAGAGGAAAATGGTGGCATTTAGCGAGAAATTCAAAATACTGTACAAATTTTCATATTCTGTGAATTTTGGTGTCCCGCCAGTACACGATGAATGGGCTCAAAAAACTGTACATTTTGCGTACAGCCTGTACATATCACATGTATGATAAGAAATGAATGCCTCAAATGTGTTGCAACATTTAAGTGCATATGGAGTTGTATTATGTAATCCTTTAAAAAATTCAAAAAGAGAAACTAAGAGCAAAATAAAAGAAACAAACAGCCCTTGGGCAACAGTGTTCACCTGAGTCACTATGGCCCTGCTATCCCTCAGCATTTTATTCCCTATATATTCCTATGAACCACCTTGATCACATATTGCGGCCCCATCCTACCCCTAGGGGTCATGATTTGAACAAAACTGAATCTACACCACCTGAGATACTTCCATTCAAATATGACTGATCATGGCTTAAATGCTGTTCTTGAGAAGGTTTTTAAAGATTTGTCCTATGAATTCCTATGTAAAACTTTGAGCCCCCATTGTGGTCCAACCCTAACCCTGGCCAGAGGTCATGATTTGAACAAACTTGAATCTACACTACCTAGGATGCTTCCATATAAATATGAATGGTAACTATGACTTTGCTGTAATTGAAGAAATTTTTCAAGATTTCTTCATTGTAAAACTTTGATCACCCATTGTGACCCCACCCTACCTTCAGGGGTTCATCTGTACAATCTTGAATCAAAATCATATAGTGAAGCTTTCATATGAGTTTCATTTCTTCTGGCCCATGGCTCTTGAGAAGAAGATTTTTTAAATATGCCATTCAATTTTTACTAATTCTTAAAGTTCAGAAAATTATGAATTAGTTGAATCTGTGTAATTACATGTATACAAGTTTGGAGTCTGATAAAATTATCTTGAATGGATTTCCTAAACACAAACTGAGGAACATTTACAGAAACATTTAGATTGTTCAATTATGTTAACCTTTATAAGTGTTACTGAATAAATTCTACTGTGGTAAATCTAAACCTTTCATGACAATGTTGACAAATCTGTCAGTATTTTAATAAACACAAATGCTTGATAAATTCTCACCTGGCTCAAATCTCTTAGTAAAAGGACTGCCTTTAACATGCCTTCCTGATACCATGATTGAGATTTTATATGACCCAGATTTATGGACAGTAAAGGAGGTTTTTATTGCGTTTTGATCTGTGTCCTCAGTGTCCAGCTGTTTTGTACAGGCGACCTGCTCATTTTTCAACTGGATGACAATACTGGCAGAGTTTGTAGAACTGGTTACGTAGGGTTTTCCACTTTTTCTATATAGCTAAAAAAGAAAACATATTACTCTTATGATTTAAAAAAAAAAACAGCCAATGTGATCATATTTATTTCATCTGAAACTGACCTAGTATAAAATCCTGATTTTAACTTTTTAATAAATACGAACTGTGTCCCCGTCTAATTCAACAATACATTCAAGGCTAAGGATGTAAAAACTGTAAAAAGATCGAATACAAATACATCTACAGTTTAACTTCAGTATCTTGAACACTAATATATCGAATATCATGGATATATCGAAGTGATTTGGAATTCCCAACCCCTTATTCTTTAAGTATTCTACCCTGCATATATATTGAACTTTTTCCTTAGTCCCACTGAGTTCGAGATATTGAGGTTTGACTGTATTAACATAGCTGCATCATTTGTGTAACGTGATTGATTCATAAAATGAATCCCTGTCCAAATGCAATCCTTAAAACAAAGCAAATATACAGGTTTGATTCATTATGGCCAAAAATTTCAAAATCTGGCACATACAGTTTCCTTTCTTTCTGAAATAGCACTTTATTGATTAAATGAAAGGAAGCTGCATTCTTCCACTTGTAATCAAATCTGCTGCAGTTCCCACTGTGGCACACAAGGACTCTATGTCAGCCAAAATTCTAAATTCCTAGAACTAATTTAATTATCAATCTTAAGAATTTCACACATATAACGTTTTACCAGACAGAAAAATCAATGCACCATTTGAGACAGTATTATATAAATTTGATTTCACAGCCACTGAAAACAATTTCTTATTCTTTAGATGCTCAACTCATATATTGTGTCACAATAAAAAAAATGACATTTTTTAAACCATTTTAATCAAAATATCTCCCCTTTAAAAAAATTATTACAAAAATCATCCAACTGTAATTTCTGTGATCACCTGATGTTCACACATTGACCATCAGGTACTGGTCTTACAAGGCATACTTTAATTAAAGTAGTAGGAGTCTCGATTTTAAATCAGTAATTTTTTTCTTTAAACATTTGAGGTATAATTCAATATCTATCATAAAAACATATCCCACCCTCCCAAGTATTTTACCATGAACAGTATATTCAACAAACCTTGTCAAGATTTCCATGGAAAACTAAAGCAGTCCTACCTCAACCTAAAACTAGCTTCCAAGATGAATGAATTGCACACAATCCTTTGCACATTATATAGATCAATGCAGATTCATAAATCTGTCTTTATGATGCAATATTAATTGGGAAACTATTTGCAGCCCTAATGGCCCATAATCTGCAGTGCCCCAGAACACACAATAATGAAACATAACCATGAAAGAAATCTAGCTTCTTTTTGTATCTATCTCGCATATGTTTCCTAACCCTCGTACAAAGATGTTTGTGTATAGACCTAGCTTCTGATTGAGTGGTAGTATATCAACTCTAATAATAAACATTGACTTGACTTCTTGCTTAATTTGAAATAACAATGTATAGCTGTACGTCATATATCGGAGTTTGGGTTTGCAATATTTTTTGTATGTTTGATTTTTTTAGCATCCATTATGGAAATCTGCACAACTTCAACAAAACCTAATGAAGAACAAGGGTCCCAAGGGCCTTAATGGCCACCTGAGAATAATATATAACTCTGAGTGGAGATTTATCAAAGATTTAATGAATCTTCATTTTATGATCAATAGATCCCCACCCTACCTCCAGAATCCCTGATGCAGGGACCAGGAATGTAAAAATTATAATGGAGGTACCCTTGCTCAACATAAATATTCACTAAATTTATCTGCTAAATACTCAAGAACAGAGAAGATTTTCAAAGAATTAATGCATTTTCACTACATAATCAATAGAGCCTAACCTTAACACCAGAACCCTTGACCCAGGGGCCTCGAATTTCACAGATTTTGGAAGGGGCACCTTTGCGTAACATATCCATGCAATTAGTTTGTCTGCTAAATATATATGAGGGAGAAAAGAAGATTTTTAAAGAATTTATGCATTTCACTTTTTGATCAATATAGCCCCAACCTAACACCAGAACCCCTAACCCAGAGGCCATGGATTTCATAATTTTGGAAAAGGTACCATTGCTCATCATAACCATGTTTTTTGTTTATTTATAATTACCTAGGAGCAGAGAAGAAGTTTTTAAAGAATACATTTCACTATATAATCAATTGAGCCCTGCCCTAACACCAGAACTCCTGAGTGCGTGACACAGGGACCATGACTTTCACAATTTCGGGAAAGGTATCCTAGCTTTTTCATTCTAACCATACACTCAGTTTGTTTGCTTAATACCCAGGAGCAGAGAGGAAGATTTTCAAAGAAAATGTTCACTACAGTATATAATGAATATAGCCCTGCCCTATTACCAGAACTCCTGACCCAGAGGCCGAACTTTCACAATTTTGGAAGAAACACCCTTGCTTAACATAACCATGCAATTAGTTTGTATGGTGAATATCCAGTAGCAGAGAAGATCGATTTTTTTTTAATTTGAGCATTTACTCTATATGATCAATAAAGCCCCATCCAGCTCCAGAACCCTAACCCTGGGGCAATGAATTTTACAATTTTGGTAGAAGGTTCAATGCTTACAGATCTGTTTATCCTATCCTGTAGTTATCAGCTATTTAAAGAATTTCCATCCATAATTCAAGTTTTTCATCTGTAATTCATTGTTGGCATTTACATTTGATAACTTCTAGATGAGAATGATTTGTATGTATATTGTTAATATCTGTTTTGTCAGCATGTATCATTCATTTATGGGAATATGAATATATATCATTGTACTAAACATTTTTAAGTGAATCCCTAATATTGCTAAAATATAAAAACAATACAAAAAAATTCAAATTCCCAGCATATCCCAGAAACATAATTTTCAGAGGCCTATCCATAGTGATTTGTATTTTAAAACAAAAATGCAGGATAAATATGGAATTTCTGTATTAGTAAACAGCTCTTTGCCAAAAGTTGACTGCTTGATATCCAGATGTATAGAAGATTTTTAAAGATTTCAATATTTTTTATGGTTTTAGCCCCACCCCTCAGGATTGGTGGGGGTGGGGAGGGGGGAGGGGGCAGGGACCATGAAATTCATTTTTTTTGTTTCCTTCACCCAAAACTGCCAAAACTGGTTGAAATTGGTTCAGTGGTTCAGCTGTTCCAGATAAGAAGCTAAAAATGTTCAAATGTTAATGCACACCATGATACACAGCATACAACATCAGACAAAAATAGATAGCAATAGGTCATCTGAGTGACTCAAGTGACCTAAAAATATTGGTCAAACAAGTTCACTGCTTTATGATTTTAATAAAACATCAATACAAATGATGCATAAGTGGTTATGTTTATACCTTCATCTATCATGGAAAGACATACCACACATAAAACACAAAATTTGGATATTCCTTTTGCTTTACCTTGACAGTGAATGACATTGTGTTCCCCACCAGATGAGGTTCCTCCCAGTGCCACTTAACACTACAGAACTGGGAGGCCAGGGAGTGAGCTGAGTTACTGAAGAACAGCTTCCAAAGCCAGTTTTTTCCATCTCCCACTGAGACAGAGGGTCCTCCAGGAGTATATCCAGGGGCATATCTAGGGATCCGGATGTTCCTGACATCCGTGGCAAAACTCCGGATACAGTCCATGACCACCACAACAATCAGAACTGATATTCCTACCACAAGTGTCAGCACTGACAAACATAAAATACAATTGCACATATTATGATACATGTATACCAAAGAAATCAATGTGTAAACTTTACCCTCAATAGAAAATTAACCTAGAATTTTCATTTACTAAAATTCTTCTGCCTTATTCAGGTACAGAGGATCAACATAAAATTGCTAAAAAACCTTTATTTATTATTGGGTATTGCCTCCAGATCAGCACACTGGTATGTATAAATACTGTGTTATACATACATGTATAAATAGTACTGATATGTTGAGAATTCACCTGTGTAACTTACCTGGAATTTTTTGCTACATGCATGTAAGAAAGTCACATCTACACAATATATCTGTACTATACAGTCCCTGTATATATCAAATTGTAAATGCTCAGGTTAATTAGCATACTAAACATAATCTGTAAAATAGTACTGTTAAATTTCAGATCTTGATTTATTTTTATATCTCACATTAATACATGTACTTGTTTTGGCAATGATCTAGCTTTTGTATTTTTGCTACATGTGATTTTGTTCCAAAGCATTAGATCATCTACTGATAATAGATAACTGTTTAGGATGAAATAAGTGGTTAATTGCTGTTCCAAATTCATCATCTACATATTTTTGTTTAGCAAAAACATGTGACTTATGCCCATATACTTCCATATATTCACTCCTTCATATTTCTCTTGTGTATCTTAATGCTGCAAAACAATTAAGTTAATTGAATATATACATCACAATTCAATTACAAAGAGTTGTTGTACTGATGCTATGCATCCCTGAGGAAACTTGTCTAATACAACAGGTCACATCCAAAACACAGATTGTCAGGATCAAATTGTAAAGCTCCAAATGTCAAACTACATTAGGAATATAATAAAGTATTCCAATTTGTCATCAATATGTATAATGTGGATTATTGTAGATGGAAATATTTATCAATTGTACCTCAAATGGCCAACTTTGGCCTTCAAATGCAGCACATTTATTAGTGGGAACTGATATACCATGTGAGGTGTAAGAATCCATATTTGAAAAAAAAATATTTTTGTCATAATAAAATTTTAATGTGAGTAGTATTTTCCTTGGAATTTTATCATTACTGTATATAATCAATAAATTTTGTTTTCTTCACATGATTTTATCTTTTTTTCAGGAGTGTCAGAAACACAGTGACTGCCATTTCGAACATTTGAAGACGGCTTTTCTCCATTCTCTCTATAATCTATTCAAATAGTCAGATTTGCTATTTGAGCACTAAATAATAATGTTTAAATTAAAATTGATTAACTTTAACCATCAAGAGTGTATAACCTTGCCTAATTAGAGCCAACATGGAACTGACAGAATTGAATATTATATAGTTACTTTAAATAAACAAACATACTTTCAGATCACCATGCAGATTTACCTTTTTACAAACTGCATGTTTATCAATTTTACAAATACAAATTATAGACATGTATATACAATTATCAACACTTGATTTGCAAAGTTAAACAATAGATTTAAATTTCAGTAAATTTTACCAAATGCCTTAAAGAAAGAATTGCTTGCAGATATGGATTCAACCATGCGGACTTCTAAATGTCCACCAAAAGGATTATAAGTCAATTATAAAAATAATTACCCTATAAAACTGCTTACCAATCTCAGTTTGGTAAATTTCCTTGACAAAAAAAATGTTTGTTCCAATACAAAGACTGTGACAATATATCACATGAATAAATCCTACAAAGGAACCATATTTTCCATAAAGCAACAGCTCTGTGACCACAACAACACGATGAATGGGTTTGAGTGGCCTGAAGAGAATTGCTTTCTGTAAGTATTGATCAGGTTTGTGCAGCTGACAGATCGAGAGAGGTGTCAGTCAGTTGATACCAAATATACCCATCATCAAATCACTGACGTAAAATCATTGTTGGTTTTATATAAAATAGAAAATATGGTATCAGGTTCCAGATTTTCCCTTTGTTTCTAATGGAGTTTCATGATAATATCTAATTTATTGATTCACAGTGTGTACGAGATAAATATTCCTATTATAATTGAACATCGTATTAACAAAAGGATTTTTGCTTAGACAATGCAAATGGTAGTGTTATTATTCTTTAAGATAGTAGAATGAAATGCAATCAAATAAGTTTGCTATCATTATAAATGTAACTTATAGATTTCATCTTTCTATTGCAATTATGAAAAAAGATGTTTTTATATATAAACCTACAGGTAATTATAATACTACCAATATGACCAAATGAGGGTTGTTAATCAAATCTCAAAGGAACTATATGAGAGACGCATTTAAAAATTAATGTGTTTGCAATAATTTTCAAAATATATAAACTGTAACTGACTGACATCTTTGAAAAACTGCATACCAGAACTAAACAAACAGAATCTATCTAAGAAATATCTAAGATCTTCAAATGACTTTGAGATTTAGGGTCATGTTACAAGGTCAATCAAGTTTTATGTCGGAAATGCTCAGCCCTTATCTATGACAGTAGAAAGCATATATAATATACTTGGAATATGATGTACATGTATATGTGCACTCTGTGTTGAGTCTGTTGACCTGTAATACAGACCCTTTACATAATTAATAACTACAATGTCCTCTAATTGATTGATTCTGTCTGAATGCTTATTCTGGTTTGGGGATAAATTACATAGCAATATTAAAGATATTAAAGCAGAGACCTACATTGTATCTATATTGATCATCTTATACATAATGTAAAATTATGTTGTTAGGAAAACATTGTCACATTTAATTAAAAGTAGATCAATACATCATATATTATATTTTATAGACATTAAAAGGATACTTTTAGGAGGTTCTGGAATTAAGTTCTCTGTTTACATTTTTCATTCTGCACAAATGATTCAAGTTATTCTCAAAGCAACATACAGATCAATCCAAATACATGTATAACAAATTATGTAAAGTGCAAAGATAGAACCTAACTGCTACCAAGAGGTCAGTGGGCCTTGTAGTCACCCGACTGTCAGTATGCAATTTTTTTTTACCCAAGTTACATGCTCTTTATCATATCTACCCCTTTGTAAAACTTGAGAACCAGTATAGCTCCACTTGTGTCTAGGGCAAAAATGCATTACTCTACATGAAAACATAAATACACACACACATGTACTGATTCAAGGAGGTTGGATGAGGGGGGTTTATGAAACAAAAATAAACACTTTAAATTGTACCTATAAAACAGCATATCCTAATCCACTGACTTTAAAAATTTGGCAACATGCATCTGTCAAGTTAATGAGTGATAAGAGCCATTCACTTTAAAGTTAATCATTACCTATCTTGAATATGAAGAGGATCCATGACAATGCGGACCAGTTACTGGTATTAGAGATGCCTGTCAGACTTTGTGCAGTCTTCACCAGTTGTTTGAGATGCTGGAGTTCTTCTACGCTGCAGGTTCCTCCAATCTGTGATATCTCTGCATCTGTTAACAATGCCAGCTTATCAAAATCTGTTACTCCAAGTGTTGTCAACCTGCATCAGAAAATTTGAAAGTCAACTTTATTTCATCAAATATATGTGAAATTGTGTCTACAAAAAGTTTATCTTCAAGAAGATGATAAAATAATCATATCAAACCAAGTACATCAATGACAAAGACTCATGGGCCACAATATCCATTTGTTCTTTCAATTGGAAAAACACAAGTAATCAAAGATTACAAAGCTCACCTCAATGCATATTTTCTACAAGTATCAGTAAAGCAAAGTGTCACATCAAATGAAAGTTCAGAAAGATCCATTAGTTATTTAGAAATAAATTTAACCTGCTCCAAAAACTTAAATGAACCTGGATTTTCATCCAATTAATATGTCTGATGCTGCATCTGAGCCAAGACTGCTAGTGTACAATAACATCCATCGGATTATCCATGAAAGTTGTACCTACTCATACTCATAGCTTCTAACTTTCCACATGCTGCATGATGCATTCAAGTCATCCGAAGCAAGTCTGGTAGTTTGTCTTGCTAGATGCAACATTCTTTATGATTCATGAAAGTTTGATCCAAGCATAAGCATGAGCTTATAGCTACTTGGAAGTGCTCCAAAAACTGTTACATGGGATGATGATACCAAGGTTATTGATATACTGTTTAACCAACTTTTATTTGCGTGCAAAAAAATTCTGACTATGTTTTGCAACCTTCTCTTACTCATGAATATTTCTTGAGAAGAACATTTTATTTTATTGTGTATTTATGTAGGATAATTCCTCAATCCCAAAAATTAGTTTTTGCAGATAGATTTCAAACCAGTAAACCATTTATAAAAGTTGTCATGAATAATAGTTGATTTACAGTAGTATAAAGTTATCTCAACTTCATTGAGGTGAGCTATAAAATATTAACATAACAGTTACTGTAAATGACGGTAAAGATACATTTGTATACTGGTACAATCATGTACATGTTTAGCTGATTTTATATACATGTACATGTATAGTCAGTGAGCCACATTTAATATACATGTATATGTACAGCTACATTTATATATACAATCATGTACATGTATAGCTTCCCTTAAAAAAGCATAAATAAAACACATCCATGAGGAAAAGATTACAATCAATTTCTTAAAACACACATAAAAATAACAAACTTTGAATAGAATGACCTTATTTTGTATATTTTCAGTTTACAACAGAACGCAATTTAAAGTGCAGAACATCATTTAATCCTTTAGTGCTAAATTCTGTCATTATTCAATGTACTACGCATAACCAAAGCTAACATAAAGCTCCTATAGTGTATAACTATGCTCTGTCATGACAAATATCACCCTAAGGTATATTTAACAAGGTGCAAAACATCCATCACCTCTCTTAATCTTCTCACATATTTAGCTTTGAGTTTTTTTTATGTACAATGATCACGTAACATAAACCGCAATGCTTATCTGCTTCATCTTTTTTTCCATTCTTAATGATTTTATATACATGTACCATTATTTCATTATTACGGGCACTTAAAAGATAATCTATGCTAATACTGATGCTTTGGTATTTAAGGTAACTGGATGTATACTGGTGCAATATAGATTTTTAACAGGGTATAAATATATTAGAACACATCGAAATAATTTAGTTTCCAGAAAAACCATAAAATGATACTTTATTAGACCATGAGTATAGAAAAAGACAAACTTATTACATGTATTAGGTTCCCTCAAAGAATGTTATCTTAAAGTAAGGCAAATCTCACACTTAACAAATATTCTGTTAGTGTTCATGTCTAGATGCAACATTCATGTATTAGTGTGCTCAGGGTAGAATTTTTAGCTACTTGGGAATGGACTTGCTCCAAATTCTTTTTCTTTTTCAGTAATCTGAAAATTTAAGATAGATTCAGCATTTGAACCAAGTCGGTAGCATGCATACTTAGTTGAATCATCCATGCAAGTTTGGTCAGCATAGGGCTTATTAGTTATCTTGGCCTCTTCAAAAACTTTCATCTGGTCACTCATCAAGAAAATGTAGGTCATATCTAATATACATCATCCATGCAAGTTTACTCTAAGTAGGGCTTCAAGTCTCACTGGCAAAATTCTGCTCCAAAAACTTTAAACTGGTCACTTATCCAGAATAGTAGGAAAAATACAGCATTCAAAGCAACTCTGGAAGTGTGCATTCCTTGATGCATCATACATGCAAGTATATCACCTTAAAGAGCTTACAGTTATTTGGGAATGGGTCTGTATCAAAACCTGCTCACTCGTCCAGAAAATGTAGGTCAGATCAACCATCTTAAGCAAGTCTGGCTGTGTGTATCCCTTGATGCATCATCTATTCATCTTTACTCACCAAAGAGCTTATAGTTGTTTGGGAATGGACCTGCTCAAAAAACTTTAATTAACTTCATCATTCATCCTGAAAATGTAGGTCAGATCCATCATTTGAAGCAAGTCTGGTACTAAGCAACCTAGATGTATCATCTATGCATGTTTGGTCACCATATGGCTTATAATTCCTAGGGAATGAGACCTGCTCCAAATCCAAAAACTTTCACCTCCTTAAAAAAAACATTATCCTGGTAGACATTCTTTGGCTGACATGCAGCATCTGAAACCTCACTGGTACCATGAAACAAACTAGAGACATCATTCATGCAACTCTGATCAATATACAGCATAGTAGTACTTGGAAAGAAATCTACTCCGAACACTTTAACACTGAGACTGAGTTTAACTCGGACACTGAGTGTATTACATGCACTCCTCCATCTTCCTTGAGTCGAGATGAGCTAAAAATGTTACTATTAATACACATGTAATTGTCATATATTGTATGTGAGTGACCAAAAGCATAGATGTGCTAGGTACTACATGGATAAAAACTACCTCTGGACCATAATTTAAAAGTATTGTAAATCACTTTTATTTGCAATATGTCATTTTTGCATAAATATAATAGTGTATTTATTCACAAGATATAATTTTTGCATATCAGTGATCAGGAAATTTCCAGTGTTTTGACTTTTTTGCAAGTTTCTTAAATTTCTCTCTTTATTTTTAATTGTTATTAGCCAGTTTTGAGAATTAAATTATGCATATATAAAGTTCCTGCATATAAAAAGCTATTCAAAGTAAATTCATTTACACATTTTGATAATGTTTCATCCAAAATAATATTATGACATACGTAAAATCATGCTGAATATTCCACTGGCAGATGAAAAATGAATCAAACCACACACTGCTTAAGCATTAGTATTTAACTTGTGTCTATGTACGTACATCAGGGTTGTCCCTAAGAATTGAAATAGGAGGAGACATTAAAAAAGTAGAAGGGGGTCTGGGGTTCCTCACCTAACAGCGGTTGAGGGGGAATGCCAGAGTAGCCGGGGGATAAAGTCATTAAAGGCGGGGAAATTCCCCGGCCCCTGGGTCTTAGGGACAACCCTGGTACATATATGCATTCAGCTTTTCCAGGGTCAATCACACTGATTTTGTTAATCAAATTAACATTTGCTTGTTTTTTTTTATTCATTCCATTAAAACAAGTCTTGGATTCTCATCATACTCATATGAAATTTTCTTTAAATCAATGAAATTTTGAAATACATGGGAATTTTAGAGAACATTCACATTTACCTTTCTACAAGATCGATGTGTAGTCTTTGATCTTTTAACCAAATCACAAATTTTCTTACATCTTTGGCATTTATAATGGAGGATTTCAAGTCATTTATCGTTGTTTCAGGTACCCCTCTGACATGGTCTACATCCTTTAAATTCAAGGAATCTAATGGCTCTTCCAGAATACCTACAAGAAAATGTGTTCAAAACAGTTTTCATATGTACTGGTTAAACAAATATTTATCACTGACAATTCTCTCAATTATTTGATATTTATAATTTATCTGACCAGTTTTATAAATGTCAGTAATGTAGAACACAGGTCAAACATCATAATTATATCAAAGCATGACATACATTTATAGATAAAACATAAAACTTTTTTGTAACAATGGTCAAGATGTTTTTAAAATAAAACATTTACAATTGTTTTCTTTTCAATGCATTTTCTGTGAATTAATTCATATAAATTTTTATATCTATGCAGTTTAAAATTACAATATAATGAAACTCTATGAATAAATAATGCCACAGTGGGATATTCACAATATTCTATTGTTCTTATGTCTGCCCATTTTCCTTAAATAGCATTAAATTATCAACTAATAAGGCAAAACAAGAAGTCTGTGAGCCAATGCTCACTAGTAATACCCCCACTTTGATGTGAATATACATTCTGATGTGAATGAACACAAGATCAGTTATGGACAGACACAAGGATGAACAAAAAGTTGACATCAGATTCGTACAAAAATGAACCCCACCATATTGCAGGCCTAAACAAAGAATGTGCTAAAATTTCAAGCATCTGCAATTAGTAGTTGCTGATTTGTACAAAAATTAATCCCACGATATGGCATGCCTAAACAAAGAATGTGCTAAAATTTCAAGCATCTGCAATCAGTAGTTGCTGAGAAAACTGCGACCAAACTTTGTTATGTATGGAACTGACAGACGCACGGATAAACAGGAAGTTGACATCAGATTTGTACAAAAATTAATCCCACGATATGGCATGCCTATACAAAGAATGTGCTAAAATTTCAAGCATCTGCAATCAGTAGTTGCTGAGAAAACTGCGACCAAAATTTGTTATGTATGGTACGGACAGACGCACAGATAAACAGGAAGTTGACATCGGTTTCGTACAAAAATTTATCCCACCATATTCAATACCTTAACAAAGTGTGTGATAAAAATTCAAGCATCTGCGATGAGTAGTTGCTGAGAAAACTGTGACGAAAAAAATTTTTACGGACAGACAGACAGACACACAGACAGACACACAAGGGTAAAACAGTATACCCCCCTCTCCTTTGGAGTGAGGGTATAAAAATCAATTTGAGGTAGTTTTATTTGTTATTAAGCATTGCTGTTTGTAAGTATGGCTGTGAATAATAGATACCTAAAGGAAAATAGAAAAGACGCTTAATTAACACATTTATCACAGTGAAGTTCATTTTAGCTTAAAGATAAATACATGTACCTAAGTAATGGCACTTATCCAGAAAAAAAAATACAGGTGTGATCTGCAAATGGTTGTATCTGATGTCAAAATATACCTGGTATTGCTTATTTTAAGGCACAACTGGCACAGATCAAGGAAGGGGAATCCCCCTTATGTATATAGGAGCACCCAAAATGGAAATAAAAAAAGGGTCTAATTAAACCTAAAATTATATAAGACAGGTATCGTGTCACAATTCAATTTTTTCAATACGATACATTTAAAAAAAGAAACAAACCATAAGGTTAAAGAAAACATGTATTCAGATTTCAAAAGGCAAGTAAAAGGTGGTGATACAATAAAGAGCACTACTTGTGCTTCAGTAGATTAAAAGGGCACTTTGTTCATGTCAATACTAGCAGTGGCAGCCTGCTCTGAAACTTTCTCCGTCGCACTTTTCTCCCTCCTGTGTGTCAAACTATTAAAATGAGGTCGAACCCGATCTATTTCAAGAAGTAACCAAACCTGATTATAAAAAAACGTACCAAACCAAAAATCGAGATAGTGAATCAAACATTGAATCGAGCATTAATATCAGGGACCTATACACTAATGGGATGGGCAACTCCTTCAGCGCCATGTTTATTTACCCAAAACGGCACACACTACACTGCAAGTTTTTCAAACTACGTTTTTTCCCAGTAAAAAGCTTGTTTTCTGATCATGCTGATTAATGTAATCTCTTCTTTTTGTGTAACGGAATGGATATTTAACAAATTTTAAAGCACATATCATAAAATAATTTAGATATTAAGTAAATAACTAATCATTTATGTAATGTAATATTATTTCTATATGTTTCAGGTATCAGTCATCCTTAGTTAATTAAAGAGTTACTCATTGGATGATGGTTATCATTTATGACTGATACCAGTTCTACACAATTTGACAATTTTGGTACAAAAGACGATCTATACTCCCCAACATGCCAACGTTAGAGTGCCCTGTATTTGGATGTGAGTGGCAGTCTCAGGACCTGGATGCAGCTTTTGCCGCAGCGATGACGGCAGCCCTCCAGATCCACGATAGAACTGTTCACCAGCCACAGGCCCAGCCAGCAGCTGCCGCAGCTCCCAAACTGAAGTTGGACCCACCCACCATAGCTGCTGGATGTGACCCAGACCAGTGGTCAGCGTTCACTCGACAATGGGAGATGTACAAGGTGGGTATGGCCATTGCCCAAAACGTCATACCCACTGCTCTGTTCTACTGCTGTGACTCAGACCTTCGGACCGACGTCATGCGTGACCAACGAGGTAACATCACAGACATGCCAGAGGCAGACCTGATGAATGTCATTAAACGGCTTGCTGTGAAGGATGAGAGCACATTGGTACAATGCATTAAGCTCAGTAAGATGACACAAGCACCTGGTACCAGCATCAGAACGTTTTTAGCCAGTCTCCGAGGTCAGGCGTCTCTCTGTCAGTACAAGGCCACATGCAAGGAGGAAGGGTGTAACCACATTTATGACTACAGTGATGAGATCATAAAGGACAATCTGGTTAGAGGAATTGCAGACCCTGAAATTTTGTCTGACCTGCTTGGTGATCCTAAGACAGACAGAACCTTGGAAGAGACTGTTTCCTTCATAGCACAGAAGGAACAAGGCAAAGTTACACGGAGTGCAGTTGGAGATTCAGCCGGTGCGATGTCGACAACGACCCATAGCCAAAAATCAGTACAAGGACCTGGAGGCAAGTGCTGGGCATGTGGTGGACCTGCCCACGGACAAAGAAACGATCGTCGAGCCAGACAAAGAAGTTGCGAGGCCTGGACATCTACATGTGTCAAGTGTAAAGTTAAGGGTCATTATACCAAGTCATGCAGCAAGTGTTCAACGTGTGGTGCCTGGGGACATCGTGATTCATCGTCAAGGGCTTGTACACAGGGACGAGGACAGAAACTCCGCAATCAGGGACCATCACAGGAACCGACGAAAGATGCTGACGACAAGGTTGGTTATGTCTACGACCAGCTATGTACCACATCAGAACAATATCAGAATACAGCACGTCTTGAACATCACATCTTCGAAGGAAAATGGATAGCTAGGCCGTCCAAACCTCATCCGATGCTACTGGTTAATATGACACCTTTGGCTGAGGACCATGCGTCATTTGGACATCCCATCAAAGATGTTACAAGGCTCAAAACGATACAACTGACCATGGTAGCTGACACCGGATGCCAGAGTACGATAATCCCATTACAGACAGCCAACAACCTGGGAATTACCAGAAAGGACCTAATTCCAGTAAAGCTCGTTATGCGAGGTGCCATCAAAGAAAACCTTGGGGTTATTGGAGCGGTTGCAGTTGATGTGAGGGTCAGAGATGGTTCCAAATCTACACGCATATTATGTTATGTATCTGATGTCATGGAAAAAGCTTTCATCTGCAGGGAGGCACTGGTTTCTCTTGGAATAATTCATGCAGACTTCCCAAACCATCCCGTAGACACATCAGAGAGTTTTGCTTCTGTAGAAGATGAGACTACCTGCTCCTGTCCCAGACGTCAGCCTAATCCACCTCCACTACCAACAACACTACCACCAGGCTTGGACGCTACTGAAGAAAATGTGGATGCATTAAAGGAATGGCTACTTGATTACTACAGTGCTACAACTTTTAACGTATGTGAACATCAACCTTTACCGCTGATGAACTGTGAGCCCCTAAAGCTTCACATAGATCCTGATGCCAGACCAGTTGCTGTTCACAAGCCAGCACTGGTACCCATCCATTGGCAGGATAAAGTCTATGCTGACCTGGAGAGAGACATAAGGATTGGAGTCTTGGAGAAAGTTAGCCAGAATACCCCTACAACATGGTGTTCCAGGATGGTAGTTACAGGTAAAGCTGATGGTACGCCCAGAAGGACGGTAGATCTTCAACCACAAAACCGTCACTCCGTACGCCAGACCCATCATGTACCGAGTCCGTTTCATCTAGCAGACAGGGTACCTCAAGGTATGAAGAAGACCGTTACTGACGCTTGGAATGGATACCACTCTGTACCTATTCGAGAGGAGGACCGTCACTTTACCACTTTTATCACACCATGGGGACGGTACAGATACAAGGTAGCTCCACAGGGATTTATGGCCAGCGGAGATGCTTACAACCAACGATTTGATGCTGTCATTACGGACTTCAAGAACAAGGTCAAATGCGTGGATGACACTTGTATGTGGTCAGATTCTGTTAAAGCAGCATTCTTCCAGACGTGCGAATGGTTAGACCTCTGTGCTCGGAATGGTATTACCCTCAACCCGAAGAAGTTCCAGTTTGCTCAAGATATTGTAGATTTTGCTGGACTCACAATTACTCCTACAAATATACGACCAAGCACAAAGTTCCTAGATGCAATCAGCAACTTTCCCACACCATCCGACATTACTGGTGCAAGAGCATGGTTTGGATTGGTCAACCAAGGTGCCTACGCGTTTGCCATGACTAAACAGATGAAACCGTTCCGAGCTCTATTGAAACCATCTACACCGTTCCATTGGACGGATGAGCTAGATGAACTATTTACAAAGTCCAAAGAGGTCATTATCCAGGAGATGAAGGAAGGTGTTCGTCTGTTTGACCCAGCACGCATGACCTGTCTAGCCACAGACTGGTCCATTGATGGTATTGGCTTCTTCATGATGCAGAAGTATTGCAGCTGTGCCAGTAAGACCCCAGCATGCTGTAATGACGGATGGAAGCTTTGTTTGGTCGGCAGTAGATTCACCCACCCAGCAGAAAGTAGATACGCTCCAATCGAAGGCGAAGCCTTGGCTGTTGTGTACGCACTCCACCAGACAAGATACTATGTGCTCGGATGCGAAGATCTCATTGTCGCCACTGACCATAAACCACTACTCCAGATATTGAACGACCGATCACTCACTGAGATAGATAACAGACGTCTCCTTAACCTGAAAGAAAAGACCCTTGGATACAAGTTTACGGTGGTTCATGTACCTGGGAAGAAGAACCTTGGTCCGGATGCAGCTTCCAGACATCCAGCTTGCCCCCCAGATCGACTGGTATTACCTGGTGATGCCACAGTAGACAAGTCCCTTGACAGTTGCTCTGCCAGTTGTCGTGATACACCCACCAGTTTCGGCCTATCTACTGAGGATCGAGATCAAGCTGATGATACCTCCACAGTTGCTGCCGCTACAACTGCATTAAATGCCAACATCATGGTTGTAACTTGGGATATGGTACGTGAAGCCACAGCATCAGATCCTACGTATATTAGCCTGCTTCAGCAGATAGAAGAAGGGTTCCCAGAGGATTATAGGGATTTGCCACTGGAGTTGTGCCCATTTCATCGTTTTTCTGGCAGTCTATGCTCTGTTGATGGTGTGGTTCTCTTGGGACAGCATATAGTCATTCCACCTGCCTTACGTAAACCAGTACTCAATGCACTTCATGCAGCACACCAAGGAGTCTCGTCGATGCGTGCCAGAGCCATGGACTCGGTGTATTGGCCAGATATCACGGTGGATATTGCCAGGACGAGGGACCAGTGTGGACATTGTCACCAGATGGCTAAGTCAAACCCCATGCAGCCACCTACTGATATAGTTCCTCCTGAATATCCTTTCCAGAAGATCTGCAGCGACTACTTCACCTACAACAGTAAGGATTATGTTGTCGTTGTGGACAGGTACTCCAACTGGCCCATGGTATACAGATCGGAGTCTGGAGCGGATGGACTGGTGAAGCGCCTTCGTGAGACGTTTGTCACATTTGGTATCCCAGAGGAATTAACATCAGATGGAGGTCCTCAGTATACAGCTGGAAAGACACAGGAATTCCTGAAAGCCTGGGGAGTCAGACATAGAATCTCATCAGTTGCAAATCCACATGCCAACTGCAGAGCTGAAGTTGCAGTGAAGATGGTAAAACGTATGCTTGCGGACAACATCACAGCCAATGGTTCCTTAGACGTGGATAAGTTTCAGAGGGCTTTACTTATATACAGGAACTCCATTGATCCAGAGACGAAGGCATCCCCAGCCTTGATCCTGTTTGGTCGTCCGATCAGAGATGCCGTACCAATCGTAATGGGTAGATATTCGCCTCATGATACATGGAAGGAACTGATGTCGAGTAGAGAGTTAGCTCTTGCCAAACGCCACTCAAGAGAGCATGAAAGATGGAATGAGCATACCCATCAGCTACCACCACTGCAGGTTGGAGACCATGTGTATATCCAAAACTTAATGGGCAACCACCCAAGGAGATGGGAACGCACTGGAGTTGTTGTTGAGGTCCGCCAATACCACCAGTATGTGGTACGTGTAGATGGCACAGGAAGGGTTACGCTAAGAAATCGCCAGCATCTGAGGAAATTCACCCCGTTTAACAGCAATTCACCCAGTGCGATTGAAACGATGCCGAGAATGCCACAGCCTTCAGAAAAGACTGTTACAGATGGTTCATCCTCGACTCAGAAAACATTGACTCTAAATCCATTGAAATGTAGCACACCACAACCTTCGCATGTGACTCCCAGGGTGGATGGCCCTTCTGTTCCACCACCTGTTAACCATGGTTCACCTGCTACATCTGGAGAGGTCTCACCTGCAGTCGTGACCCCAAAATCAACCGCTAAGTCGCGTTTATTGCCAAGACGACTATTGACGGACAAGGACGAAGTGGCTCCTCTGACAGAACATGAAGACAAACCGAAGGTCACACGTTTACCCCGCGCTCTGGCTCGTCTTCAGCCGCACAATGCACCTGGAAAGAAAGAGTTGTTGACGCCTGGAAGACCACGCCGCAATACTAGACAGGATTCCATGGATTCTGCAGAGAATAACTGATTATTGGACAGTTCAATTGATCTTTAATTACTAGTGACTGAAGTACAGTTGTGATATGAAACATTCCGTAATTTGATATTTGATTTATACAGACCTTTTAAGTTTTATTAATGCCTAAAAAACTTGTCCCCGGGGGAGGAGATAACTAATCATTTATGTAATGTAATATTATTTCTATATGTTTCAGGTATCAGTCATCCTTAGTTAATTAAAGAGTTACTCATTGGATGATGGTTATCATTTAGTAAACAACCACAAAAATCAGCAATTTACGGCCGATTAGGGGCACGCACTGATTTTTAAATAAACGTAATTACTACTAAGATAAGGAGTAAAAACAGTGCTAATAACAAATCTTGAATAATTTTTTGATAGATTTTATTCTGAAATATTTGATAGCAAAAGAAAAATAATTAATTAAAATTGACTTACGAAATCTCGCAACTTACGAGATATCGCGAGACTTGCGAGAGTTGCCTATCCTGTTAGTATATAGGTCCCTGGTAATATTGAACAATATCGATATTTTGGTGAATCGTTTCAGCCCTACTCAATTCATACATAAAATACCAAATACCTGCTTTAGCAAATTTATCCTTTAAATAATTCTTTTCCTGCTTATCAAGCCACTGATCCACGTTTAGAATTGTAGTTTCACTCTCTTTAGTTGCACTCTTCTCAACTTGCTGAACATTTTGAAGTTCTTCACTGGTTTGACCTCTGCCAAATATCAGTGTCATCAAATATAAAACTACACACGCCACCAAAACCCTTATATATGCAGTTGTATATCTGTATCTTATGTTAGGACTTGCCATAGCTATGTACACATAAAGTTTGTCTTCTTGTTTACATTCTTTTTTGCCTGTCCTCTTAGTCTATTGTAAGACAGGTGCATTTTCCCGCAAAATTGCAAAATAATGAGGCAGTCTCGTTATCCCGACATTATCAATTTCAATAAAAGTTAGGAAAAGGTTTGCAAATGACAGAATCAGTGGCAGATTAGACTGAAATTTCACTCTTTTGGTTGATTGTTGTTTTGAGTCATTTCCTTTGTGCAATTTCATCACTTATTTAACTTGACCGTTTTATAAAACGCCTTAGTGACGAGGACATATAATGAAGCTTTAATCTCTTAAACGTTTCATAGAACGAAAGTTACAACAAAATAGTAGAGCGTTTTCTTCACATTGATTAACAAACATGGTAATGAGTCTAGAAAACTGACAGATTAAATTTTAGGTTTAATTGTTTATTTTATACAAATGTAACCATTCAATACTTTTTAACAGAAAGCTATGGATTTACAGCGAAGTGATGGAAGTGAGGTAGAAGTTAATGACAGAGTAGCCGCTGATGGGCACTTCGGAACTGTGAGGTTCATAGGTAGTTTGCCTGACACAAAGGGTAAGATAGTTCTTCAAACAGCATGTTGTCAGTTGAAAGATGAAAGCACATTGAGAACAGTGTGTTGTAACAAATAGGCATCAGACTTCTAGTTTTCAACTTGTTAATTAAAAATTGCTGATCAATTTTTTGATGTGATTTATATACAGTTATTAGATCTGCACTGTACACATGCACAAAAAGTCTATGATTATGTGTCATAATGTGCAAGTATACGTCAGTTTGTTCTTTCAAGCCATGTGCAATTTGAGTTATGAGTTATGTCATCAATTTATTGTTGGAATATAGGAGTCTGGATAGGTGTAGATTGGGATGAAGCTGACCGTGGAAAACATGATGGCAGTCACCATGGTCACAGATATTTTACAACAAGGTATAACTATAGGAATGAGATCAGTACATGATTAATATGTTGACGGTGTGACCGTTGGGGCGAGTGCAGTTGTTCACTTAATTTTAAGATCTGCCTCTTCAAACTGCACGAGACATTTGGAACGCCTAGACTATGACGTCGTATGTTAGCTGCATTTCCATAACCGAGGTTTGAAGAGTGCAAAATTTTAACAAGGGAACGATTAATCTACTATCTGTATGCAATATCCATTAAATTAAGGTGAGTTTATTTTTTGTGATTTTTAGCTCACCTGAGCCGAAGGCTCAAGTGAGCTTTTCTGAACAAAATTTGTCCGTTGTTGTCATCATCGGTGTGTCATTGTAAACTTTTCACAATTTCATCTTCTCCTCCAAAACTACTGGGCCAGTTTCAACCAAACTTGCCACAAGTATCCTTGGGTGAAGGGGATTCAAGTTTGTTCAAATGAAGGGCCATGCCCTCTTCCAAGGGGAGATAATAAAGAATTAGTGAAAAATTAATAGCATCTTTTAAAAATCTTCTTCTCAAGAAACACAGGGCCAGGAAAGATGAAACTCATGTGGAAGCATCCTCAGGTAGTGTAGATTCAAGTTTGTTCAAATCATGACCTCAGGGGTTAGGGCGGGGCCACAATAGAGAATCAAATTTTTACATAGAAATATATAGAAAAAATCTTTAAAAATCTTCTTCTCAAGAACAGCAAAGCCATTACGAGTCATATTTATATAGAAGCATTTTCAGATAGTGTAAATTCAAATTTGTACAAATCTGTTATCATGACCTCCAGGGGTAGGGCGGGGCCACAATGGAGGATCAAAGTTTTACATAGAAATATATAGGAAAAACCTTTAAAAATCTTCTTCTCAAGAACAGCAAAGCCAGGATGAGTCATATTTATATGGAAGCATCCTCAGGTAGTGTTAATTCAAGTTTGTTTAAATCATGACCCCCGGGGGTAGGGCGGGGCCACAATGGAGGATCAATGTTTTACATAGAAATATATAGGAAAAACCTTTAATAATCTTCTTTCTCAAGAACAGCAAAGCCCTGATTGGTCATATTTATATGGAAGCATCCTCAGGTAATGTAGATTCAAGTTGTTCAAATCATGACCCATGGTGGTAAGGCAGAGTCACAGTGGACTATCAAAGTTTTACATAGAAATATATAAGAAAAATCTTTAAAAATCTTCTTCTCAGAAACAGCAAAGCCCTGATTGGTCATATTTATATGGAAGCATCCTCAGGTAGTGTAGATTCAAATTTATTCAAATCATGACCCCTGGGTGTAGGGTGGGGCCACAATGGAGGATTAAAGTTTTACATAGAAATATATAGGAAAAATGTTAAAAATCTTCTTCTCAAGAACAGCAAAGCCCTGATTTATCATATTTATGGGGAAGCATCTTCAGGTGATTCTATTTTGTTCAAATCATGACCCCCGGGGGTAGGGTGGGGCCACAATGGAGGATCAAAGTCTTAAATAGAAATATATAGAAAACTAGACTAGAAACTCATTGCGAGCAATGAGAGGTCTTCCATCCGATTCTGAAAATAAAAACGAAAATTCAAGCTGAAAAAGTGATAAAAGAAATTCAGACACTCTGGAAATTTAACCCTGGTTGTCAGCGTGCAAATACAACGTGCTATCTCCTTTAACCGTAAGTTGATGTTTTCAAGGTTACTCTAGACATTTGCACTCTGAATAACATATTTAAAATTCATTTCAAATACTTTATCTTTAAAGAATATTTATGAGAAAGTAAAATACTCAAATTATTTAGTTTTTCTCTTATAACCAGAAGTTGTCGTTTTTGTTTCCGGTGGGACCAACATTTTTTGAATCTGCGAAAAAGATGCAATAAAGTGATGCAATCTTTAATTAAGAAAAGAAAAGTTAAAATTTTTATTTCTTTTATTACTTCCTGTGACGACTGGACGTGACGGCTGATGCTCTGAACCCAAATGGTTTTGCCTACATCTTAAGGACTGTTGCTCATATAAGTTTGCTGTCTTAATCTCTTACCGTTTTCGAGTTCTTGCTCAGACAACTTTTTGTATAGAACTTTTCAAGATCTCTTGAGTAGTTTTAATTGTAATAAACAGGATATATTATGGATTGTTTAATCTACCAAGCCAACCTTTTTTTTTTTTTTTTTTTTTTTTTTTTTTTTTTTTTTTTAGATTTCGTCAATTCTCAATGCATTTCCTATGTAAAATGTTGATAAAAGGGACCTACATAATTTTTCACCATAATATTTCTCCAAAACTCACTTATTTCATATGGTTTTTGTTTTATATATATTATTGTATTTTCATTTCCTATGACTTCTAGATATTTTAGCTGAAAATGTAAATATAGAAACAAGACAAGGACATACCGGCACCGATCTCTATTTTTGAGTTACATCCTTTAACAGCTATAATTACATATTATTCATAAGGGTCAAAGGAGTCTGACTGGTTGATTGATTCTATCATGTAATTGATTTAAACACATTGTCATAAAATATTGGCATGGATTTATTGCAATTTTTTATTCGTAGTTACTAAATGCTGCTTCCTTCATACAACCTAGAAACTGATTTCAGTTGGTCTACCTTTCAGCATATGTCACATCTTTGCCTTTCCCAGCATACTAAGCATAACTATGATAAATGACGACCTCTTGACTCTTTGTCTCCTGAATACAACGAAGCCATTACTACTTTTCTTTCTTGCTGTATAGATGATTCTACCCGTTGAAGGAAGTACACATGCTTTTTGTTTACCTCTGTAAACATATGCTTTATTGGTTTTCACCGCTTAGAGAATTCTACACGAGAGATCACTCTCAATCACTATTTCATAATTGAAAAAACCCATGTATTTAACCTTTTTTTTCTCAGGAAAACTTTGACTTACCAATGTTCGTAAAATATAACATAGGTCCTTCAAAAATGCAAGGATTTTTAAGGATTTATTTAAAACAAATGAAAATAGCCCAGGATTCACACAGAAAAAAACATCATTTATAAAGATGAAAACGTAAATTAAAGGTAAAAAAAAATTAGAAAGAAAATTCAGACATAATCGGGATTAAACCCGAAATAATAGAACACCGCTGACGTTGGAGGTTAGTGTGCAAGGTACAAGCCACCTGAGGAGCTCCGAGTGCCAACCTGCTCATCGGAGTTTACGGAGACAGCCGCCATTTTGGACCCGCTTCAAATTTTAAAATGCGAATATGTAGAGTTTGGATTTATCAATTTTTAAACAAATTATATATTAAGCCTTTTTGGAAATGCCTTTATTAACCCTACTAGTATAAAAGAAAAATATTGAAAGACAAAAAAGTTAGAAAATTCAACTTTTTAAATTCGCATCCGGTAACGACAGGAAGTATTGATGACGAACGAAAGGTCATGTCCTGGCTAGGATTTATCACGATCTATAATCCCTGAAAGTTTCACATTGATATCTTTTACCGTTCTTGAGATTATCTGCTGACAAAATGTCTTTTTAAATTCAGAAAATGGTCGGTAACTTGGCACCGGAAGTGATTTTCCAAAAAATCTCTCAAATAAAATAACTTCAGATTACAACACATTCTTCCTGCAAATTTCATTAAATTTCATCAAGTAGTCTTTGAGAAATCGCTTGCACAAAATTAGATGGGTGGAAAAATAAGAAGAAGAAGAAGAAACAGTAGAATCACTATAAGGTCTTCCGTGAAGACGGGAGACCTTAAATATCTTCTTGTCAAGAACTGCAAAGCCATGATTAGTCATTTTGATATGGAAGCATCTTCAGGTAGTGTAGATTCAAGTTTGTTAAAATGATGACCCCCAGGGATAGGTTCGGGCCAAAATGCAGGATCAAAAATTATACATAAGAACATATAGGAAAAATACTTCTTCTCAGAAACAGCAAAGCCCGGATTGGTCATATTTATATAGAAGCATCATCAGGTAGTGTGGATTCAAGTTTGTTTAAATGATGACCCCTGGGATAGGGAGGAGCCACAATGGGGGATCAATTTTTTACAAAGGAATATATGGGAAAATTTTTTTAAATCTTCTTAAGTACAACAAAGCCATTTGTTACATTGACATGGAAGCATCATCAGGTAGTTTAAAATTCAAGCCCCCCCCCCCCTCCCTCACCCCAATAATCTTTTCAATACTGAACTGATTTGTGCTTTTGCCAAGCCAATGTGCTCAGGTGAGTAATGTGGCCCATGGGCCTCTTGTTTAGTTGTTGTTGCCGTGAGAACGAAGTTAGCAGCGAGAACAATAAGTTTTGCATTGTGGGTCTCGAGGTGACTGCGGAAAAAATTTCATTTGGATCAAAGTGCAAAGTCCGAATTTTCTCTTCGCCCAGGCGTTGCTTTAAGAGCTCGCAGTGACTAGTGGCACTTAGTGCCGCTCGCTGCGCTTGCTATAATGATTAACATATAAGCTTGTTTAGCTGTTATTTGAACAATATGCTAGCCAGTGGAGAAAAAAACTTTTAAATTTAAATATTTGATGCTAGGTTTTAAATCAAAGATGATCACCTTACTTATTGTTTTGCAGTTGCAAACTTTTTGGCTTTACTTGCCTAAATAATAAAATTTTTGCCAAGATATCTGTATACAAAATTTTACATTTAGCTGCATTCTAGAGCTAGATATAGTGGCTAGTTTGTCCCTTAAGATAGCCCAGGTTTGATTTGCTGAATGGAAATACCCGGTACTTTTAAGTAAATGTAGATAAATGATGTTGAAGAATGAGACGGATCTACTAGTAAAGATGAAAGAAAAGGCTTTCCTTGGATTATTCTGTAAAATAAATTTTTAAAGAAATTTAAAGCTTTGTTTTCTGTGCCTCTTACCTTAGCAATGTTCAAATTTAAATTTTGGGTTGGTTAGGAAAGGGAATTAATGAGGAGGTACAAATTTGTAATGACATACTATATGATATGTTTTTAGTTATCTCATTCATATATTTCAGACACTCAAAATCTGGTTCATTTGTAAGAGGGAAGAAGTTAGATCTAGGCATAAATTGCTTTGAGGCTATAGTGGATCGATATGGTAAACAAGAGGACCCTAATGCTGGTGTTATAACTGAGGAGCTTTTTGTTGTTGGAAGTAATCAGAAGAAAACTGTTGTAGAAATGGTTGGAGCCAAGAAAGTAAATGAAAAACAAAGGTTTGTGAGAAACAAAAGTTATGGGCATGTGTTTACAAGTGTAGTTTAGTACTTGTATACTGTATTGGTTCTTGGAATCACAATATTTGAGGATTTGGTACATTTTAGACTACCACTTAACTTTATACTTGAGTTTTGTTTGAAACGTTAGGTCTATACAATATATTATCAATTTCAATTTTGTTCAGTTTATTCTGTTTATGAAAGACAAAAAATGTTTTTAATACATGAATAATAAAACTTGCTTCTGTATTTTCAGTAAACTGGATGCTCTTCAAGAAGTAGTACTTAGAGGATGTTTGGTGTATGGTGTTGGGGACAGCTCAGAAAAACTGAGAAAGTGTACACCCAACATACAGGAGCTGGACTTATCTCTCAATCTCATCCCATCATGGCAGAGATTAGCAGAGATCTGTAAATGTCTACCAAACCTCACAGATTTAAATGCAAGGTGAGGGTATGAAAAAAAAAACCAAGCTGATTTAAAACATGTTGGGAGAAAAATTATTTGTTTTGGAGCAATGTGTTTGACTACAACATGTACATGTATATTGTACAATGAAAAGTTATGTTGCAGTTGTGTAATATTACTTGGGCACAGTAATTTTCCCAATTACATTTTATATTTGTGATTTGAAGTTAATATTGCTAGCAAACAAATATTTACAGACCAAATACTTTCAATTTAAATATCAATAAATTTTACAGTGATAATCAATTGGAAATGCCCAAAGACATGTTGGAGTGCAGAGATTGTTTCCAGAGTGTGAAAATATTAAAACTAAACAGAGTCAACTACACCTGGCAACAGGTAAAATTCTTCCATAAAACACCTTTCGAGTCTTGTCTGTATTCTATGCATTTGTTAGAAAGATTAGAAATAAATGTACACTAATACTTGAAATTTGCTAACTTTGCCAGATAGAATGCAGTTTTGAGGTGCATTATCTTGTCTATCTATTCTTTAAAATCATCCATCCATCCAAAAAAAAATATTAACATTACATTGATACAAATATATGTCTGATTTTTTTTTGTGCTGAAATTAGTTTACTTTTAATTATCTTCTTTAATAAAAATATTAATTATATTGTATGAAATAGTTGTTGGAGTGCAGCAGAGTCTTTCCTCGCCTGGAACAACTACATGTTTGCTTTAATACCTTAACATCAGTCCACGATCCAGGGAATCACCTGCAACATGTTTATCTACTAAATCTGGAATCAAACAGTTTACAGACCTGGGAACATATTCTACAGTTAGATGCTTGTCTTAGGTGAAGAAAGCTTTATATATTAATAAGACAGACTTCCAACTCACTTTGACATATCCATGGTAGTATATCGATGTTCAAAATACCTAAGTTTAAATGTGTCATTTACGTATACATGGACACTCTTTATTCTCCCGGATATAATTAAATATTTTAAATATTAATAAACAGTACTGTATATTTTTTTCAGATTAGAGAGTCTTATTTTGAATGATAATAAAATTGAGTTCATCAGTTTCCCTGATACTAACCGAGGAAGTAAAACCAAGTTTTTCCCAAACTTGAAACATATTTATATCAACAACAATAAAATTTCACAGGTAAAAATGATTGAACATGAGAGTGTTTTAAAACTTTATGGACTCAAAAACTCATGTAGAAAATATATTCAATTTAAAAGTTGTTATTATGTTTATTTATGCTTTTTTAACAGTGGAGTTGCATAAATGAACTGGACAAGTTGAAGAGTTTTGAAGACTTACAGATAAATGGAAACCCTATCCAGGAAACAGCCTCTCCAGAAACTGTCCGTCAGCTCATCATTGCCAAAATTGCCAACTTAAAAAAATGTCAGAGGACAGAGGTACATTTTAAAGATACAGTTGAACTTCAGTATCTCAAACATATATTTCATGAATATCATGGATAGTCTAAGTGATTGGAAAGTCCTATCCACATTTTTCTTAAGTATTTTACCCTCAAGATCTCGAACCCTCGGATATCTTGAAGTTTTTTTCTGTTGAGTCCTATCGAGTTCAAGATAACGAGGTTTGACTGTAGTTTATTTCCTTATTCTATTGATGCCTTTTATGCCATGAAGAATAAGTTAAAAGTCATCAGAGTAACAGGAGAGGAGAAAAAATGCGAGGGACAAGAATGGGACTAGAACCCAGGCCCCCTGAATCTTTAGTCAGGTGCTCTACCAACTTAGTTATCTGGCCACTGGCGATCGAACCTGTCTGACTGCCACACCTGCAACTGAGAAGATATATGTTGATCAATCAATAAGAAAAACAATCACATGAGTGATTTATCATCACAGTGATGAATGTTTATCTTAAAACTGAATACTATATGTGCCGCTATATGCATTCCTGCAATTATTGAAATTCAGTTACCGTATTTGGCTGAATATAATACGCACTTTTTTCCCAAAATAATTTTCTGTGAGAAAGGGGTGCGTATTTTACACCACAATGGGATTTTGATAGGTTTTTCTTTCATGTGAAACATGGCTATCATACGCACATACCGAAGTATTACATGTACCTAGAGACTTATGCAATTTCTTCCTGTTTATCGCCGTATTTAAAACTTCGAAAGTTATTGTTGGAATGTAGGCTTGATAAAAATGTTATATTTATAACCTTTTGATAGTTAAATTAAATTTAAAAGCAAGTTAAAATTAATTTGAGCTGCATGTTCATCGTCTCCATGTAAGCCGCCATTAACGATGTTATTTATAGATGTTGACACATTCCTTTGCCACGTGCTTCCGTAATCAAAGTACACATGTACCTAATCAGTCGGACACTCGGTCAAAAAAGTAATGTATTTTTTTAATGAGATACAATAAATAAAATTTATTTTAGGTTTTGAATAACTCAGTGAAAATTCATTTCAACATAAACACCCCTCCATACATCCCAATGAATGGAAGCCAATGTTGTGAACATGTGCACTTGTCACTTGATAATTACCCCTCAACACCCCTCCAGGCAATAAAATTGTTTACCGACACCAAAGCACTGTTTTTACAGTTAGAGCACTGATTATTTACTACCCTTATTAATGGCTTTGATTATTTTCTTTGTTAAAAATCGGGGGTTGGTTTATGATCTTTCGTATGTATAAGCTTGTGTTGATTGCGACACATTAAACAGTTAAACGCTTGTTAAATGTAATTTTACTTTATTTTATATCGGCCTCGTGTTAAAATGATTGAGAGTTAAAAAAGGAAATATGAAGTATGTTGAAACTTAAGTGTTATCATTTACTCGTGCTCTGTAGAAAATAAGATATCCAGGGAGATTACCTCGATGTATGAAGACATATATCCCACCTTTGTACATCATTTTTCACAGCTTTGGAGGTGTGTTGATAACTACGCTTCACATGCTTGTTAAATTTTAATTTTGTTTTTATAACATCAGCTATTTACTTAATTAATTAATTTCAAGTTCAAAAGAGGAAAATCCTAGTCTATGAATACTTTGATGTTGCAATATCGCTTGCCCTGTTAAATTTACATAATTTTCAATATGATTAGTCACTACCTTAAACTAAAAATAAATATGACAACTGTAAAACTTGCAACAGTATCTCGTGCTTTGTTGAAATAAAATTATTTCCACAAAGAATAGTAAGTTTTAGTTCTGTAAATTTTTGGCACTTTATCTCCGCGCCGATTTTCATAGCAAATTACCGCGATTTACAAAAGTTCAGAACACCGCTTGGTAAAATTTTCTGCTGCGTATAATACAACCGAACTGCGTTTTTACCCTCAGTTTCAGGCTCAAAAAGGGGGGTGCGTATTTTACACCAATGCGTATTATATTCGGCCAAATACGGTATGTGACAAATTATATTTACAGTTTCTTGTTGTAATTATCAGAGACAGATGCAAATCCTGTGAATTTTTCTGACATTAAAATAATGAACGGATGGAAGTAAATTTACGTATAAACAGTAATATATGAGGGTTGTCCATAAAGTCCGTAAAGATGTTTTTGTCAGACTGAGTGGTCCTAGATATAATATCTAGCACAACATCAGACTGGATTGTGCAACCTCTGTATACAAAGTGTTTATACTGATGACACTCATAAATTATCAAACATTGTTTTGAAATTTAAAAATTTACTCAATTATGATCTATATATAAATATTACCACACACACTTAGCAGTGTATCATACTAAAGAAAAAAATAGCGTGTGTCAACAAATGAGATAAAAATTCAAAATCTATACGTGTATTTGTGAAGTTATGGCGAAACTAGCTAACGTCAGACTAGGCCATGAGGCTTTCATATACAATCTACAGTCAAACCTTGTTTTCTTGAAGTTGATAGGACCAAGAAAAAACTTCAAGATATCCAGAGATTCGAGATATTGAGGGTAAAATACTTAAAGAATAAGTGGTTGGGACTTCAAAATCACTTCAACATATCAATGGTATTCAAGATATTGGTGTTTGAGATACCGAAGCTCAACTTTATTTATGCCTAAAACTTTCTTAAAATAGTGTGAAATGTTTTAATTTTTTTTATACATTTACCAATTCATGATTGGCAGTGTGGTCATTGTTAAGAAAATTATAGCATTTGTCTATGAACTTACACATACATGCACATGAAAGATCACAGACATAAGTTTGGCTGTTTTACATTTTCAAGGTAACTGATGAGGAGCGAAGAGGAGCTGAAATAGATTATCTAAAGAGGTTTGGTCCAGACTGGCTAAAATCAGGTGGACACCAGGATCCCTCCCAGAATAATCCCAGTGAGGACTTCCTCACACAACATCCAAGATTTCAACATTTTGTTCAAGGTATGACCAACAGCATTATTTCATTCCAGAAACTTGATTTTGTTTTTTTTTACCTCTCAGCAGCTTTTTTGCCTCCATTTTATGCCACTCCAGATCACTACTATTAGATTTAGCAACTTGTATGTTCATTTGTATGAGACACAGATTTTTAGTTATAACATAGCAAGCACTGGTATATTTTTCCAGCGTTTATCATGGACATGTTTTAATATTTTATGAGAGATGGAGCATATTTTTATTTGCTACTTTGTGAAATACATTGACCTTGTTTTTGATTTTAGTTCAGTACAATTACATTACTACCATCCATTCACCTACATCTACATGTATCAATCTTACAGCTTTTCTTTTTCCCGTTATCAGATCTGCTTGTAACTTCTTGAAGTAAATCAATTTTTTTTTTATTTTAGTGTATGGAGCTCCAGAAAGTTCTGAAATGAGTAAGAAACCTCAGAAATTGAAGGACAGTCTGATTGGTATGTTTACTGTTTGTAACTCTTACAAAAGCAAATAAATGTTGTTATAATGATAAAGGCATGTTTCAAAGGTGACTAGATACATGTAATGCAGGTGATGGGACATCTGCCTTGTGCAGAGGGTCCTGGTCTTATTCATTTTCTCCCTTCCTGATTATTTTGACCATGCCTTGGAAGGAACAGATTAAAATCTGCCATGTACAGTGTGTATGATACCGAGTTGTCTTGGAGAAAAATATTTTAGGGGGGAAGGATGTAGTTGTCATGCAGACTCATTTACCTTTGGTACATGTATAAAATGTAGCTCAGCTAAAGGAGCACGTCTAGAGCGCAATGGGCCAAGGGTGTAATTCTGGACTGATCCATTGCATTTCTCTTATTCTGTTACATGACATTTTGTCAAATTATTGATATCAACATTTTGATATAAAGATTAGAAAGGATCTGAAAATTTATAGAGAAATTAATATACATGTGCATTATTATATTTTTTTTTTTTACAGAAATTAAAATTTTAAACCCAGATGATTCCAACATCAAAACTTTGCAGAAGAAATTGCCAGGTAATTCAAAAAGTCTGAATGAAATAACGTTTTAGACTCTGTGTTATTTTTTTTCACCAATATTGAAATAAATTTGAGTTTAATTAATATATGATGTAGTGGGTATTTTGCTGTAACATGTGTTATCTTTTAGTTACAATGACAGTGCAGAAACTGAAGGCTTTAATTCAAAGGTTGTACAAAGTGGACTCAGAAATCAAGCTCTCGTATGTCAGCAAGAAGGTAATATTTCAGTTATGTGTAGGATGAAAGTATACCATTTGATACCTGATATATTTATAATGGTCCATCATCAAATATATGCAGAATGGGGAGATAATTTATTCTAAATGTTACAGAAAAATATATGTATCTTTGAAAAATGCTGGTTCTCTGCAGAGAAAACTGAAATATCAAACCTCAGTCTGTAATATATCGATATAAATGTACCCAGTACACATTTTTAATTCAATGATGATTTTTTTCAAATTTTTCAAATTTCAATAAAATAACAGGAACATTTTAAAGCCATGAACACTATGTGCTCCACGTAACATTTGGATACATTTTGATTTCACTTAAATGCGTGTAATAACATGAACATTTGTTTTTTAGATGGAAGGTTGTGAGATAGACTTTGACAATGACCTGCGACCCCTGAACTATTTTTCCATTGAGGCAGGTGACATAGTGTATGCTCGCTGGTCATGACAAACACTATTATTAATTAAGATTATAACTATTAATTTATGGTTGACCCACTTCTTTATACTGTGATATTAGATGTTTATCATAAAAAATAAAGCAAACAAATATAAATGCATTTTCTTTTATTGAACAATAAAAAAAATATATTGTATAAAATATGGAAAAAAAATATATTCATTCGAAAAACAGCAAAAATTGCATCACAACCTGTAAATTTATATAATCTTAATCGTAGTTATTATGGACGGAAGATAATAGTGTACAGCTGAACTTTGGTATCTTGAAAAAGGATATCTGGAACACCATGGATATGTCAAACTGATTTGGAAGTCCCAAGTTCTTTTACTTTAAGTATTTTACCCTCAATATCTCAACCCTAGGATATCTCAAAGTTTTTTTTCTCGGTTCCGTTGAGTTCAAGATAACAAAGTTGAGAGTATTGAAAGAACACTAAATATTTGCATATATGTACTGTACACTGCATATTTACATATACATACTGTATTATTCATATGCATGTACTTGAATATACTGTTCCCTGAATTATTATTCTCATATTTCAACCATGCATCACACATTTTGAAAGTGCAAGTTGTATCATGATGATGATACATACATTTATGCAATGGACATGACAGTCTTGTGAAATAGGTGATTAATTATAAACCTTCAACATGTACATACATTATCTATGACATTTTTTTTTTATTAGATTCTTCTAAAGCACATGTAAATGAATTGTATGATAATTATGAAATACAAAGATTTGGTAATCAGATAAGCTACTTGCTGTTACATGTTTTTGCATACTTCAAATTGCACAAAAAAAATTATAAGGTGTATCACCTACATATACAAATAATACAATGTATGGTATATTATGCTACAACCACTTTCTGGACAGTTGTTATAATTTTTTAATATATGCCTATTTTGCTTATTCATGAAACAATGCACTAAATGCTTCATCATCATAAGTTTTGGTGCAGTCGAATATATCAACACATGGAAAATCTAGAGGATTCGGAATTTCATCATACTGTGCAGACTTCATTTTGTGAAGATTAGCTGTCATTTCATATTTCTTGAGGGAAGCCTTAATGTGATATAACAGGGGCATATGTGCTTCGATTGGCAAGGGATGTAACTCTTTTGGGTCAGAGGAAATATTAAAGATCAGGGGAGCCTCAAGAACTGGTCCTGAGCAGTCAGTTTCTGTTCCATTTCTGAAGAGAATTTTAAGGTTTCCTACAGTTACTGCCCCCACAGGCCCTGTATCACAATAATGGTACAGCTGATCGTGGAGAGAAGATGAGGGGAATAGACTGGGATTATCAAACACTGGGTATAAGCTTTTTCCATCCAGTAATCGATCATCCATTGTTTTCTCAATGTTATAATAATCCAGTATGGTTGGATATATGTCTGTTAGTGAGGTTACTACATTCGTTTCTGAGTTAGGTTTTATTTTTCCAGGTAGTCTTATTATTGCAGGAATTCGTAAACCACCCTCCATATTGGAACCCTTTTCCCCACGTAACTTTATGGTCATTTTATTTGCTTTAAAATTGTTCGATCCATGCTGATGAGGGGGAAGTGGAAGTTTAGTAACTGGATGAGTAAATGATTGTGCATTGTCAGAAACAAAGATCACAAGGGTATTGTTTTTCATGTTGTTTTTTTCTAAAGCTTGCAAAACTTTTCCAATACTCCAATCAAGTTCAACTACTGCATCGTAATAGGGAGACTTAGTCTTGTTCTTGAATTGGGATGCTCTAAGATGTGGAAACTTTGGTTGGAGAAAGGACATTACATACAGAAAAGGCACATAATTTTTGGCTCTATAATTGAAGAAATGTACAGCATTCTTAGTCAATCTCAGTGACAATTTATCTTCATTATATGGTTGTTCCATGATAACATTATTTTCCATAAAAATACATGCATTTGGGTTATATATAGTCATCCAACAAAAAACACGAAGCAGCCCAATGGTGGTCAATAATATACTCAACAGAAGTATGCAAGTTCTCAATTTTATCACTGAATGAAACTTTGAAATCAAAATCATTGTAGTCAGACTGAGAATAATTGGTGCAAAATCTGTTATTTTATGCCAGAAGAGACTGGTGTCTGAAAAATTGTTCTGCTTAGAACAGCCCATACTGTGAGATCCAAGGGTACCAAAGAAGGACAAGAATCCACTGGATGTTGGTAACGAGTCTGATTGGAATCCCAGGACCCATCTTCCACTGTAGAAAGAATTCATTTGATTTTCAATAAACATTCTCCCTATGTTCTTTCCCCCAGGCAGTAATCCTCCAGACTGGGCAGGACTCCAGAAGTCTGTCCACTTGTGAATGCCCTTCACAAGACCAAATTTCCGAGGCTGCTGGCCTACAAAATAGATGATATACCACATATATTGTACAACATAGATGACTTACATGTACAATGTATTAATTATGCTAAAGTGTATAAGACATTTAACTTTAATAATTGTTTAGAATATAAGAATAAAATACATGTTTTGAAAAAAGCTTCTCTAATTCAATTTTTATTCTGTTCAGTTTCTTTTTATCAAATCTTTATATATAATTGTGAATTTAAAACTATATAAGGATAAATAATACATACTTTTTCAGAAATCAACAATATTTCTGATAGAATTATATTCAAATAGGTGACCTGAATAATGTTTGCCAGGTATAGTGGGAGAATTTTGTAAGATTTTGTAACAATGTTGAAAAATGTGTGCAAAAGTTTGTATACAATTGTATTGTAATACATGTACAAAGAAAATGACTCAAAATCGTGTATCTAAGCACCAAAGAAAACTTCCGAAATTCTATATAATTTAGGGATTTATTATTCATGTCATTTTTAGTCAAAAAATAACGTTATACAGTATCAGGCCTATCCTAATCTCAGCGAGATTCGTAGGGACTAAAAATTTTGGTCTGGTGTCCCTTCGCCGAGATTAGGCCTATAGATAGTTTTCATATCACGTATTTTCTCTCCGAGTTATTTCCCTTGGCCGCCATCTTGGTGGTCAACCTGGTAAGTTTTCCTCTTTGTCTTACCAAATCTAAGAGGGTGTAGCAGAAATATTTGGGGGAAAATCTTTATAGAATAAAAATAATGAAATAAAGGAGGCTTTAACAAATTTATATTTTTCAGAAAAACAATGCTTCTTACCCCACAATGGCCAGTATATAAAGTTAAAGTTGAATAATGAAGGAATATGAGCATGTTGACCTCCAATATGGCGACCAACGGGAAATAACTCTTGCTAATTTGGGCCTACTGAAAACTATCTATATTCATGCATCAAATTTTGGTTTGCTTTATGCATCCTGAAATTTTATCTTGAGATGTACCCGTTAGGATTGCTGACATGCTTCCTGAATCTGATGGAAATGAATACATTCTGTTGAACCTTATTCCTTCTGAGGCAAGTAGATCAAGATTTGGGGTTTTAATATTTTTGTTTCCATAGCAACTTAGGTCACCGATTCCTAAATCGTCAGCAATTAATAATAAAACATTGAGTTGTGGCAGATGTCTATCAACGATTGTTGTGTTTGTAGCTTCCTGAATTGTAGATAAACATAACAAAAGCCACAGCACAAGCTTCATTTCTGAATAATGCTATCAAGCAAGTACACGTTGGCGTTAAAATGAAAGAGGATGTTTACGTTTTCACATAATAACGAGCCCGATGTGTTTACAGTAAATTATTTAAAAAAAAAAATAATAATAATAGTAAACTATGAAAGCGACGTACTTGACGTACTACAAATACATAATCATTATTCCAGGCACGTAGTATCGGAAGAGGAAGGGGGGTGCACTTTTTTCCCAACCTTTTACGTTGAAAAAATTGAAAGGCTGATCCACGGCACTGAAAGTTAGGTAGGTCCCTAGTACTGGACCTACTTGTGTTTTTTCAAAAAATTGTGCCAAAATATTAAGATTGTTCATGCTAGGGTATGATGAATAAGAAGAATAAAGGGGTTGTCAATACTATTACAGAGGGAGAGTTTCTCAAAAACCACAGGCACTTGGGGTCTGGACCCCCCCCCCCCCTTTTCCATTTTTTTTTCTTTTGAAATATGGGGTCGAGTCACCTTTTTCCTATTTTTGTATTCTAATATGCACTATATGTTATCAATAATGTAACTCTTTTGTCTCTATATGCTGTTTTTAAATATACCGTTTTTCGACTGATACATAAAAAGGGGAGAGTCTATAAGCCCGTGAACTCAATGTTGGGAAGCCCGTGATTTCGATTGTAAACACACATTTTGATACGTAAGCCGTTTATGTGTACCTTCTTGACGTATTGGTAAACAGTCAAAACATTAGCCTAAATTACTGTCTTTTTTATGAATTTAATGAATTTTAAAATTCGCTAAAATAATGAACGTATATATTTATAGTAAACCCAATTTTGTAAGGTCTAGAGCCAACGTAATTATGGATATACAGCCCGTGAATTCATCGACACCCTATAAAGAACTAAGTATGAGGCCCGTGACTTCACAACATCCTATATAGAGCCGTGTATGAGGCCCGTGACTTCACCAACACCCTATATATTGCCGAGTCTGAGGCCCGTGACTTTACCAACACCCTATATAGTGCCGAGTATGAGGCCCGTGACTTCACCAACACCCTATATAGTATTGAGTCTGAGGCCCGTGACTTCACCAACACCCTATATAGTATTGAGTCTGAGGCTCGTGACTTCACCAACACCCTATATAGTGCTGAATATGAGGCCCGTGACTTCACCGACACCCTAAATAGAGCTAATAATGAGGCCCGTGACTTCACTGACATCCTATATAGAGCTAATAATGAGGCCCGTGACTTCACTGACACCCTATATAGTATTGAGTCTGAGGCCCGTGACTTCACCAACACCCTATATAGTGCTGAGTATGAGGCCCATGACTTCACCAACACCCTATATAGTATTGAGTCTGAGGCCCGTGACTTCACCAACACCCTAAATAGAACTGAGTGTGAGGCCCGTGACTTCACCAACACCCTATATAGAGCTAATAATGAGGCCCGTGACTTCACTGACACCCTATATAGAACTAAGTATGAGGCCCGTGACTTCACCAACACCCTATATAGTATTGAGTCTGAGGCCCGTGACTTCACCAACACCCTATATAGTATTGAGTCTGAGGCCCGTGACTTCACCAACACCCTAAATAGAACTGAGTGTGAGGCCCGTGACTTCACCGACACCCTATATAGAGCTAATAATGAGGCCCGTGACTTCACTGACACCCTATATAGAACTAAGTATGAGGCCCGTGACTTCACCAACACCCTATATAGTATTGAGTCTGAGGCCCGTGACTTCACCAACACCCTATATAGTATTGAGTCTGAGGCCCGTGACTTCACTGACACCCTATATAGAACTAAGTATGAGGCCCGTGACTTCACCAACACCCTATATAGTATTGAGTATGAGGCCCGTGACTTCACCAACACCCTATATAGTGCTGAGTATGAGGCCCGTGACTTCACCAACACCCTATATAGTATTGAGTCTGAGGCCCGTGACTCCACTGACACCCTATATAGAGCTAAGTATGAGGCCCGTGACTTCACTGACACCCTATATAGTATTGAGTCTGAGGCCCGTGACTTCACTGACACCCTATATAGTATTGAGTCTGAGGCCCGTGACTTCACCGACACCCTATTTACCACTAAGTTTGAGGCCCATGACTTCATTGACATCCCTATATATATAGTACTAGTACTAAGAAATATGCCTGTGACTTCATTTACACTGTATTCCATGAAATAAACATAACAATCCACATTATAAGAACAGAAATATTCATTACAATAGTAAACAAATGTACACACAAATTCACACTTTTTTGTCAGTTTGCAGTCATTCACTTTGTTTTTAATTTACAACAATGCAATTTCATCATGTTCATCCATGTATAATGAAATTAGCCATTATTAAAAAACAAGAGGCCCAAGGGCCTTAACGGTCACCTGAGTGTAATACAACAATTTAAAGGATGCATCAAGTATAAAATGAACTGAAAGGTAAAGCTTTGTTGCCCAAAAGCAAGAAAAATAGAGTGATCAGGATGAACAAAATAATTAGTCTTAATTTTCATTAACAGTTCATAAATTAGGTTCTAATCTGGTCCCCATTCATCACTATCACCATACAGTATATTAAATAATTATCAATGCTTCTGAACTATTTTAATCCCTCGTTGATATCTCTTACATTGGCCTTTCTTGGTCTTTGATGAACATTTAATAAGACAAGTAATTTTTGTCTCATTTTTATTTATCTACTACTTACAAGTTTACCTGATCATTCAAACTATTAAAATACTTTTTGTATTATACAAAAAAAATTCTTGCACAATTCTCTTATTCTATTTACCTTTCAAGTACAATATTTACAGTGATTAATTATCAAAAGTAAATGGCAAAAGGGAATAACTCCTCTCAGTAGAATACAAATTAATAGAGCCCTGGCCAGGACCAGAACATTTGACCAAATGGTCCAGATGTTCAAAAATCTGGTAAAAATACCCTTCTTTATAAAAACTTTACTCTGTTTGCCTCAGATATGCCTAGGTGCAGATAAGATTTTTAAAGAAATAATGCATTTTTACCACAAATTCACTAAATTATCAATAGAGCCCCCCCCCCCCCCCCCCCCCCCCCGAGAAACACCAGAGCCTCTGACCCTGGGACCAGAAGTTTGCTCATCATAAGTAATCACTTTGCTTATCTACTTAACATTGAGGAGCAAACAGGATTATTTAATAGAATTAATGTATTTTCACTATATTATCAAGAGCCCCACCCTTACACCAGCACATCTGACCCACTGGGGTCATGAAATTCACTACTCTGGAAGAAGCACTCTTGCTCATCATAAGTATACACTTAGCTTCTTTGCTTTAATTTTAACCAGAAGCAGAAAAGAATATTTTCAAAGAAATTTTGCTTTTTCACTTTATATAATCAATAGAAGCCCCCCCCCCCCCCTCACCAGAACCCTTGAACCTGGGGTCATGAAATTGTTTAAATAATACTCAGAGGCAGAGATTTTCAAAGAAATAATTCACCTTCACTATAGGATCTATATAGCCCCATCCTAGCACCAGAACCCCTGTCCCTAGGGCCATGAATTTCACAATTTTGGAAGAGGCATCCTTCCTTATCATAACAATGTATTTAGTTTGTTTAAATAATACCCATGAGCAGAGAAGAAGATTTTTAAAGCATTAATGCATTTTCACTATATAATCAATAGAGCCCTGCCGTAACACCAGAACCCCTGACCCAGGGGCCATGAATTTCACAATTTTGGAAGAGGCATCATTGCTTATCATAACAATGCACTTAGTTTGTTTAAATAATACCCAGGAGCAGAGAAGAGGATTTTCAAAGAATTAATGTGTTTACAGTGCAAAAAGGTCAAAGTAAATGCTCTGTAGTGCCAAAAGAAGCGCATTGACCCCCCATTTTTTGTTTTGATTTTTAATTAAGCTATGTGTATAAATACTAAAAATATACTTGATAAAAACTTCTCATTACTTTCGATGGCAGGATCCAACCTCCTTAAAGAATTGAAACATTTTCACGTTATAATCAATAGAACCCCGCCCTAACACCAGAACCCTGATCCAGGGGCCATGAATTTAATGATTTTGGAAGAGGCAACCTTGCTTATCATAACTATGCATTTAATTTGTTTAAATAATACCCAGGAGTAGAGAAGAAGATTTTCAAAGAAATAATGCACTTTCACTATATGATCTATATAGCCCCGCCCTATTACCAGAACCCCTGACCCTGGGGCCATGAATTTCACAATTTTGGTAAAGGGCTCAATGCTTATTACAATCATGCCAACAGTTTGACTGGTTGATGTCCAGGAGTAAAGAAGATTTTTAAAGATTGCATTAATGTTGATGGTTTTGGCCCCACCCCTCAGGCCCCAGGGGGGCAGGGGCCACAAATTTCATAATTTTTGTTCCCCTTCACCCATAGATGCTATATGCCAAAATTGGTTGAAATTGGTTTACTGGTTCCAGAGAAGAAGCTGAAAATGTTCAAAAGTTTACTAACGATGGACGCCGCACGACAATGGATAGAAAGAGATAGCAATAGGTCACCTGAGTAACTCAGGTGGCCTAAAAATATATAAGAAAAGATTATTCTTTAAAATTTATAGTTATATAGAATTCACTTTAACAATGCACATATGGTAACAATTAAACAAATTCTTAAATTTCAAATATAACACCAGTTATGTTTATTGTAACTACATGCATCAGCAATGCATTAAATGTGACATTAAGATTGCAGATAATTAGACTAAGTACTGATACAGTAATACCAGCATGCAATACATGTATACATTTCAATTGTTTTGTTTTCTTTTGGCCCTCTTCATAGACATTTCTGTTTGTTGACTGATCTTTTCTCTGCCTCTTCTATTAATTGGCATTCCAGTTCTCAAACACAGACCAAGGAATAGGGCCTCCTTCATCAAGACATTGATTTAAGATGGGCATGCCTAAACTGAAAATGTTTATAAAAATGTGTAATACATGTAAATAT